CCTGGGAGAGGGGCTATAATTATGCAGAACTATATTCTTATTTGAATTTAACTTTTTTTGTGAATAAGATTTTATTTAGACTGAGAAAGCTGTGTTTTCTTTTGAATGCAGAACAGATGCTAGGTTTCATGCCTTTGCTTTTGCTCTACTGCCATCTGCTGTAAAGATAAAGAATACTGATTACAAGATGAATTCTTATAAAGAACTAGTTCAAAATACAGATCAAAATTATCTTGACACTTGTCCCAAAGGTGCTTTTTTCAAGAGGCAACTGGACTTTCTTGTTTTTCTTTGAAGACGTTTCACTTCTCATCCAAGAATTTCATTTCTCAGAGCTGAAAAAGCTTCTTGGATGAAAAGTGAAACGTCTTCAAAGAAAAACAAGGAAGTCCAGTTGCCTCTTGAAAAAAGCATCTTTGGGACAATCATGACCTGGATGACTGAGAATCTCCATAGATATCTTGACCTTTTTCTTCCATTTTAGTTCAAGGAATGTTCACTTGCAGCAAAACTTACTGTATAAAACATAATGCAGATGGAATACTCCCTAATTTCTGATTTGTTCAAATGTAAGAAGCCTGGTTGTATATCATATTTCAGAGTTCCTCCATTGTCTCAGTTAAAAAAGGACTTTTGTATACAAATGCCTTTGGGTTAGTCTTGTCTTCAGGCAAATACAGGAATGTGAGTCCATTGTCTTGGAACAGATTTGCCATAGCTTTTTTCTTAGGGGTAAGAGGAAGTGGTTGGCCTAAGGTTACCCAATTGACTTTGTGCCTAAAACAGGACTATAATTCATAATATCTTCATTTCTAGCCCAGTGCCTTTAACCACTTCACCAAACTGGTTCTCAAAATATGGGCAATAGATGAGTACTATTCCCATGGGGTAGGATGAATTGGGAACGGGACTTCTATCTCACTGAGAATAAAATTGTGGAAGTGAAGTTTTTTCATTGAATGTTTTGATTACTACAAGAAATGGGTTTGTGATAATGCACAGTTCAAAACGAATTGATGCAAAAACAGCAAGTGTCAAGTTTCATCTTAAATAACTGGCAGATAAAGTGGATTGGAATTAGGTGTTGGGCTATATTAGTATTTTGAAGAATGTTGGCTTGAATGCAGCATAATATAGATTGTTAGATGATAACTTTTAAATTAAGTATCTCCAGATAACCTTTGCAGAAATATCACTCTTTTTAACATATGGCCAATTATGCAATCATTAATTACAGGTTTTATTACATGGATGGAATACAGGTAGTCCTTGTTTAATGACTCCCGGGTACAGAGACTGTTTAAAAGTCTTGAAAAAAATAACATTGCAGCCAATCCTCGTATTTATGACCTTTCTTGGTCTGCAAAGCAAAGGAAAGCTCAAGTAAGATCATAAGTACACTTGTGGTTTCACTCAGTGACTGCTTTGCTTAATGACTGAGTTGCCAGTCCCAACTGTGGTTACTAAATCAGAATACCTGTAAGGAAACCAGTGCTTAATATAAAAAAGGTGACAGTTTTTTAAACAATTTTATGAAGAGTTGAAAAAGTATCTAGTTCAGAATTAATCTAAGACATACAGATGAACATGTTTTTCATTATTCAAGGAGGGATTAGATAGAACCAAGCAATGAATATACGTAGGATTCAACAACTTAGAAATATTTGATAACATATGCTATATGTTCTAATGTCTGAAATCTCCAATCCAAAATAGTGTTTGAGAGTTCTTGAAATCAGGAAATAAAAAATACAATTCTGCATCACTACGGTGTCCAGAATTGAACTGACAGGAAATAGAGTCCAGACTGCTATGAAATTAATCATGCACTGTATGTAAATGAAAAATTGCCAAAAATGACTCATTTGATTTCAACAAAGGAAGTTACAGAGAATACTTAAACAGAAACGATTAAAATAAGATTGATAAAAACAGAAATGGTCAAATGTTATTCCAACATCTACAATTATAAACGTTGAGTTAAAGGCTCTGGATAGGATTGTGCCCATGCGACCTCTCCTAACCCATAGACCTCTTTGTCCAACATGGTATATGGAGAAATTGAGAGGGATGAAATGGATGAAAAGATGCCAAGAGTGCTGCTGGCAGAGGACATGGGACAAACTCAATCGAACATGGGTAAGACCTGCTATTAAGGTCTAACTCTTGGCGATTTGGGTGGTGAAGAATAAGTACTTCTCCACACTAATTGCGTCTACAGCTGATCAGCCAATAAACCTCTTTATGGTGAGCTGTCTTCTCCTGGGGAAGGAGCATAGAGAGATCCACCTGAAGAGGTGAGTTAAGGAATTTGCTGATTTTCTGGAAGACAAAATTGCACGGCTTCGTTCCAAGTTAGATGCCGTGGTTGCTGGTTCAATGGAGGCCCTTGTGGCAAGTTCTTACCCAGTTATCTGGGAATGGTTTGATCCTATTGCTCCTGAGGAAGTGAACAGGATCCTAGGGAGTGTGAGCGCAAGCACTGTGGTTTTAGATCCATGCCCTTTTAGCTTGTGAAAGCTTCCTGGGAGACGAAGTCTTCAGAAGCTGGAGGAAAGAGGAGTGGATGCTAAGGCAAAGAAAGACAGTCAAGGGTTTCTTCCATCTTCTTCTCCCCCTCCCTGCCAGGCCATTGGTGAAGGGACTGAGGTAAGACCTTCAGGAGTCCCATAATAGAGGCAAAATAGGAGCCGGTTTTAAGAAATCCTCTAGAACAGCAAGGACCGCATCTTTCTCACCAGTTTTGGGTCAGACCCCCAGCCTTGTCCCTTCCCCTGCCACCCAAATAGCAGCGGTTGCTGTCAAGCTACTTCTCCTTGTCTCTCCCCAGCACAAGTTTGGCAGTGTCTGCGAACAGAATTCCATTGGCCGACATGCTGGAGTGAATTCACAAGCCTATTGGCCCATCTCCTGATGCATTCCCAACCTTCTCATGGGTCACTGGATAGCCAAAAGCTAAGGGGAATACCTGAATTCGTCTTCCATATCTATGGGGAGGAAGGGGTCGAAGAGCTGTGTCACCTGTCAATCTATCTTTGCAAAATTATAATTTTTAAAAAGCAGGAAGGAGACCAGAGAGCAAATATATTAAGAAAAATGTAAAAAAATTACAGGACAGATTTTTAGCTTAAAGCCTAATTTCTTTGTCAACAGAGCCAATAGGCTTATGATGCAGGCTTGCACTACTTTTAAAGAGAAAAATCCGAGGAGTTGGCATCATGTTCTGGAAACAAGTTGTTCTTTGCAAGACATATTCATATGAGGCAGAGATGACTAGTAAAAATTCAGTAATAACCATAGAGTCAGCCTTTTCTATGTTTTTTTCAATTAACTCAATTGAGAGGGATTGTACAAAAATTGAAGAAAGAGCTAACTACATTGGCTTTTCATAACTAGGCCAAAATATGGTTGGTTAGTTTGAGGTTCAGCATAGTAACAAAGCCTCTTATAAGGGTCTAATTTGTCTCTTGCTGGAATAACTAAAATGGCAATTGAAAAGGGACGGAAAATCTGAAAATACATATGTTTCATAAATTTCCAGATTGTACTTGCATATTTATGAATCAATATAAAATGTAGAAGAGTTTCCAAAATGTTTACTGTACTGATAAAAATTGATTCCATTGAAAGCAGGCTAGTAGAGGATCCGAAACCTAATTGCTCATTACTTTATTGCTAGATACTGTGTACTCTTAACCTGAAAAGGAGAGGTCAATACAAATAAAAAAAATGTTTGATTTAAAAATATATCAAATTTCTCTCGATCTCAAGATCTTACACAACCATTATATTTTGTTAGTTTTTCTCTTCTAGGTAAGATTCTGCAGTTAACAGATGCATAGGGGCATCATAGAGCAGGGGTCTCCATCCTTGGCAACTTTACTGGCTGAGGAATTCTGGGAGTTGAAGTCCACAAGTCTTAAAGTTGCCAAAGTTGGAGACCCCTGTCATAAAGCATACCTGGTTGGGCGGTAGTACTTGTGAGAAATATCTAGGCATCCTGATAAATGATGAGTTAAGTAGGAGGCAGGAGTGTGTTGCAGCTGCCAAAAGAACCCAGACCATCTTGAATTTTGTTACAACGAAGTGTTAAGATCACCGGAAAGTGATGATTCTGCTCTATGAAGCTATGTTTATTTTTACTTGTCATCTGTTTTGTTTTGCCTCGGAAGAAAGCAATGGGAGAGTACAGGATGTTACAATTGGAAGCACTATAGACTATATAAAATTCCACGACATGGAACCATTATAAGATTAAAAATCTTGTGTGGAAACACTCTTGGATGCAAGTCATATATTATAGCTTCCTTTTCAGAGATATAATTTCTATTTGATGCAGGTACTTGTCATTCTGTCTAAAGATAGTTTTGTGTGTTCCTTTGTATCATAGAGTTAATCAAAATCTCAGGATTCGTGTTCACTAATGAAATGACACAGAGAACTGTGATCTTATTTACTTTGTTTATAATGTGTACATGAAACAAGATTTATTCTTTACATTGGACTATGCCAAAAGATTGCAATAGCCCACTTATATTCATTCCACTATAGGGAAGTGGAGTACATGGCTTTAGAAACTATCCAAAAAGGCAGCTCAGATGTGAAAGTCATGAGAGAAATGCATGTTAAAGACAAATTGAGTATTTTCAAGATAGGGACTTCAAAATTATTTATTTAACCTAGACTTGTTTTATAAATACCTCCCTGAAACATGTTGTTTTTGTTTCTTGGCTATGCTAACTATATGGGACTTGATAGCAATAAACCTTATTAACATCAAGGAAAATATGACAGGCTCAGAATGTATTGGTGTGGAATTGGAAGTTAAGCAGAGTTGCGCTTCATTTAATATTTGGATGGGAGATTTCACAGAAATTCCAACTCCATGGATGATCTCTAAGAAATTGAAAATACCCCAGAAGAAAGCAATGTTAACCACTTCTCTATTATTGCCTAGAAAATTATATAAGTGTATCCATTAAGTCACCTGAAATTAAGGCTCAGTTTAAGGAAGACATTACTTTTTATTGCAATTAAAGTTAAAAGTTTCATGCAGCAATTCTAGAACTCTTTGAGAATAAAATCCACTGAATTCAGTGGAACTGAATTCTTCAGCTGCACCCAAGTCAGAAGAAAACATAACAGTGTCTTACTGATAAAATTGGAGACCAGGGGAATTCAGCTCAAAGTAATTAAGCAGAACAATTTTTTCTCATTTAGACCCAATTCCTTTCCTTACACCCTGCAAGGGCGTAAAACTTATTAGTAAGCAATGATTCATCTTAAATGCCATACTTCAATACATTAAGAATCAGTCTGTTATATTTATAGTTTCAAAATATTTTGAGACTGGAATTTATATTTACAAGTGAGTATTCAATATATACATCTGAAGTAATAGATCACAGTATAAATTAAAGCAGCCTTGATTTAGCACTTTGTAACAGCTAGTTTCAATTTACAAAACATATATTATGAAAATATAAGCACAAAATACAGTTCTTAGGTATATAATAGTGTACAGATTGCTTGAAAAGAGTAGTGATTCAAATTAATCAGTATCTTAATTCAGAACAGTACAATGATCTTTATTACAGAAATAAAAATATATTATATATATATATTTAGAAATAGTTCTTTCAATTAAATAGCACGTGATGAATATTCTATCAGAGGACTGGCCTATATATATTTGGGAGGCGGGGGTGGGGGGCACTTTAAACCTTTCCGGCTTTTGTGACAAGACATAGATCAATCCTATAATTCACATAGAGTAATCTAGTTGCTATAATCGGTAATGTATAAAATGCAGATGAAATATAATTCACTATCCTAATTATGTTCTGGCTCAAGAAACAGAGGAAGTACTAACATGCAGATTTTCAAAGAAAGCTCCCTGTTACTCCCATTCCTTCTTCTGGCACTTAGGCCTTTGCTATTGTGATATATAGCACCTTAAATCAGAATCTTGCAATAAAATTTCTGCCTAGAAAAAATACATGGCAGTGACTTTCATACTTAATTGCTGTTGCATATTACTACTTGCAACAAACCTTTGTGTAAATTTTTTTGAGACCAGTCTACAAATGTTTAACTCACCTAACCTCATTTTTTCCTTTGTGTTATCCTTCTGTTAAGTTCTGTTTTATCTCTGATGAATATATTGAGTCATCACAGAATAGGTTGTAGATGAAGGACTGCCTTGCCACAAAGGTTATATCTCTCTCTCAGACCAAAAATATGCCACTACATAGCCAGTATACATATGGCTCAGAAAACTTTGAGAGACAAAGATTAATTTCACTTCGCTAAGTATTTTTTGAATAGCAAAATAAAATTTACAAATTTGCAGCTAATCCTTGTTTTACAACCTTTTGTCTAATGATGATTTGATGTTATAACCACCTTAGGAGAAAAGTGATTTAACACCCACTTTGAAGTTACAACTGCTTGTGCCACCTTGTGGTCACAAGACTGCAATTTGGGCACTTGGCAGCTGGCTCTCCTTTATCATGGTTGCGGCATCTTGCGGTCACACAATTGCGATTTATGATCTTCTGGCCAACTTCCGGCAACAGAGTGAATTAGAAGCTGGATTTACTTAATGATTGCATGATTTGCTTAATGACATGATTAGCTTAACAACCACAGTAAAAATATTAATAAAATTGGGTCTGGTCACATGACTCACTAAATGACCATATTAGCAACTGAAATTCTAGTCCCAATTATGGTCATAAATTGAAGACTCTCTATTATTTTCTAGTATTTCTAAAACTAGGAATCTCCTGACCTTCTATCAGTGAGTACTGAGCTGAATTGATTATAGATCTGAATTAGCGTAAGATGGCTTCTTAGGTAAGAGTAGAACATAGCACTAGACTTAATCTCAGCCAGCAGATATTTATAATACATTGAAAATTACTTTACAGAGTATTTAAAATTTAAATTTAAAATTTAGGTGCTGTATAATTTCTAAGACATAAAAATTACAATTACTTTGCAGAAACTTAACTGGGTTCCATGCAAATATAAAAGTAATGTGACCAAATTCATGCACTTTTCTGAAAATCTGATAAAAATTCAGGCTGGGAATACAACATTTTCAGCTAGGACAATCAGCCAATCTAGATTGGCCAAAGATGTGATAGTGATCTTTTTCACATGTAATGTCAATGCATTAATGCAAAATTAACACCAAACATGTATTCTGGCTCATAACGATGTGTGACCCTAACTACATTAACCTGGAAATTACCACAGAAAGCAATATGCTGATATGTACTATTTCCCAAATAGTCTATCTTCAATATTTTACATACTGCATAGAGATAGTGACTGCTATAAAGTGTTGAAATTCTGAAGTATCAGGTACCGAAGTGTATAGGGAATGAGATTCACTTTGGGCTTAGCTAATAAGTAAAAAAAACATCTATTTACGACACTTGCACTGTCCTGGAGTCATGTGCGAGATGCTTCTTTCATTTCTGTTTAAATTTAAAGTTAAGATTCTAAAATCTTACCTTCTAAAAGGTAGATATACCAATATTCTTCCCTATTTCTTAAATCAGAAAAGCAGGATTTCCAAAGGTTGCTGGACAATACTGACCATGCTGGCCCTATCAGCAAATCCTAAATTCTTCATATAAGATAGAAGACAGCTGACCAATTTCCAATTAAGCAATGTGGAAACTTCAAATTTCACCATTTTTAAAGCCATAAAAAATTAAGGCCATCATTGCAAGGGTGAATCAATTCACATGCTAATTTATTGGTCTCTGTATTCTATCATTGAAACATCATTTGGCAAGTAGTTGATTTCTACATCATGTTTCACTTTTAGCTTACTAGTTTTCACCTTAAAGAACTCTTAAAATTAACAAAAAGTTTTTTACTACTTTTCACTCTAGACAGTCAGCCTTCAAGCTTAGAACCAATTTACCTATATCCGTGATAGTGAACATATGGCACGTGTGCCACAGGTGGCACACAGAGCCCTCTTTGTGGGCACGCGCATCGTGATCTTCTGGTTTTAGGCGCGAACATGCACCAGCTATTTTTTGCAGACGCTGGAGCGCCAGAAAATGGCAAAAAAAAAGCCCCCAAAACAGGCCGTTTTGGGGCCATTTTCAGGTCGTTTTTTAGGCTGTTTTTCTGCTGTTTTCTGGACAAAAAAACGGCCTGAAAACTGCCAAAAACAGGCATGCACATTCCAGCCAGCTGGTCTTCGGGTTTCCGGTGTGCACAAAGGCAAACTGGCCAGCACGCATGCACGCGCTGAAAATCCAAAGACCAGCTGGCCGGTGCATGCATGCGCACCGGCCAGCTGGTCTTTTGGTTTCCAGTGCTCTGGTGCGCACATATGCACGTACATGAATGTGCATTCCGGTTTGGCCACTCAATGCCGAAAAGGTTCGCCATCCCTGACCTATATGGCTGCATCTGTGTCTCTTTCATTTGGGGATGGAATGGGAGGAGATCATTCCAATAAATATATTTCTATCAAAAGGAAATGATTTACAGTAGAAAACAGAAGCATATGGTATGCTCCTATCTATGTGGAATAATTTTTGTTTTACAATCTTAATCTAGATTTTCCATATGAAATCTCTAAGGGTGGTATCTGAACATCCCCGCATACTGATCTCATCTCATGAAAAAAATCAAATCTGTCCATTATAAATAAGCTTAGAACATGACACTCTTGACCACTACCTGGGGTTTACTACTATTCCAGGAGACTTTTTGTATTGCTTGAATATTGTCCAAGAACAATAACTGCTTAGTACAATTAATTAGTTATATTGTCCAACATATAAATAATATTAATTATTAAGATGCCTGGCTATACCAAGACAGAGAACGACGGACAGCTTTTATCCAGTTACTCATGGCAGGTTCATATTCTTTTGGTTCTCTTTGTGGCTTAAAAACCATGTCAGTTTGCCTCAATGTCTTCAGATGTTCTTTGTCAGTCCAATATCCTAAAAAAACAAACAAAAAGATACAAAATAGTCATTCTCATGTTGACCATAATTCCTGTATTAAAACATGTGTAGGGGTAAATGTAAATCTAGCTTGAAGAATATAAACAACACAATGTTTAAATATTTGGAATATTTTTCATATTACACATTTAACTTGCAGAATAAATCTGTTAATAATCTTTAGATTTTTCCGCAGAATTATATATTCTGTGGTTGTTTCTCTGTAGGTGCCCCTTGCCCTGTGGATCATCCTTTTCCCAGAAATCTACTAGGCCTCACCATCTTTGTCTTCCAGAAGTTTGGAGAGCTAACTCTTCCTACAAGTGTAGAGGTGGGATGAGGTTGGAAAAGAACATGGTGCAGGGATGTATAGGAAAGTGTTGCCATAAAGTAATATTTTTAATGGAGGTATACTGTATTTTATGGAGTAATAGACGCACCTTTCCCCCTAAAAGAAACTGAAAATTTTGGTGCATCTTATACTACAAATGTAGCTTTTTCTTAGCTTTTTTCAGCCCTAACGAGGCACTAGTGGGTGAAACGATCTTCTGCGTCTTCGCCTGCTTTTCTCATTGCTGCTCCCTCCAATGATCAGCTAGCTTTTTTTCAGCCCTAACGAGGCACTAGCAAGTGAAGCGATCTTCCATGCTTCGCCTGCTTTTTTCATTGCTTTTATCTCCAATGATCATCTGTGCTTTAGAAGCTTTTTTTTTATCCCCAACCCGGCGTGTGTGAGCGTATGCTCAAAAGCAGTGAACTAATATGCTGAAGCTGACCAGACTAAGGACGCTAGCCAGATGAATACCGTGTTTCCCTGAAAATAAGACCCTGTCTTATATTTTTTTGAACCCTGAAATAAGCATTTGGCCTTATTGCCTTGCGTTCAAAAGCCCGATTAGGCTTATTATCAGGGGATGTCTTATTTTGGGGGAAACAGGGTATTTGGTAGGCAGAATTCCCCCCCCGCATTTTCCTCCCCAAAAACTAAGGTGCATCTATACTCCAAAAATATGGTAATTTATTTTTATTTTATGGTTTGGAGCTTTCTGTTGATTTAATGTTTTGTGCACTATGTAATTAAAGTAATTTGTGAGTTTATAGAGGTAATCCTCAACTCACAACCAGTCACTTAGCAACCATTCAAAGTTTTTGCTGATGCCCTCCAAAAGCTACATCTGCCAGGTATGAAATTACAGTCAGAATTCAGGGTAAATATGGAAATTACCCTGTGGTCATTCACCATTATCAGGGTTGACTTGATGGACCATAACAAAAACTATATAGCATACTCTTGAAAAAATATCATTATTATTTGCCAATTGTGTACAACATGAAATAAATGACCATTTCTCTTGAAACAGATTCCCCCCAGATATTCAGATTAAAGCATACCAATAGCGAGGCCTGCTAGAAAAGCTGCTCCAAGACAAGACATATCTGTACTGTCAGGCTTGTTTATTGATTCATTGATTAAATCCGAAGTCATCTGCATCACAAAACTATTTTTACTGACGCCTCCATCAGCTCTATTGAGATGGGAGAGGGAAAAACAACAGTATTCAAATTCTTTAAAATATATATGGTTTAAATTGTATGCTCAAAAGACAGAACAAAAACATTCCAGTATTGTCATCTGCAATATCAGAATGGTATGCATAATGGGTATTCTACTATAATAGAAGTAGCAAATAGGTTGCTTCTTATGTTTTTTTAAAAATTCTAAATAAAACTGAATGTAATTATCAAGAGACTGAGATTTTCCATGTTTGGAAAATGTTTAGTTTTATATTTTATTTTCATCAGATGTACCTGAGATACTGGAGAATCTGATTTGGAACCTTTAATAATTGGATAAGATCCGGTTATGATAAAATTCACAAGTTTGCTGAAAACTAAGTAGTTCAACTGACCATTGCAGGAATATTCAACATCGTTTTGCCAGGATAATATTCTTTCTGAAGGATCCTATTTCCAGCTTGACAGTGATAATAAAGTCAGCATTACTACTGGTTGGATTTATCAGCATATCAAAAGGCATATCTCTGTCAATAGGTACAGTATTCTTGTACCTGCAGTCTTAGAATACTGCAAACAGCAAATTCAGCTGGTTTGGACTGATTCGGGCAAACTGGTAGTTCCGATGATCAGCTGGCCCCGCCCACCCACCCCCTCCCTATCCTGTCCTTTATTTCCTTGTTTCCAGCTTCTCTGAATCGCGTGTTACAGCTGATTTCTGCACCTCAGCTGTTCTACTTACCGGGGCTGACTTAGAAGGTAAGCAGCTGAGCTTTAAAAACCTCATATTTTAGTGCTGTGCACAAGTGCAGAAGCGCCCTAGGCACACACACATAGTGCATGCACAAAGCACGCGCTCACTAAACCAGTTGTTAAACAGGTTGCAGCCGACCACTGGTGCAAACATATAATGCTTCAATGTGTAACATGGCAACATGGCAATGCTTTGAAGAATGTCTAGCTCAATCTAATTGAAAAACGAAAAGCTAAGTGAAATGGAAACAAAGGTGATGTATATTGTAATTTGCAGAAATGCTTCATGCAAGCCATGAATATATACTTTGTTCTGATAAAATGTACCATTCTTAAAGGTAATATTAACTACTTTCTATTTCATAGTTTGTACCTACAAGATTACCAAGCTATTATCTTAGATTTCCAAAGAATAAATTGGAAAACAGTGGTTTGACAAATACACAAATACTACTAAGAGACTAACAACAGCTTTGTTAACAATTCTACAGGCTGCTAGAAATCTTTCGATCAGGAGCTTACACCAAGAGATTGCTCCAAAACAGAATTACACTGGCTCTAACTTAACCATTGGGCCCTAACATTCATGCCCCAAACTTATTTATTATATATAAATCATATTAAATATTAATATTGAATATTTTGGATACAATATAAACATACCGAATGGACATAGATGGAATGTCCACCTCTGTTGTAATGATATCGTACAGCTGTTTGTTTCTTGAAAAAATAGATGGGGAAGGAGAAGTTCAAGAAAGTACAGTATACTAAGTAACAATTACATTAGAAGCATAAAGTGTCATAAGGAACACCAATCAATCAAAATTAGCTAGATATTTAAACACGTTTATAATGGAGTTAAAATTAGCTATAGTAAAATAAATTAAACTGCTTAATAAACTAAGAACTGTAGATTTTTCAGCTACAGATTTTTTTCTTTTACAACATTTTAGGTTATTTTTTTTCATAAGATTAAAGCAGTATACATCAGTTAATCAACAGAACCACAGGAAATAAACCATAAGCAGGAAAGGTACTAAAGGTCAACAAGTTTACAAATTAAATTGTTTTATATCACTTTAAAGACAGAAAAATTAATGAGAATTCCAATGATTCTAATATAGAAAGTGCTATTAGTACAAAAGTATAAAAAGTACTAGCAATATATTCCTAGTCTACCCAGTCATTTTATCAGATAATCAGTTCTCAAATTAGAATATATGAATGCATTTTTTTGTCTTATGCTTTAGACGACAAAGGCAGAGGTGATAATTAAGATTTATTTAATATAACGTAGCTTTCTCAGTAATCAAAATACTGAAGCATTTTTTGCATCTCTTAACTGATAGCAGTGATCATGCATTTTGTTATTTGCCAACAAAAAGTAATATAAATAATGTAAAACCAATTTATAATATACATTTTAGTTGCTCCAGTTGAGTTTAAAAAAGAAGACGGAGAGCAGAGGGGGCGTGGTTAAAGGATTTGTTGAAAAAAACCACGCTCAGTCCCTGACAGGAAGATGACGAAATCCCCATCTGTAATGAAGTGACTTAGCAGCGCAATGGAAAAGCATTTATTTAATCTATTGTCTTAAATCTTGTAGAGAGCCAAAAATGAAATACAAATGGAGAAGTGGATTTGAACATGGGGAGAAAATATAGGGTACTGGAAAGAAATGTGCATAGAAAGCAACTGTCAAAAAAAGTCATTAGAATGAACAAGGGTTTGAGCTTATTTAGCTTGTATGCCCTGGGATATAATGATAGGGATTCATTTCCTTATAGGGATGTGCTTGTATTTTAAGAGAGTTGGACTGCCTTCCCTTAACAGCAGACAAGTTTATTCCAAGAAGAGTAAAAAAGTACAGAGGTATTACAATGGAAATTAATACATTATACATTTATCTGGGTAATTTTCTGAAAAACTATGAATTCTAAACAAAACATAAACTAAATGTGATTGGTTGTAATGACTGCTGGTAGGTACCGTAGCTAGTGTGGATGCACCTATGTACACAAATAGTACAAGGAGGGCATACTGAGAACAGGACCAACCATGCTGAGAGGGCGTGTCCACATACCTGAAAGCGATGGATTCCAACACAGCTCGAACAAGATGCTTTTTGCTAGTAGTAGGTGTGATCCCCATAAAAGAAGTACATGCATAAGGATCATTCACAGGTATCTGAAATAAAACAGATATTAAAATAAAATATATAGGAATATGTTCTATAGACAATTGTTCAAGAAAGGACTGAAATATTAGGGAAAAGAATAACTTACAGGTGACAATAAGAGGCAGCATAGTAAGAAGAAGAAAATTGAAAGAGCAGTAAGCAGTCTATAAGCAACTTATATATATGTGTGTATATGATGATTCAGAATGTAATTTTATTTACCTTGAAAGCATTGTAGAACATACTGAAAGTTGAATAAAATATATACAGCTAGTCCTTGATTTACGATCATAAGTGAGCCCAAAATTTCCATTGATAAACAAGGCAGTTGTTAAGTGAGTTGAGCCTCATTTTGCTAACTTTTTTGTCACAATTTTTAAGCAATTCTTAAATGAATCAGGTGGTTGTTAAGCGAACCTGGCTTTCCCCACTAACTTTGCTTGTTGGAAACTGGCTGGGAAGTTTACAAATGGTGATCACATGATCATGGGACACTGCAACTGTCATAAATACACGCCAGTTGCCAAACACCCAAGTTTTGATCACGTGACCATGGGGATGCTGCAATGTCAAAACTGAACATAAGTCAGTTTTTTCAGTGCCATCATAACTTTGCACAGTCACTAATGAATGGTTGTAAATCAAGGACTACCTGTAATTTAGGACAATCATACTTGAAAGAAAAACAGTTACTTAAGTAAATAAATCAAAGGCAGTATTTTTACCTGCAAACCACTAAAAGATGGAACGAAACAAACTCCTCCCGAATTTACTAGGCTATGTGCCATTTGTGATGTCTCTTCAACATTGTCAAAAAGTTCTGGGTAAGCACACAAGATATGAATTAATATGTATCAACAACTCTCAAACTTCTATACATAATTATCAATGAACTCCAGGAAAATATCCTTTCTGCTCCTTTAGTTACGATGATTATCACAGTTATCTTTTCAGTACAGGTAGTCCTAGACTTAAAACCATTTAGTGATCGTTCAAAATTATAAGGGCACTGAAAAAAAGTGATTTATTTTATTTTATTTTTATTTTATTAATTTTTTATACCGCCCTTCTCCTGCTGGACTCAGGGCGGTGCACAGCCTAGAATACAGAACATCCCAATACAAAATTTAAAATTTTAAAAGAATTAAACAAATTTTGGCCCAAAATTTAAAACCTCCCAACTAAAATCCATTTACAATTAAAAATATCTAAGAAGGGGGGGGGTTACGCTAGCCCAGCTTGATGAAATAAAAATGTTTTGAGGGCACAGCGAAAAGCACGGAGATCTGGTATCCTACATATCTCCGGGGGCAGGTTGTTCCAGACGGCAGGTGCTACCACAGAGAAGGCCCTCCCCCATTTTTCACATTTATGAGCGTTGTAGCATCCTCCATGGTCATCAGATCAAAGTTCAGGCATTTTCAACTGGCATGCATTTATGACAGTGTTGTGGCCCCGCCCTCTGAGCCTATCCCATCGGAGGAAGAAAGCTCCGAGCATGAGGAAGAGGAGTCAGCCAGGCCTCCCTCTCCAGGCCCCTCCCCTCTGGCACTGTCTCAGGAGCCGGCCGAGGGAGAGGAGATTAGCCGGGAGACAGGTGTCTCGGATGAGAGTGAGGGAGAGACGTCATTCCTGGATGCACGCCTCCGAAGGCGTGATAAACGATTGCAGCAGCTCAGGAGGCGTGCTAGGGATTAGAACTGAGTCACTGGACCACACCCCAGAGACTATATAATAGAGGGTGGTGGCCAGTGATCCCTGTGACGAACAAAAATAAACCTTGGATAGTCACTAAAGCATCGTCCGAAACTGCTCAGAGGAATATTAATTCTGTTGGACTCTTGTACGCTGAGTATATTATCTTTCTGTTTCTGTGGAAATAAAAGCACTTGGCAGATGGTGTGTATATCGCTGCCAAGTTGGAGATAAAGACCTGGGTGTGTGCCAAGTGCTTCCTTAACCCTTGGCTGGCTGTGTTTGTGTGTGTGTGTGTGGACGGGGACAGATCAGACAGTTGCACTGTCTTGGAGTCATGTGATCACCAGCCAGCTTCCAACAAGCAAAGTCAGTGGGGAAAGCTAGATTTGCTTAATGACGGCATGATTCACTTAACAATTGAAGTGATTTGCTTAACAACTGTGGCAAAAAAAGGGGCTAAATTCACTTAACAACTGCCTTGCTTAGCAATGGAACTTTTGGGCTCAGTTGTGATTGTAAGATTGAGGACTACCTGTATTGGACAATATTCTAGCATTTCATGTATTGGGCACCTCTTTATGGCAAAGTAATCTAAATGGCCCTTTCTGTTTCACAAAAAAGTGAGTGATGTGCTCTTCCTTACTGTCCTGAGGAAGGAAAATGTTAAATGCTATTCCATCTTCTCACTATTGGCAGTGTTTGCATATTCAGCAGGAGTAGCTGAATGGAAAAAAATGGAAATAAGGAAGAGCAGAAAAGCGCACTTCTTACATCTGTGTCAGAGGAAATGGAATAATGAGTGTTTGTACAGCTATGGTTTAACAAGTTAGTATTACATTTATATATAAGTAGCATACAGCTAGACATGAACTTCTTTCAGTACAGAATGTCTGATACTATGGAAGACATTATTCCTAAGCATGCAACCTGCCACTTGAAATGCAATACAGATGCAAATGCTGTGGTAAAATGTTGCAAATCTCTTACTGCATGGTAAGTACACATCTTTTGGGGTCAGAGAGTTCCTAAATCTAAAATATATATTTCTGCTAGAATACAGGCAATATTACTAATAGCATAATTTTATTTTTCACAGTATGTAGTTTTAAAATATAAAGTGTTAACTTTTAAATACTGCATTCATATTTGCTTTACCTGGTGTTTCATTTGGCATTGGAGCATAAATAAAGTAAAAAAAAAACCTGCTATAATTTACATCTTCAGAATTATTGAAAGGAAAAAAAGACAGTTTCCTCATCCACCCACATAAAAACCAATAACACATTGAGATGTAATGCTTTTTACTTTATCATCCATAGGCTTAAATAATTCAACTTCAATAATTAAACTCACCTAAGCTCTGAATCCATTTGATAGCATTTCCAGTATCAGAAGCATTACCTTCAGCTAAGTAGGTGGTCTCATTCCCAATTTTCCAACCAACCAATGGATACAAGCCTTGAAATATCAAAACATATGTTTTCAAAGATATGCCACAATAGGCCCATTATATTAACAGAGAAGCTTTGGATTCAGACATTTTATTTTTTATTTATTTTGTCAAGCATGTATTAGATAACAGATATAAGTATAAACATGATTATGAGTACATGAAATGGATACGTATAAAAGAGCATATTAGGACAGGGACGGTAGGCACGTTGGTGTGCATGTTAATAATGTTCACCAAATTCCCTTACAATCTCTGAAAATAAGAGCCTGAGTGGCATAGGAGGCTAATGCCTCCTACTAAGGCAGCATTTAACATCCAGCTGCCTGCAATTACTGCGAGTTCAATTCTCACCAGGCTCAAGGTTGACTCAGCCTTCCATCCTTTCCAAGGTGGATAAAATGAGGACCCAGTTTGTGGGGGCAATAAGCTGACTTTGTATAAAATATACAAAAGTATGAAGGCTATTGCTTAACGCATTGTAAGCCGCCCTGAGTCTCCGGAGAAGGGTGGCATATAAAAATAAATTATATATAACCAGAGAATTAAGACTCCCTATAAGAGATAGAAGAATAACTAAATAGTCCTTCCTTTCCCCTTTTTTGAATAAGTTGTAACTTTAAACAATTGCTAAGCAACTGGCCAAGAATTATCTGTAGGTTACATTAATAGGGAAATTAGTGATTTATTATATAGCATAGCAATAAGCTACATTCAAATCTAAATTCTTTTCATAGTTATATGTTCTTCCATTGTTTGAATGAATGAATGAGGGGGCACATTTACATGAGGTCTCCTAAACATAGAAATCTTTTGAGAGACTTAGTCAAATTATATTTTAATAACATTTTGATAATCTTTATACTCCAGGTTGAGTTGGATCTTCTATATCCAATCTTTCCCATAAGGAAGTCTTTCTTACTTTGGTGTTGCTTTTCCCTTCTTATGACCAAGTGAAAGTGCACTTAATCTGTATCAGTTGGAACAAAAAAGTACTTCTAGAAATTATTAGAATTATATTTTGAGATTTATTTTTACCAGCAAACAATGAAAAATTCCCTAATAAAATATGTAGTTGAAAATGGAGCTTTTCAGAAATGATTTCCCTTTCTAAAACTTTAGTTATCTATGTCCTATGACTAAAATAGATTTTTATTACTAATTGATAATTAATATAATTAATTATATTAATCATTTTAATTCTAATAAAATAAAATTTTATAAAATTAAAATAAATACATTTAACATTAAATTTAAATTAAAATTTAATTTAAAAAGCATTGTATTTATACAATAATTATTTTTATTTCATGGTAAAAACTTTGCTGTGTCCACAATTGTTCCTGCCAACCAGAAACATACAAACCTACCTTTCTTAGATACATGAATGTTGTTTCCAGTATTAATATCCCAAAAGGTACCAGTTCCCATGGTGACTTTTATGTCACCTGCATCAAAACAGCACTGTCCGAACATAGCTGCCTGCTGGTCTGCTGCCTACAAATAAAAATCAGACAGCGAGGTATCAACAGCTACTCTAGAAATTAAACATTTAGAAGTGCATCATAACTTTACTGTGTTGAAAAACTAATGTGTCAAGCTTAAAAAGAATGAAAAGCAATAGAATGGAAAGAAGATGTGTAGTTTTCCATTTCATTAGTCAGATAAATAATATTAATAGGTGTTTTGTCTGCCTATCTGTCTGTCTATGCTTGTTTTAAAAAGTTTTATTTAAGGTAGCATCAGAATTTGGTATCACCGTTGTGAGGAAAATTAATTCTTAGAGAAATAGGAGTGTGACAGCAAAATAGAAACATAAAAAGAAACAAAGGAAGAATGTGTGTTAATCAAATAGACACACAGAGAAAGGTAGCCTTGGATGTCTAGCTAACAAAAAGCTTTATCAAAAACTTTCTATGGCAATCTAATGACATGTTTCTTTTTCTAAAACAATGATTCTTTCTTGAACATAGTAACAATAGAAGCACGGGAAATAACTGAGAATTGTGAATTGTGAATATGTATGCTTACATCACCTATTACTTAGTCATATGTATGCCTGTTTCTCCTCCTTTCTAAAATGTATGAGTGCATCCTTTGTCTGTAGGAATCTCTCAATATTCTTTGGAGAAGGTTCCTCCAGTATTAAAAAAATAAAACACTGTAGCACGTCTTGATTATTTGTTTTGGATCCTGCATTTTGATTCCACACTGTACAGTCATCAAAGTGATAAAACTGGTAGAACTTCTTACAAATGTTGGCTCTGGGTTACATATACTTTATATTTCATTTCCAATTTTCCATACATTCTTAGTAAACCAGCTTTGTTTTAGCTTTGTACAGGTTCGCCTGGTGCACCAATTGCGACCCTACTTGGATCAGGAGGCTCTCCTCAGTCACTCATGCCCTTGTCACCTCACGGTTAGATTATTGCAATGCGCTCTACATGGGGCTACCCTTGAAGAGTGTTCGGAGACTACAGTTGGTCCAGAATGCAGCTGCGCGAGCTATCGTGGGTGCACCTAGATGCACCATTACACCAATTCTCCACGAGCTGCACTGGCTCCCTATTGGTCTCCGGGCACAATTCAAGGTGTTGGTTATTACCTTTAAAGTCCTACATGGCTCAGGGCCAGGCTATCTTCGAGACCGCATAGCTCCCAGCGACCAGTAAGATCCCACAGAGTTGGTTTCCTCCGGGTCCCATCAGCTAAATAATGCCGGCTGGCGGGCCCACGGGGGAGGGACTTCTCTGTGGCTGCCCCAGCTCTCTGGAACCAGTTACCTCCTGAGGTCCGGACTACCCCCACCCTATTGACCTTCCGGAAAGCAGTGAAGACCTGGCTTTTCCGGCAGGCCTGGAGCTGTTGATCTCGCTGTTCAATCTTGCGAGATCCGGCCATGGATGGTGTGCATGTGTTTTTAATGTTTTTAAAATGCTTTTATAATGTTTTTTTTTTTTATTTTTTATGTTCATTGTTTGTATTATTTTTGTTGTAAGCCGTTCAGAGTCCCTTGGGAGTTGGACGGCATAGAAATATGATTAATTAAGTTAAATTAAATTCTCACAACATCCTTATCTTAGCATTGCCTGGGGCAATTGAAAGAATAATTAAATCCAGCTGGCTGCTGCAGGTAGGTAAGGCCATTGAGACAGGAGAGGATAGAGACAACAGCTTCTTCCAATTATTCCAATACTTCCAAGTATTATGGGACAAAGTTTACCACACTCAAGGAACAAAGAGGCTTTTTATTATTTAAACTGTAATCCTAACAAGAATAGTATTATTATTATACATTTTGTAAAATAAGGTACGTGTGGTAGGAAAAGATACTGGATGTATTTAGAAAAACATAATCACAGTTAGGCTTTAATACTCTATTCATTTTAAAACAATTTAGGGACTAGGTAGTACATCAATACAGTGGTGAAATCCAAATTTTTTTGCTACCGGTTCTGTGGGCGTGGCTTGGTGGGTGTGGTGTGGTGTGGCTTGGTGGGCATGGAAGAGGAAAGATACTGCAAAATCTCCATTCCCACCCCACTCCAGAAGGATACTGCAAAATCCCCATTCCTTCCCCACTCCTGGGGGAAGAATATTGCAAAATCTCCATTCCCACCCCATTCTGGAGCCAGCCAGAGGTGGTGTTTGCTGGTTCTCTGAACTACTCAAAATTTCCACTACTGGTTCTCCAGAACCTGTCAGAACCTGCTGGATTTCACCTCTGCATCAACAGCAATGCTATTTATTTCTCTCTTCGCATAGAACTTAAGGAAGCTTTGCTAAAAAAGCAGCACTTGTTCATTTATATATGTTACATTGTAGATACAAACAGAAAAAGGAAGAAATAGTTGACAAAACCATAATCAGTAGCATTACATAGCTTATACTCATTTTTTTAATTTATAAAAGGCTTCAGTTTGTTCCCTTACCATTTCCCTGACATATTAAACTTGAGATAGAGATGATAAACAAGTCAAAAATAGTTTGAGAAATATTTAGAGGTAGTAGTCCTTGTAATTGACTCCACAATTTCAGTCGTAAGTCATAATGATTCTAAAGCAGGTCATCAGTTGACCATACCTGATGTTGCAACCTTTTTTATGGCAGTTGTTAAGCAAACATGGCAGTTGTAAAGCAAATACCATGGTTGGTAAGAAACCCACTGTTCTCTAGGGCAGTTTTTGACTGAAATCTGAAAGAAATATGTTTCTGGGAAAAAACATTGTAAACCAGTCATTTACAACCTACATGTATGGCCATTTGTAGTGCCCTATGGTCAGTCATGTGACCATAGGGCACTACAAATGGCCATAAATGTAGGCTGGTTAACAAATTCCCAAAATACAGTCACATGACTGCAGTGTGTCTGTGTATGTTCCTCAGATTTCAGAACTTTGAAACTGCATCCTAGGTAGCTTTTTGGAGGTTCATAAATTGAGCGCTACCTGTGTATTATGATGTAATGTCAGGATTAAGTTTTGGCTAGGTTCCAGTCCTAGAGCATAAACAAGCTTTGCCCGATGTACTGAATATAATTATTATCAAATACAGGTTCTGAATTATGGCCCTAGATAAATCCTGCCCAAATAATATATGTGAATCATATTTAGGCTTCTAAGTCTAGGTTAAGAATATAAGTGGTTTATTAGTTTTGAAAGACTTCTAGATAATGCTGAATCTTAAACTTGGCTCGCAAAGCATCCAAGAGGTATAAATATTTACAACATAATATTGTGCAATTTTAAGTTCTTTAAAAAGAACTTCTCATTAACAGTTAAGTCACTGAAATAGAAGATTTCAAAACTGGAATGCTTAGTTTTTAAGAAGGATTAAATAGCATGATCTTCAGAGTAAAAGGAGATTTACAAATGTAAATGCAGCTATTGTGCAAATCCATTTGTACATACTGATTCTTCCTCTCCCTTTCTTTCAATCAGCTTATCTTGAAATTTAAGAACTGAATTAATTCAATATAAAAGGTATTAAATACTGGTAAGTTAATTTGAATCTATACTTACCAAAGCTGCTATTGCAATAGGTACTCCAAATATTTCAGCATCAACTGATCCAAAAATGTGACTTAAAATAAAGATAAATAAAGTTAATACTTCCAACGTATTCAAAACGTTTGCAGTAAATGAACTAACTAGAAAAAAATTGTCATTTCTATTCTAAACAGAACTTTGATATCATTTCATATTTATATTTCAACTATTTCGTATTTATATTTCAACTAGACAACTCATGACCCATTGGGTTATCATTTCAGAGATATTTCTTTATCTAAACAGAAAAACAGAAAGACTATGGATGGGCAAAAAAATCAGTGGAGTGGGAGCAATATCCAATTTTCTTTCTGGCTTTCCCAGTGAGTTTCCTTGTGGAAAGATGGCAGTTAAGCATCAGAAATCTTCCTTCCTTCCTTTCCTTCCCTTCCCTCCCCAGCAGGTAGATAACCTGACTGCCGCAGGGGGAAGAGAGGAAGCATGGTGCAAGTGCAAAGGAATTGCTGCTACAAGAGAACTGTGGGAAGCTGTCAGGGAAATTGAGGATTACGTAACTAGGCTGATTGTAGCAATGCCGTGGTGACACTGAAGCAGGCAAATTTCCCTCCAATTTCAGGAGTCCCAGGTCCCAGCATTCTGTAAGTTGGCCTATTTGAGGTACCTTGGTTGAAAAAGGTTTTGCCCTGTGACATACTATTTTGTTCAGTTAAAACTTACAGACATGAGAGCTTTAACAGTATATAATTATTTTGATATTTATGTCTTCATTTGGAAAAAGTAAAAATATGTGTTCATTAAAACTTACCTAGTGTCCTCTATTGGAGGGAAAAGCGATATTGGAATGGAAAGTAACTTGCTAAAAAGGTCGCTCCATTGCAGCTGAAATCACATGCATATTAAAAAAAGAATTAAAAACAATACAAAGACAAACCATAACAACATGGCAGAGGGAACTAATCATACCTTAAAAGGATCAAAAAATGCAGTGGTACTGGCATTTGAATAATCTGTAGCATACACTGCACCTAGAACAATCAGATATTGAAAAATAAAACAAAAAGCAATTATATTACAACATGGAAATTAAAATTTGGTGATTGATCTCCTGAACAATGTATCAGTCACATAATTCTTCATTATAAAACAATGATTGCCTCCCTCCAAGGGGTTATTTCAATTACCCGTATTTTTCGGAGTATAAGATGCACTTCCCCCCACAAAAAGTGGGTGGAAATGTCTGTGTGTCTTATACAGCTAATGTTGCCGAAGTCCTGCCCATCCGCAGCCCCCACCCTTTGGCCGTTTTTGGCCTCGTGTCGCATTTTTGGTAGGTTCCAGCCTAGGAACTGGCTGAAAACACAACACGCAGAGGCCAAAAATGGGGCGTGCGGAGGCCAGCACACGACGGGTGGAGGTGGCGATCAGCAGTGATGGCCTGTGGCGATTGCGGCAGCTTGGAACGGGTCTAAATTGGAGCATGCAGAGGCCAAAAACGTGACGTGTGGAGGCCAAAAACGTGACATGTGGAGGTGGCGATAGGCTGTGGCAATCCCCGCAGCCTGGAACAGCTGATTGACAGTATTCTGGGAGGCCGATCCTACTGCCAATCATCTGGTCGAACTGAATCAGGCTGCGATAACATACTGAAGCTGATCAGGCTGTGTGGTGCAATGATACTAGCCAGATGAATACCGATGGATGCTGGTAGGCAGAGGCAGAATTTTTTTTCTTGTTTTCCTCCCCAAAAACTAATGTGCATCTTATACTTGAGAGTGTCTTATACTCCGAAAAATACGGTGTCTTGTAATATAGAACTGAGCAGTTCATTTAAACTAATGTTGCTCTATTAACGCTATTATCACTTCCCTTTATTGGTGCGCTTGATCCTCTACACAGTGCACAATTATAAAAGTAACCAATCTCACATGCACTATAGAGACTGTAAAATTGTGTGTGTAAGAGACTTTCCCTACCTCCAAGTGTAAAGACTTGCAGGGCAAAAAGTTCCATAAGTAGCTATTATGGTCTCTTTGCATATGTCCTTGTCAGAGGATGACTGAGAATCAAATAGCACAAATTCTATGAGACATCTATTGTCTCTAAGATACGATCTGAGCATAGAATTAGAACTATCAACTCTGATTCTTAACCCTAAAAATACCTCACAATCCTTAAGTCTATGAGAATGGTAGTACCTTCAAATTTTGGTGCAAGGTATAAAATGGTGAAAAAGGGCAAGATTTTAAAGCTGAGTTTCCAGAGAAAAATGAATATTTTCTAAGTGGATTACTATGACAAAGACATGAATTAGAAAATGTGGGGTTCCAGTAGAATTCTTTGCTGCCTTGAGATAAATCTTCGAGAAATAATGTATTTTGCAATTCCCCTTTTATATTATGCATCTTATTTCAGCTTGTTCATCCAGATTCCTGAACTTTGCTCTGCCTCTTGACTACGCTTTATGCCTGCACCTTTGAAACTTTGGTATTATCTGTTTTTGATCATGGATTAGGTTCGGACAAAACATGTTATTGGTCTTTCACTGGAAACGTCTTTTGAATTTTTGACCTTGGTTAGACAGACAAAGTTTTTTATTTCCAGACAATTGATCTATTCTATTTCACAAGTGCTGCTGTGTGAAGGATGTCAGAATAAGATTCACTTGCAGAATTTTATAGGTGATATGTGAGTATATTACCTCCCCCCACATTTAATCACTGTACTCACCTTTAGTGAGTTTATAAAGTAACCATGTGTCAACTGTTCCAAAACAGCAATTGTCATCTTTAGCAGCTTGTTCTACCTGCAAATGAACACACAGGTCATTTTTTTTTTGCAGGAAGGCAAATGTAATTCATTCACATCAGTGCACTTACAATAGCTCTAGACAGCTAGTCTGCTACTCAGTCAAGTCTAAGGGGTTGATAGTAGTATACAAAACCCTAAACAATCCAGAAGGTTGACTTAATTAGGATAATTAATTACATCAGCCTTCTAGGCTCTTATGATGTTTAAAAGAAAACCTTTTCTTTATGCCATAATGTGGAAATTGCTGTTTGGTAAGTGTTCAGAAGATAAATCAGAGAGTTTTATGAAATGTACAACTCCATGCATCATGGCTGGTCCCAAAGCTAATATTTTTAGATATCTTTCAAAAACGCACTATATTATATTTTGGGAAAGGAGGGGGAGGAGGAAAACAACAGTCTGGACCCTTTGCTAGCTACTGACTAAAACTGCTAGATGAGAAGAACAGATTACCACTGTAAATTGGCTATGACAATGGATATGTATATTCATATAGCATGCAGCTGGATGATAATCCTGAAAGGAAAGGAAATATGCTTAATCTTTTACAAAATGAGTATTTTGTCACTGGCCACATTCTGTAAAAGTTATTTTATCTCAATGCTTACAACATATTATTGCTGTTGTTATTTTTCATAAAATAATTAAGATTTCCTGTATTGGTCTATCAATGTTAAAAATTGTACTGCTACATCAGAAACTATTTTTTTATATTACCATATAAAATGACCCTCAGATAATATTAACTATGGTGTTTTGGGTTTTTTTCCTTTTTTGTGCTTTCAAGTCAGTTTTTGACTCCTGATAACTGTGTAAACAGATCTCTGTAGTTTTCCTGTCACTATTTTCAGAAGTGATTCGCCCTTGCCTCCTTCCTAGCTGAGAGAGAAAATGACTGGATCAAGCTGGATCAGCGGACTTTGTGCCTGGCAGGACTAGAAGTCCCAGTTTTTAGCCTGATGTTTTAACCATTGTCTCAAACTGGTTCTCAATAATAACTACGTAGAGCTCAGAAAATTAGTATGAATCACCAGTTTGGAACATTTTGGATCATGGATCTTCTCCAATTGCATGGCAACCAGATATATTGGCCTCTAAAACCCAATATTCTAGTCAGTCTAGGATCATAAGTTGAGATCAGTACACTGAAAAAGACTAGAATAGTTACTAAGTTCATCTTCAATTGGAAATTTGATAAAACAAATAAATGAACACTTAGAACACTTAGATACTATTGTCAGTAACCCCCTAGCCAACAGGAAATCCCACACAAAGAATTTTAACATGAGGGTTACCTCAAATAAATGCTGTAATATCCAAACCAGTCTTAAAGAGACATGCTGTGTAGTAAAACTAAAACAACGGGCTAGCAGAAGTCTATTAATCCGAGTGAAAAAGTGCAGCAAAGAAGAAATACCATGGACTGCCTGTTTGAAAAGAAAATTCGTAAAATAAACATTTGAGCTGCTGTCCAATTAGATTAAGTCATGTTGTATTTATTTAGCACTATACAGAAAATGAAATATATATTTTGAATTGAACCCAGAATAAACAGTGCAGTCTGGAATGTTTGCAAAATTGGCTTCAGTTTAACAGAAAATACATAGGTTTTTTTTTGTTGTTGTTCTGCATTTAGCAAAAACAAAATCCAGAGGATCCCTTACCTGGCCTTTGCACTGACCCATCCAGTTCCCCATCTTCCCAGTATTTTCCATTCTCTCATTCTATTGAAAATGTATTTGCCTAAGTACCTGCCTCCCTACTACAGTGGTCTCAGCAGTGGTGGGTTACCCCGGGTTCTATAGAACCGGTAGTAAAACCAGCAGGAGGCTCCACCCACTGACCCGGATGTCATCATAAGTGATCTGCGCATGCACAGAAGCTTCTGCACATGTGCAGAAGAGCGCATGCATAAGCGAAGCAACAGCACGCGTGCGGACACAATGCAAACCAGTAGTAAAGGTAAGTAGAATCCACCCCTGGGTCTCAGCGGTTCAAAATACCATCTTTGACTGGCCTAGCTGCTTGCAATCTTCTGGACCATTTCTTTGCAACCTTCCCTCAGCTGCTATTGATATATACTGGATGCGTATCTTGCATCAGTTATCTCAGCAGTAAGAAGCAGGTTTTATTGGCATGTCCCACCAGCATGCTCATTCCAATCACCCCAAAGTTAAATAACTGGAACAAAACAACTCTGTTTTCTTCTACATTTGGATCTCAACATTCAAAGCATTTTGAATGTTGATTTGGATGCCGATTGCTCAAAATCAGCCACACATTTTGTACATTCTTAATATTATTAGTAGGATATGCCTACAGCTTAGTGCACTGCCAAAAAATGATTTATTTATGCCTTAGCTTGTTGCTTATTGCTTGTTTTATGAGTTCAAGACAATGTGATTTGTAAACTAATTTGTTTGAACCCAGCAATTTGTGGGTTTTTTTCAATAAATCATGGATAAGCAAATAAGACTTACTATGTTCTATGAACACAGCCAGTTTCTATGAATACAAAACTACTCAACTGTTTGGTGAAGTGGTGGTTATCTGGACCTGTATTTAACATATTCTGTTATGCCAGTCCAAAATAAGTTTTGTTGTTCAAAATTCCAACAAGAAGCAAGTTGGACAGAAATTTTTTAGGTGAGTAGGACTAGATCAGAGTCTGACTGTTACTAGTCTTCGTGTGCAGAGAGTTAAAAGAAAACACTCAAAGGCAAGAATCTATTTCACTTCCGATTGCTAATAAGGAAATCCATTTTGAATACTGCTCATATTATAAACTTGCCACATACAGAATTCAGCAGAGCAGAAAAAGGTTATACCCCAAGAATTTGCCAGGTGTGCTGTTTTTCCACGTGCAGGTAATTTTTATAAATGCCACTTTTAAATTAAAAAAAAAACTTTATTTCAGTATTTCAAAACCAATCTGAGTCTGTAAGAAACAGTCCTAGAACCCTTTTACTGCAGAAGTAAAAATTCATCTGCACCCCCTCACTAATACAGGCAGTCCTCGACTTACGACCACAATTGAGACCAAAATTTCCATTGCTAAGCAAGACAGTTGTTAAATAAGCTTTGTCCCATTTTATGATCTTTCATGCCACAGTTGTTAAATGAATCACTGCAGTTGTTAAATTAGTAGCACTGTTGTTAAGAGAATATGGCTTCTCCATTAACTTTGCTTGTCAGATGGTTGCCAAAGGTAATCACATGACCCAGGGACACTGCAAGAGTCATATATACATGCCAGTTGCGCAGTCTGTGTTGGCAGGGGGGGCAGAGGTTGACCTTAGCCGCTGGGTGAGATCATCCGTGGATTTGGGGTGCGATGCCATCTGTACGCTGATGACACTCAGCTGTACATCTCCACCCCAAACCACCTCAATGATGCCCTTGAAGTGATGTCCCAGTGTCTGGAGGCCGTGCGGGTCTGGATGGGGAGGAACAGGCTTCGACTCAACCCTTCCAAGACCGAGTGGCTGTGGATGCCGGCATCCCGATATAGCCAGCTGGCGCCATCGCTGGCTTATTGGGGGCGAGTCATTGACCCCCACAGAGGGGGCTCGCAACTTGGGCGTCCTCCTGGACACACAGCTGTCTTTAGAAGAGCATATGACGGCCGTGGCCAGGGGGGCTTTTTATCAGGTTCGCTTGATATGCCAGTTGTGCCCCTTTCTGAGTCGGGATTCCTTATGCACAGTCACTCATGCTCTCGTCACTTCTCGCCTGGACTACGCTAACGCTCTCTACATGGGGCTCCCCTTGAGGAGCACCTGGAGGCTCCAACCGGTCCAGAATGCGGCCGCGCAGGTGATCACGGGAGCGACATGGCGCTCCCATATAACACCTCTCCTGCGCGAGCTGCACTGGCTCCCGGTGGTCTTCCGGGTGCGCTTCAAGGTGTTGGTTCTCACCTTTAAAGCGCTCCATGGCTTAGGGCCAGGGTATTTACGAGACCGCCTGCTGCTACCGATAACCTCCCACCGGCCAATACGCTCTCACAGAGAGGGCCTCCTCAGGGTGCCGTCGGTCAAGCAATGTCGGCTGGTGGCCCCCAGGGGGAGGGCCTTCTCTGTGGGAGCACCCACCCTCTGGAACGAGCTACCTCCCGGAATACGGCTGATTCCGGATCTCCGCACTTTCCGTAAGGCCCTGAAGACATTTTTATTTCAGCAAGCCGGCCTGGCCTGAATAGGTTTTAGGGGTTTTTAATTGTATTGCTAGGGGTTTTAAATTGGGGCAGCCGTTTAATTTAATTTATTTTTAATTATTTTAACTTTTATATTGCATGTTATTTTAATTCTCGGCTGTTCACCGCCCTGAGTCCCTTCGGGGAGAAGGGCAGGATATAAATTTAATAAATAAAATAAAATAAATAAATAAATAAGTGTCTGAATTTTGATCACATGACCACGAAGATGCTGCAACAGTCCTAAGTCCCTTTTTTTTAGTGCTATTGTTAAGTCAAAGACTACCTGTACCAACATTTTTATTTAATTGCCATAAGCTTATTTTACAAAATCTGCGTAGTTCTAGATCTAATAATAAAAACCAAGCTATATAATATGCTGGGAGATTCATGTCTAATTCTGACTTCTAATCTTGTAGTTTACAAAATTCAGCTTTGGAAGAGAGAACCTATTTGCCATTTAGAAAAGGAGAATTGAAAGAAAAATTCAAACATCCTCACCTATGATATTGTTTCTTTCATAAAAATACAGGTAGTTTAAAGAAGTAACAACAAATACCAGCCTTCTCTACAGTAAGGGCATACATATTCGCACCCATGCAAAGTTCCTTCCATCCTTCATCCAACTTACTTTCAACACAAAGAAGTATCTTACCTTCATTAAAAAAGATCTGTTCCAGGATTTAACAAGGTTAGCAGCTCTCACATCTTGCCAACTTATGAAATTATGAAAAGGTTTCCCTGTCTTTCTGGAAGAGCAAAAAGGAATAATTGACTTTCCAATTGCTTCACTAATATTAATTTATAGTTCAGTAACAGAGTTTAGATATCAGCTCTAAACAGATTACAGATTTTGTCTTTTAAATGCATGTGGACTGCTGAATCTTGTCCTGATGGGAAGAAAAACCAGAAAGTCCAGTTGCCTCTTGAAAAAGCACCTTGGGACAACCATGACCTGGATGACTGAGAATCTCCATGGATTTCTAAATTGTACCAATTATTTCTTGTCCTCATTTCTGTGGCAATAGAGCAGTTCCTGACAATCATCTCAGTGTACTTCAATACTGATATAATCTCTACTTTCAATCTTCTGTTCTCCAGATTTATCATGCCAAGTTCCTTTGGCTTGTACTCAAGACCTTGTTTCATCTCTTTTGCTCCCACCCAATCTGTTCTAGTTAATGTCCTTTTGGAAATGGTGCCCAGAATCTTCTCATAGTCCTAAGGCATGGTCTCCACAGTGCGCTGAGAATGTTTCTTCTAATGCTGCACAGAACTCTTTTAACGTAAGTCTCACTTTGTTGTCTCGTGTTCAGTCATCAATGACCATACTCTCAGTATAATGGTTCTAAGCCCCTGTATTTTCCCTCTCTAAATACAGTATTTTACATTTCTCCCTGTTGAAGGATATCTTGCTCTTCTTAGCCCTGTTTTCCAAACTGAGCAGTTTAGAATGCAATATTTTAAGATCCTGGTTACTGGCCAGATTTCCTAATTGTGTTTCAACTGCAAACAGGATGAGCTTTTATCCATTTTAAATTGTTGACTAATATTGGGCCAACACAGAGACCATTACGTGTCTCCAACTCACTATGAAACTATTAATGCTGACTGAAGTGTGGTTAACTAGTTAATTATGGAGCCATTCTATTGCAGCACTATCCACCCATACCAGTATATTTTTTTTTATCTTGTCAAAGAGATAAGATTTGTCTCACCTATTTTTGCAAAACTGCTGACTTTTAGAAGGATAGCACAGTCTTCGTTTTGGCTACAAAATGGCCTACTTTATTATCTACTCTTCAATATATTACAGATATTGATTTTAGGCTTACTGTCAATTATTATGTTAACTTTATTTTTCTTTTCTTAATGCCGGGTACTCTATTTACTCTTCCCCTATCCTGTAACACTTTTTCCCTCCACGATTCCTCAAAGGAATCCTCAAAGTTATTATGTCCTATAACTGACATAAGTTCAAGTTCTAATAATTCTTCAGCCAGATCCTTCAGTATTTTAAGTGTATTTCCTTAGGACATGGGGACCTGTCCCAATTAGTTGAAGTGCTGGATTTCAGGGAAGTGTTGGGCTTTAGTGACTTTGCTCTACACAACAGCTTTTCTGTTATGACATGAAAGCGTAACTAATAGATCCAAAGTAGCTGACTGGAGCCTTCTGTTGTTTGTCCTTAATCTATGCTACTCAAATCATCATTTCCTTTGGAGAGAAAGAGCCAAAAACTCATGCTTTCTCTTAATCATGTTAGGATCTCTCTGTTTGAACTAAGCCATAATTTTACATCTTCTTTGATTTCCTCTTGCTACTGACATGTATGAAGAAATTCTTATTGGATTTTGCCTCAGTGAAAAGCTTTAGCTTTCCACCTTTGCCTTCCTGACCTTATAACTAATTTCTGAGGTAAACATGGGAAAACTTCTTTGAATGTTAATGCTTTCTTCCACTTCAAATAAGCACTCTTCTTTAATCTCAAACTCCTTTGTGAGCTGCCATGGGCTCCTTTGAGATTAAACCACCTTTTTGTTTCCAAGTAAACTCAAGTAGTGACAAAATCTTTAAGGTTTTGTTCCTATGCATTTTCTTTACTATTTTATTTATTAAAAATAGTATTTCTAAAATCGATACTTTTATTTGACCTGTTTAAACTGAATTTTTGTTAAGATCAACTCTAGGAAATCGTGATCAGTTCAGCTTCAACATTTCATTTTTTAATATATTCAATCAATGACTTCCTGTTAATAAGGAACAAATCTAAGGAACAAATTTCCTTTTGTCTAATCATTTGAAAGACATAATTATCACCAACACAGAACAAAATTAATCTGACATCTCCTGTTTGACAAAATTAACTTTCCAACATATGTCTAGGTAGTTGAATTCTCCACCAATCAAGCCTCATTTGTCTGAGGCTTGTTATTTGTTTCAATAAATAATCTATCTGTTCTATGGCCTGTATCAGATTTCTAGCAAAACATCAATTCTCGCCCTTTATTCTAGCCTAGATACTTTTATCTTCTCATTTTCCTTTGTCTAGATTCCTTCATTCCTGAAATGCAGTATTGTATTACTTCCTGTCTTGCATTTCCTGTTTCTTTGAAGCAAGCTATACTCATTAAGCCCAATATTTATCCCATGTATTTCTGCTAATCCTTACTTGCCCTTACATTTTGTTCAAAAAGAGACCCAGTGGTTAAGGTACCATGCTAGAAACCAGGAGACTCTGAGTTCTAGTCCTACCTTAGCGATGAAAACCAGCTGGGTGACTCTTTCTCAGACCAACTCACCTCACAGTTGTTGTAGGAAAATAGGGGGAGGAAGGAGTATTAAATGTGTTCGCCACCTTGAGTTACTTATAAAAATAAAGAGATTTCTGAGGACCTCTGAAAAACAGTAATTGATGCTCACCAGGCTGGAAATGGTAACAAATATATCCAAAGGGTTTGGATTCCATTGGTCTACTATCAAGAAGCTCAAGTACAAATGGAGGCAATTCAACATCAACATTACCCTTCCCAGGAATGGTCAAACAACTAAGATCACACCAGGACCAAGGCATAAATTCTCCAAGAGGGGTTCAAAGAATCCCAGGGTAAGATATCAGAAAGTAAAGAATTATCTTACACTGATGAATATCAGTGTTCATCAAACCACCACCAAAAAAAGAAGATTGCTGCCCATCTACTATTTGTGAAAAAGTATGTGGATAAGCTAGAAAGCTTCTGGAAGAATGTTCTGTGGAAGTAACAGAACTTTTTGGCTTAAAGTTGAAGTGTTATATTTGACAAGAAGCAAACACTGCATTCCAGTATAAGAACAGTGTCCCATCTGTGAAAATGGTGGTGGCAGAATAATGGTTTGGAATTGCTTTGTTGCCTCTGGATCAGGACGGCTTGCCATCATTGATGGAACTATGAAATCTGAATTATGACTGCAAAATTCTACAGGAAAATGTCAGCATGTCTGTGCATGAACTGAAAATCAAGAGAAAGAAGTCAAGCTGTAAGACAACAATCCAAAACACACAAGCCATACAACCAAAGAATAGTTAAAGCAGAAGAAATTTAATGTTATGGAATGGCCAAATCAAAGTCCTGAGCTTAATCTTAGAAAAACATTGTGAAAGGACAGGAAACGGACAATTTGTGCAAGGAAGCCCACCAGTACCCTGAACTGAAGCTGTTCTGTAAGGAATAAACTCAAGTTTCTCCAAGCCAACATACAGGACTGATCAACACCTATTGGAAAGGTTTAGTCGCAGTTATTTCTGCCCAAGAGAAGCAATTACTGAAAGCAAAAGTTCACATATTTTTGCCACATACAAATACAGACCTTTGATCATTTTCCTCAATGTACAAATGAACAATAGTTCAATAGACTTATTTAATTGGGTTTTTAAAATCTAGTTTTAGAAGTTGTGTGGAGAATAGATCACATTTTAGATAATATGTATGCAGAAATATTAAATTCAAAAGGGTTTACCAACTTTTAAGGACTGTTGTATATTTAAAAAGCAAATTTCAAAGCATAATTTTTCAATCAGTTATTGAAATAACTACAGGGAATTCTATGTCAAAAGCAAAACTGCTCTTAAACTCTAGGGCAAGAAGACTTAAAACATAAACCAAATAATTTATGATAACATTGATTATTGGATTCTATCTCTTCACATAACAAATTGGATGCACTATGCTTGAAAGTAAAATGAAATCCTGTGTGTAAAGAAAAGTGATATTGTACAACCAACAATTTTAACACAAATTTCTCCCTAACTCAAGGTACAGGTAAGGTCTTTGTTGCAGTTAAATATTTCATAAGTAGGTCTTTATGTTCATTACATATAAAGACACATACATTACACATGTAAATTAGTTTGAAAATTAATTTAATTTAAATTTAATAAATAAATAAAACAAATTTAATAAATAATATAATCCTCAATTGATGACCAATTGTTTAGCAACTGTTTGAAGTTACAATGGTGCTGAACAAGTGTGTTTACAATAGGTCCTCGAAAATTCTGGCTGTCCCAACACTCTTTAGATTACGTGATTGAAATCTGGGCACTTGGTGACTAGCTGGCACTTATGATGGATGCACTGCCTCATGTGATTGTCATTTGTGACCTTACCTGACAACTTCACACATGCAAAGTCAATGGAAAAACCACAGGGAAGCTCATAAGTTATCTCTGCCACCCAGTAGTAGTCACTGCCAGCTCATTAGTTACCTGTGCACCTTTCTTCCACCCGTTGCTGCTACCCCTGGCCCCTCCATATGCAGATGTCTAACTGGCCACCTGCGCACCTTCCCCACCCAGTAGATCACTGACATAATAAAACTGAAATCTATTCAAAAACATTAGCCTTAATGTCATTGTCCTTATCTACAGAACGTGAATTTGTAAGAATTAAGCTTAAGCTGTTTATTACTTTTTTCTATTCTTTGTATCTTAACTAGGACAACTTAATACCTTAACTAAAGAATTCAAAACAATCAGAACTATTTCTACATAAGAACATTTTAGTAGAATAACTGGTTTTGCAATGGTGAGATTTATGTCGTGGAAGAGATTTAAAAACCCACCTGTTTTTATATTCCTTTCTCCCTATTCAAAATGTTGAAATGACCAGTAGTACTTTGTTTAAAATTTTTGAAAGAGATTGTTTTCTACCCCGCCCTACTTCTCAACTTACAGTTTATTGTTGTAATTCTTCCTAGGATATATAGTATTTCTTTAATTTATTCACATATGGAAGAATTCTAACTGAATAGTTGAGATAATTATTGAACTAATTTTATTTATCAAATGTATAAAACTGTCCACAGAACAAGAATTTAGGAAAGAAATCTCAATATTCATATTATTCATAGAAATTTATTCCTGCAACTTGTGTAAATACATACCCTCTTAATTATACATTATACATTTTTTAATTTCATCAGAAAGTATTTTATATAAAGACAGTAATTATGATATACAGATTCCCAAATATTTGACAGAATTCACATTAAGCTATGTTCTTTCTGCCCTCTAAGCTGTTAATATATTAACTAGTTTAATGGAATCAATGATAAGACTATTTTGGGCAGGCGAGACAGATTTGACAACTACCCTAGTCAAGCGCTATTGATGTAAAACTAATATTCAACACATTATATTGGAAAAAAAACAATTTGAAAGAAACTGAAAAAGACAGGTTGCTGTTAATATTCAACAGTACTAAAATTTATCAATAGGCAATGCAGGAAGGAGAAAAGAGGTTGAAATAGTAGTATCTTAACATCCTAGATTGAAAACTTTACAGCGATGATGGCTATAGCTATGAATTAAAAGGTCTTAATTCATTAAGAGGTCTCTAATTCTAGGCTGATAATATTATGATACAAATCCAGTTTTGCATACAGACATCCACATTTTTTAATTAATAGGATTAGTTATGGACACCTCTAGCAGATATTATGTTATGTGTTTGGTCACTGCCTGTCCCCATCCGCCATTACATATGCCTCCTAATTGAGGGAAAGATATCAGAGACCTGTGGTATCAGTTATAACCTTTATACATACTTGTTCCATGTAATGAAAGTTGCACGTTGTGTTGAAAGTCCAAGAGCAGAGATTTGATTCATTTTAAGTCCTGCAACTAAAAGATATATTTATTTATTTCAAAAGATTTGTATGGTTATCCATTCGGGTGGGTCATAGGAATAAAACTACAAACCCCACTAAAAAACTATACTTGCATCAACCAATTGTCTCCAAGCTCCACCACTCTATCCCAGTGTCTAGATAAAGAGACAGGTTTTGATGCCCTTAATTTAAACAAGAATAGCTGAATAATTATGGTGGTGTTGATTGAGTTTAATAATTAATCCACATGCATAAATGTTTCAATAAATATAAGTTTTTTCATTAAAATAAACTTAACTAATAATCACAATTGTTTAATTCAGTTTCTAAAAGGTGATGTGAATGTAAAATAGGCTTTCCAAAGAAAAGTAGCTCCCATATGTTGTGAGCTCTTTTGTGAAGGCCTTAGCTTTAATTTAGGTATTGTGATAGAATGTGCACCTAGAAAATTAGTGGGTAGGAGTTTTGCCACTACAGACCTTTCCAAGGATGAGGCAGTAATTTCTACTGGGTTAGAAGGTTATAGCTTTAGTTTCACAAGATTCTGTCCATTAGATGAAAGCAAATAAAGGACTGAATTTGATTTTACTGTGTCATTTTTGAGCTTGAACCTAACCTTGAATGTGTCTTATCTTTGAGCTTGAATCTAACCTTGAATATTTGAGCTTGAACCTGAGCTTGAACAAGTCTCATCTTTGAGCTTGAACCTGAACCGCAACATATAATAAATTTAATATGCAGTATTAAGTTTTGAAAGAGGAAATTAATATGGTTGCATGATTACCTTGAACTGCTTCTTTAATCACATCAATGAACTGGGTCCACAGACTTTCAGGGTCTAATTCAACCCAACCGGGCTGAGGATGAAGAGCCTCTACCTATTAAGGGAAACACAAGTTTACCAAGATCATAGATGTTAATGATTTTGATGAAGATTACAAAAAAGTATCTTCCCATATTAAAAGAATTAAAGTTGTTCATCTTATTTCTCACATACTTATAACTCACATTCTCTTTTTAAAAAATAGGCAAAGGTAATTACAGAACAGCCATTAGAAATCAATATACAGTTGCAAGAAAAAGTATGTGAACCCCTTGGGATTACGTGGAGTTTTGCATGAATTGGTCATAAAATGTGCTCTGAACTTCATCTAAGTCACAACAATAGAAAAACACAGTCTGCTTAAAATGATACTACACAAACATTAGATGTTGCCATGGTTTAATGGAACATAACATGTAAACATTCACAGTGCAGGGAGGAAAAAGTATGTGAACCTTTGGACTTAATAACTGGTTGACCCTCCTTTGGCAGCAGTTTCCTGTAGCTTCCTGTAGAAGGCGACTGAGGGGCGGTGGGTAGGCGGAGAGATGTGGACGGGGCAGCCTGGTGGTCCCACGCGGGCCGGATTAATGGCTTCAGTGGGCTGTATCTGGCCCGCGGGCTGTAGTTTCTACGTAGAAGCTACTTAACAGCTGCATGATTCACTTAATAACTGCAATGATTTGCTTAATGTGGCAAAGGTTGTACGGTGAGTCAAAACTCACTTAACCCTAACCCTTGCTTAGCAATGAAACTTTTCGACTCAATTATAGTCAAAGACTATCTGCGTTAGCTTTCTGTGGTAAGCACATCTTGTGCATGGTATATTATGTATTTGAACGCACCAAGAATGAGAAAGTTTGAGAAAAAGCTGAACTATTATTACAGATAGTCATTGACATATGACCACAACTGAGCTCAGCATTTGTTGCTAAGTGAAACATTTGTTAAGTGAATTTTGGCCCATTTTACGACCATTCTTGCCACAGTTAAGTGAATGACTACAGCTGTTAAATTAGTAGTACTGATGTTAAGGGAATATAGCTTCTCCATTGCCTTTGCTTGTCAGATAGTTACCAAAGGGGATCATATGATACCGTGACATTGCAACCATCATGAGTCAGTTGCCAAGTATCTGAATTTGATCATTGACAATGGGGATACTGCAATGGTCCCCTGATAATAAGCCCAATCGGGCTTTTAAGCGCATGTGCTAAAATAAGACACCCCCCCGAACATAAGCCCTCCCCAAAAATAAGCCCTCCCCAAAAATATTTAATTGCATGCATAGCCGGTCCCTGCCATTTCCTCTGGTTAGGGTTAGAAAGACAGAGCTGGAAATCAGGTAAGATGGCACACTCCATGCGCCCCAAAAGAATAAGACCTCCCCAAAAATAAGGCCAAGCGCTTATTTCGGGGTTCAAAAAAATATAACAAATATAACAAAATCTATTTATTAAATTTCTATGTGGCCCATCTCACTAATACAGCACCTCTAGGCAGCTTACAATATAATAAAAAGTTAAATGGTCCTAAAACAATTAAAATAAAACAGTTAAAAGTTAAGAACCAAGATGATAGGCAGCCTGAGAATCTTCTCTAGCCTATCAGTCAAATTTAGCAAGTCCCTATTGACCAAGTTTTTGAGCTCTTCCAGAAGGCCAGGAGTATGGGGGTGGATCTCATCTGTGATGAGAGAATATTCCAAAGGGTGGGGGCCACAGCAGAAGATGTTCATTTCAATCTGCTTAAACACGATAGACAGTCGGGAAGATCTCTTTGAAAGAAATATGCAATAACTATTACTGTACTTAAGCAAAATAACTGAGTAGTAGGTACGAAGTAAAAACATTTTTAAGCCCAATTTTGAAGTGGCTCAGATAGATTCCTATCTGATTCACAGAGTATATGGAAGGAAAAGAGAAATGGAACAATCAGAATTGCAAGGTTCTTTTATTTTAGCCAATCTTAATAAAAATAGCTTGTCTTCTTTTGGCTTCATTTCCTGGTCTGAGCTATCCAGTGGGGCTGACAAAGACTTTTAGTATATTTATTGGGGCATATATGTCATTCCAATTCAAACAGGATATCCATTAGCTTAAGTGATAGACAAATCTCACCTACACAAAGACAAATTGTTCTCACTGAATAACTCTTAGTATTAGAAATTTTTCCCTAGTGCCAAAATATACTTCCTTGTAATTAAAACATATTTTCTTGACTTGTTTTCTGGATCAGTTCTGCCCCACTTCCCATATAAGAGCCTTTCGGATATTGGAAGACAACTATTATTACTACCTATAGTCTTCACTAGGCTAAACATACTTACAAAGTTTTTCTTTCTAGGCTGCTTATAACCATGGTTTGGTTTTACAGGTGGTCCTCAGGTTACAACCACTCATTTAGCAACTGTTTGAAATTTGTGACACCACTAAATGAGAAGGATGACCAGTCCCCCGAGTTTCAGCCTCCCCTCAGTCACATGATGTTGATCTGGGTGTTTGGCTTGCAATTACAATGCCATGTGATCAGTTTCCGATATTCCCTATTGGTTTCCCGAAAGCAAAGTCAATAAAGAAACAGACAGGAAGCCAGAAGTTGGTATTGCATAAAGTCCTCATTTAACAATGGCAACCAGGACTACCGTTAAGTGACGTAGTCACACGATCTTGCTAGTCATAAAGTGCGATATCGTGTGACTGTGTCACTTAGTGGTCCCAAATGCCATTAATAAACTAAGGACTTTATTTATATCCCACTACAAGCTACAATCTTTTTTTTTTTTTTAATTTGATTTATATGCTGCCCTTCTCCGGAGACTCAGGGCGGCTTACAATGCGTTAAGCAATAGCCTTCATTCTTTTGTGTATTTTATACAAAGTCAGCTTATTGCCCCCACAAACTGGGTCCTCATTTCACCTACCTTAGAAAGGATGGAAGGCTGAGTCAACCTTGAGCCTTGGAGAGATTCGAACCAGCAGAAATTGCAGGCAGGTGTGTTAATAACAGGGTGCACTAAACCACTGTACTATCAAGGCTCTTGATAGTACTATCTTAAGGGACTCTTGGCAGTTTATGGAAAGTAAAACAAACAAAATAACCCTGTTGGTTAACTCTGGTCAGTTTATCAATGGCATTTTTAAATTGCAGCCTTAATAACTGGAAACAATGAGTTAATGCAGTCAGGTACTAAATAGAGAGGAAGAATGACTTTTTAACATTGCATATCTGTTGAAGTAGCCTAGAAACTGCATTTGTTTTTTTTTTTACTATTGCATCACATTCCTGACTCATATTCAGTTTGTGATTTAGCGCAATATCCAGATTATTTTTGCATTTAGCACTGCCCAACATGATCCCCTCCCCCATTCTATCTTTTCTTAGTCAATCTAAGAAAAACCCATTTTGTTCTGCATTTCTTTCTGTAAATTTATCTTCCTGGTTTCTGCCTATTGTTTCAGCTTATAAAATCTTCCAGAATCTTCATACTTTGCACTATTACCCTTCATCTTTATGCAAATTTCACTGCCATATTTTTAGTAGGTTATCCAATCCATTTAAAAATATGTTGAATAGCACAAGGAAAATAACTAGAATTCAGCCGTGTGGTATGCCACGCAAACACTTCCTTCCAGCTTGATATGGGTTCCCCCCCCAATAAACTTTATGTCTTTTTCAATAAGCTTTATATCCAGACACTGGTAGCATCATGGTCAAGACTGCATTTTGCTACTCTTTCTATTCGCATTTCATGGGAGATCTGTGCACTATCACTGTACTTTCAAACATTTATTTGTATTCCACTTGGTTATTTTTACAAGCAACTCAAGGTGATGAATGCTTTTAATACTCCTTCCTCTTATTTTCCCCAAAACCACCACCCTGTGAGCCGAGTTGTGCCTGGCCCGAGGTCACCCAGCTGGTTTTTATGGTTAAGGCAAGACTTGAATTGGAAATGTTATTGCTTTCAAAAGTACTAACACCTACATTTTTATATTATTTATCTTCAACTTTGAAAAATGTTCAAAGGTAACATGGATAGTATCTATGGTGTGATTATTAAGCGCAGGTTAAATACTGAAATTTTAAAACAGTATTTAAGCATTACATAGAGTAGGATATCTGTAAATGCTGCAATAAGAGGTCAGCATATCATGCAGTCCATGCGTTAATCATGGACTTTTGTTATTCACATTCCTGCTGCATAAACAGTTCAGAATCAGTGCCACATAGGAAACCAAAGCAAAATCCAATTTCTATATAACCATTACAGGTCAATGTGCAACTTATTTTTATTACTTATACTACTAAACAAGAACAAAAAGACAAGCAAGTTGTATATCTATATTTTAATGATGACAGAAGTTGCAATGTACATTACAGAAAAACTACAAAGCTCAATGTGATCACTAAATCAGAGGCTAGGGCAAAAACAAAACAAAACAAAACCCCCAGTTCTTTCTTCATTCATAAAACAATGGAAACAAACATACTGCCCAGAAGTAGTAAAAGACTAAGAAGAAACCAGCTTGGATTACAGGAGGCAACTGTTTATAAAATATACACCAAGGAAAAACTTAATAATTGTATATAATTTATGGAAAGGCAGTAACTCTCTCCCTACAATTTAGTAATACCAGTCTCTGAGTTTGTTTTTAAATAAACTATGAAGTTGGCACAACCATGATTTACTGAATCAATTATATTGAGCCGAATTATTTACTGAACACACGAGCTGAGCCCACACATTTTGGATTAACATATGTATGGATGGTTCATGATTCAGTGTCTTGTGTGCTCACAATTTTTGGATTAGGACCGCGTTGTACTGAGTTGCAATCTTAGGGAATAGCATAAAACAATCCCCAAAGAACTCGGTGAGTAAAACGGAGTTAAAGGAACCTCATTATGTCGGGCCTTCTTCCCCGAGGCCCGCACAATTCTCACCTGTTTGCTACTGAATCCTTTGAGGACCGCCGCCTTGTCGTACACATGGCACCGTATCACCGTGCTGCCCACGTCTATCCCCAAGATATACTTCACCTCCGGGGCAAGAGCGCAGGCCGTGGCACCGCTGGCGGTGGAGGCATCGTTGGCCGCTGCTGCGCCACTATCGATCAGTTTCATCCGCGCTGCGCCTCTTCAAAGCCCAGGCAAGCAACTTTCCGCAGAATCTAACGCAAGTCTTCCCGCAATGGCTCCGGCGGAAAGTGTGTCAACCGACTCTTTGGGGGGCCGGCATAGAGCCGCCCTTACTTCAGGGGCGGGTTTTATGAGGCGACAAAAAGGGGGCGGAGGCTGTTCGCAGAAAAGCTGGTAGGGAAACGAAAGAATCGCGCGGGGAAGCCGGAGCCAACCAGGGGAAGGAAATAGGACGAGGGAACTGGGCAGAGTCGCCGCTGCCTTTCTTGGATTTGATTTCCCAGGCGGCTCCCGTGAATCCTTTATTCTAATGTAACTACAGAGACGTGTAGGAAGTTAGCACCCAGCCCTTTCCTAGAAGAATGAAATATTGCAACTTTTGCTTCTTCCCGTAGGCAGGGTGTCTCGGGGAAATATTTAACTGAGCGGGGCGAGGACAAGAGCAGAAGGCGGCGAGCAATTTTCCACGAAGTTGCCTTGTGTAGGCAATCATAGGTTCTCCAGAGGCCGCCTGAGAGTTTAAAACACAAAAACTTGTTTTGGTTTTCTAGTATAATTTGCATTCTAGGAATTGAAGCCCAAAACCAGGTGGTTTCTTTTTGTTTCTAGGATGATGATGCAACAAATAAGTTATTACCATTAAAAGGTAGGTGCTGCGATTTTAATCTTTCCCTGGGCACTATTGTGTCAATATTTAGTCGTTAGTCGGTTTTTCCACCCTCTCAAATTACTTTGGAGTCATTAAAAACAACACTGCCTCTACTCGCAGATCAGCAGTGTAAAAGGACCCAGGAGGAGGCGGGAACGGAAAACCAACCACCTCTCAGGGTTCCCTTATTTCCCTGGGCACTATTGGGGAGAGAATTTGCCAGAAATGAAAAGATAAAAGATTATATCCACTTTTCTCACTGGAGGTGATTCTGGGAGTAGGACAGGAAGGAGAGGAGGAGGGTGGTCTCCTCTCTTCAGCTGTTTTTTCCTTAGGTGTCAGGACAACGATGGGTGGGGAGATGGCGCATGACTCCTTTGGATACGGTTCTCCAATCTCAGTAGTGAGAATGGAGAAATGCCTCCATTCTCATTTCTTACCCTCCCCCTTTCCACTTGTTTCAAGTGAGGACAAGCTCTGAGGATGAACAGGGGTAGGAAGTTCCCTCAGGACTTCCTTAAGGTGGCAGAATTTTCTGCAGGTTCTAACCTTAGATAACAAGACTTGAGGATGAAGGGCGGCTCCAAAATAACTAAAATTCTACCCCAAGAAAGAAGCTGAGTTTGCACAAAGTCACGGAAAAGGTTTTACTAGTTTGTGCATTGGTGATGGGCAGGTTATATACAGTAATCTTCGCATCAACTCTCAGGCAAATAGGGTTGTTCTTTTCCAATACTAGAAAAGGAGAAAGAAACGAACAACAAACTTCTCTCAGAAAATTTATCAAGAGAAATAAAGGCTGTGATGGACTGAAAGGGAAAAATTGGTTAAATTGAAGATAATTTAGGGAAGTGGGTGGTGGGTGTATGGTTGAACCAAATGAATTCTAGACAGCTGTTGGTTTCCTGAAGACTTTCTTCCAGAGGAACTGGAATGAGACTGTTGATGTAATCCCTTCCAGACCATGAACAGACCAGTTCTGTTTATGGCAAGGGATTTGTCTTTGTTACTGATGGCCTTGGGGAGAAATAACTGACTCTTGCCAGCCTAAGGGACAATGCCAGCCAGTGTAATTGTTCAGTCATCTCCAATTTGGGAGAGGAAGATAAGAAAAGGCTTACTGGCACAAGTAGAAATAAATCACTACTGAATTTTTTTGTATTATTGAGGCAGAGATGAAAGATGGGGGGGGGAGAGAAATTATGCTTAGTTAAAGTGTTTTAATGAAATACTGCATAAATTGCTTTACATGCCTGGAAATAAAAAACATGCTTATCACTATTAATAAATGGTGAAGTCACAAGTTCTGTTGTATGTTGTATTATTTCTGAGAATCTATAATAAACTATATTTACAGACCATTCAAAAGAGATAACCAAAAAGCTAAGAAGAAAACAAAAAGACCAGAACATATCCTTTCCAGCAACCAAGACCCAGCTAAGCAGAAAAACAAACAAAAAGTAATACCCTAATCAACTACTAAGGAGACAACCATACCCCACAGGGCAGGGCAATCTATACTATACAGAGGGAACAAACCCAACATTCACTAGTAGTGATGATATTAACTAATTGGGTAGACATGTCTGTAAACAAATGACCACACTGAGAGCAACAAGGACTCTATAATACTTTCTAGTTCTTCTTTCAAAATGTTTTCTTTCGAAGCAGTAAGAAAATGATTCTTTTTTCTCATGCTGTTTTAATACTATAGCTTTTATATTATTAATCTGATTGCATGTGACTACTCGACAAACAGGGTAATGAGAGGCCACAGGAATGTTCCATCATGTTCACAAGATTTGATGAATGACTATGAGGGCAGCGCCATTAATCCTTTTATTAAGAAACATTAAAGAAGCATGTAGAATAACATGTCTTGGCCATACTTGACCAACTAATTGAATTACTTTTTAAATTACTCCCTCCACCCAAGCTTTAGTTGGCAAGTGACTTAAAATGCAAAACACAAGGTGAAAATAATTTTAAGGACACACATTTGCAGGTCATGCATGTTTAACTTGTGTTTAATTTCCTTCTAATGCTACCTATTTAAAGTTAACAAAGGGTTTACAGATTAGTAGCATTTTCTCTCTCTCTTAGACTGGCAGCAGACTTTTTTCCAAGTAGTAAAACTTCCCTTTTTAATCCCTGGAGATCATATGTGCAGAGTAGATTATATCTACTCCTGCCTCCCATCCATCCATTCATCCCCCTCGGCTGCAAACTCCCGCCCTGCTCCTGCCTCTCCGCCGGATGACCCATGACAGCCCCAGATGCCCAAAGCCTGTGCCCACCCAGCTCCCTTTTCCATAACACCCAGCTCTATTGAGCAGGGTGGCATGTAGGGTAGGGGATAAGCACTCCTCTTGCCATCTCTTCTCCCCCACTTGCCAGGGGCAGGGGAGATGTGAGACATACATCTTACCAGCCTTGCAGCTCTGTTGCGTGTCTCACCGTTGTCTGCAGGCAAACATGTAGGGTAAAAAAAAACTTCTCGCGAGTTCAATCAAACTTCTCAAACTCACAAGATTTTTTTTTACCCCACAATGTGTTTGCCTGCAGACAACGGCGAGACACGCAATGGAGCTGCAAGGCAGATAAGACACATCTCACATCTCCCCAGCCCCACCCCTCCTCACCTGCCACTCCCAAATTGCATCCAATTTGAGCAGGGGCAGGAAGCCCTGCCATGCCCGGCGAGAGGGGGAAGAGTGTGCCTTGTCTCACTTCTCCCCCACCCTGCTACCCCAATCAATAGGGCCGGGTGGGCACGGGCTTTGGGTGTCTGGGGCTGTTGGGGGTCACCCGGTGGAGAGACAGGAGTGGGGCAGGAGTTTGTAAGCGATCACTTGCCTTCTCTCCCAAAAGCGCTCCTCAGGCGCAGCGACTTCTGCAGCAGGAGACTCGTGCCTTCCAAAGGGTTCTGTAGCAGCAGCTATCCATAATTTTTTAACCCTTATTTTGTCCTGACCCACGTGGCCCAGTACAGTCGGAACAAAATAAGGGTAAAAGAATTGTGGATAGCTGCTGCTACAGTACCCTTCGGAAGGCCGGTGCAAGGCACATGGGGCGCATCACTTGGGCTCCTGCTGCAAAAGTGGCCGCAATCAATGGCAAAAGCTTGCTGGAGGTGCTGGCCAGAGGGGCACCCATGAGGCAGCTGTTCCGTGGACGGAATTGCTTGCTGTGACTGTCACCATTAGGTAAGGAGGGTGTGAGGCGTGTGGGGTGCGTTGCTTGGCCTCTGGCTTCTTTTGCAGCCGCAATTGGCTGCAAAAGTGGTTGCGCTTGCTGGCGGCCAGAGTGGCATCTGCGAATCAGCCGCTTTGTGAATGGCGGCCAGAGCAGCTCAGCTGATCTGATTAAGGGGCCGAGAAGCCCTGAGGTGACCGGGGAAAAGAAGGGCTGCCTCCTGTACTGGCCATGCCCACCCCTTCACTAGGTCTTATTTGGGGGAGAGGGTGTATATTTACGGCCACCCCAAAAATCAGGGTTGGCCTTATTTTCGGGGAAATACAGTATAGTTGACATATTGCATTATTTTAATGTGCTGTATCTATTGTATATTTCCTGTAAGCCACTATGTTATTCAAACAGCATAGAAGCATTGGTAATAGTCTAAACCAATTTAGGTTTACTAGTCTACTTTTTTAATTAAAATTGTATTTGTAAAAGCTAGAATTGTCTATGCCCATCTTAATTGCTCTTACCTCCAGTCCTTCTTCTTTTCTTGTTCCTAGAGTCCTCTTAGATGACTTAAAAACCACTTAGGTAAAATCATTTATAGCCCTTTCTTCCCTCTCCAGTAAGAAGCTTTCCTAACAGAACCAAACAACCTGTACTATCCTTATTAGGAGTATTTGTATTTCTGCATGGAAGCCTAAATGTGATCAATAGGAAGACTCTATGCTTACATGCAGGCTTCTTTGTCAGAGAAAGATTTTTCAGGATTTTCTATGGTAGCTTGTTACCCGTCCTTTTTAACCATGGTGGAGAAATATATTAAGAATTTGGAAGAGGGACTTTCTAGAAGGAAAGATAATAGCAAGGATAACAAGGATTTTTTTTTTCTGAAATGGGGAATAGCTCTGCCAGTCTCCCCTCCTTTACCTTACTTTTCCCTTTTGTGCCAACTGCTGAAGGACTTAGAGACGTAATAAAGCTTTACCAATGCCTTCCTGGAACAAGAGCTTCTGAAATATAAGTCACTTGGAGAAAGTGAATGTGGACTCTTTATTCCCCAGACACCATCATAGGTTTTTGTAGGTATGATTAATATTTGGACTTAAAACAGAAATTGAATATTCCCCATATTTTAAACAGTTGCTATAGGAGCTAGAGCTTTGAGCTGTTTGTTAAAGGTGAGTTAATTGGCTGAAAGATTAGTCCTTCTATCCAGACCAAATGATGAATGTTTTCACGCTTAGCAGGAAGCTAAGCTTAATTGCTTTTTAATGTTAGTTTTAAATTGTTGATGCATTATACTATTTGTAGATGATTCAACAGATTGTTAGTAGATGGGTAACTACAGATATCTACAACTTGTAAATCAAAAGTATCTAACTGAAAAAATATTTTAATGTTTTATGGCACAACTAATTTAACAAAAAAGCAGCTTTTAGACTTTCATAGTTTGGTTTTATATAGCCATAGACTAAACAGAATAGGAAAGTACCAGACCATTTTACCTGTCTCCTGACAAATCTGTATGCAGGTCAAGAGCAATAGTTAGAATCAGATATGGAACAAACTATTGGTTCAAAATAGGTTAAGGAATACGACAAGGGTGTATATTGTCACCTTGCTTATTTAATTTATATGCAGAGTACATCATGTGAAATGCTGGGCTTTATGAATCACAAACTAGAATTATAATTGCTGGGAGAAATCTCAACCACCTCAGATATGCAGACAATACCATGTGAATGGCAGAAAGTGAAGAGGAACTAAATAACTTTTTGATAGAGGAGAGTGCAAAAGTTGGTTTGAAACTCAACATTAAAAAACTAAGATCATGGCATCTGGTCCCACCTCTTCCTGGCAAATAGAAAGGAAAGAAATGGAAGCAGTGACCTATTTTATTTTATTGGGTTCCAACTTCACTGCAAACAGTAACTGCAGCCATGAAATCAAAAGATGCTTGCTCCTTGGGAGGAAACATATGGCAAACCTAAGCAGCATATTAAAAAGCAGAGACATTAACCTGCCAACTAAGGTCTGTTGTGGGAATGCGGTGGCCATAGTACATGTATAGACCAGTTTAACTGGTTGGACACGTGTATGGAGCTTAGCACCGAAATAATCTGACTATGAAAAGCGGGTTCATATGGATACTCTCTGAAGGGCCCTATTCGTTCTCTCTTTGTTAATAACATAGGCTGTGCCTGCATAAGCAGAGACATCTCCTTGTAGAACGGGGCCTCTGTTGGCAGGTGATGGGATGCTGGGAACAAAGCCAAATATGATAACACAGCCAGAGTTAAGTTTTGTTTTGCACCTTAAGTATCGCTTTCCTAGAATTCACGTGATTTACTGTAATAGGTAGAATGTGAAACCTATAAGGAGAATATATGGATGCTTTTCTATTTCTTGTATGTAATATGAGATGTGTAGCCATAATAACGCCTTCTGATGACGCTGTATTTGGATAACTAATAAAAGAGATGGCAGGCTTTTGTTCTCTGCTCTCTCATCACGAGAAACACCTGCGTTTGTGCTTTCTCTAATCTGGACTACTCATGAGAAGCCCGCCAGGATGAATGCAACAGTCTGTACAGTCAAAGCTATGGTTTTCCCAGTAGTAATGTATGGCTGTGAGAACTGGACCATAAGGAAGGCTGAACACCGAAGAATTGATGCTTTCGAACTGTGGTGCTAGAGAAGACTCTTGAGAGTCCCTTGGACTATAAATAGATCAAATCAGTCAATCCTAAAGGAAATCAACCCTGGCTGTTCTTTGGAAGATATTGAAGCTGATTGTTTTTTGGAATATACTGAAGCTTAAATACTTTGGCCACCTAAGGAGAAGAGAGGACTCACTAGAAAATACCCTATGTCAGGGTTCCAAATAATGGTAAATGTTGGGAAAGTTTGAAGACAAAAGAAGGGGGCAGCAGAGGATGACAGGTTTAGTTAGTGTCATTGACACAATGAACATGAATTTGGGGAAACTCCAGGAGACTGTGGAGGACAGGGGAGCCTGGTGAGCTGTAGTCCGTGAGGTCATGAAGAGTCAGCCACGAGTTAGTGATTGAACATAAAAAAACAGAATTAAAGCGTTTTCCAAATTAGTAAATCAAATGAATAGAGAGTTGTTTCTATGCAAAATCATTTAATACTAAGAATCTTTTATATCTTCTTTGTACCATCAAAAGCAAGGTGATGCACTGAACAACTAGAAATGCAATTGCAATACAAATTTGAATCAACTGGTATATCTACAATTTGGGTAGCAAATTATTCATATATAAATGTGAATACAGCTCATCAGATTTGACTCTTTTGGGGCTGATTCAAACTTAATGTATTTGAAATTAGGATTTAATATTAATTGTATTTTGATTAAGAATGTCATTTAAATTATAGATACTTTTATTCTTCTTTATTCCATATTTACCCTGAATTCAGAACTGGATTATAACTGCCTATATTAATTTTTATAGTTCAATTTTGATGATCCTAATGTCAACATATGTAAAAAAATACTTAAATTAATACATGTTATCATTTGGCTACCAAAACCTCTACCCAAATCATTACATTATTACATTTTAATACAAGTAGACAAAGCCAAGTCTTATATAAAATTATTGTATTAAATTTCTCCATGGTATTTCAACCATACATGTTAATCCTTCATTGTACATTGTAAATTTGCATTTTAAAATACCTTTGCACAATATTTTATATATGATAGAATTCTGACATACACGCACTATACACAAAAATACACTTGATATTCATGCCGATTTATGATATCTCACTTGTTACGTAGACAAAGCATTTTCTTGAAAGGAAATTATAAAATCTGCACATTTTCCTTTTGAGATTTTAATAAAATACTGTTTTGTACAAGATTTGTGAAAAAATCCAGCATTTATAAAATACACTCTGAGAGGCCTTAAGCCAATTATTTATGTCTTACAACATAAAAAAAAACCCAGGGTACCTTATATGGAAACTAATACTGATTTGGCTGATTCATAAGAAAAATAAAAATGGAACAGATGTAATGTACAGATATGAATGGAATCATTGAAAGTAAGTGGCAATTTGGATTAAAAAATAAATAAAAATCTAATAGGAAAAAATGCATATTTTTGCTGGTTCTAAGTCAACTTTTTCTTTAGTGGCTAACACAGAGTTTACAGATTTTGACACAGAAAAAAAACATTCCAGGGCCTAGAGTATGGATGTTTATATTCCTAACCATGTAAACAAAAAGCAATCCAGCCTTTAGTCACACTGGCAAATAAAAGTGGTTGTCACCCATGGAAATCTGTAACCAGACCATACCTATTACCAAAACCCAAATTAACAGACAGCCTAATTTACTTAAACTCAGAAAAATAATAGGCTGATTCCTAAACTACTGTGGATTTAAAACCAAATGCCAGCATTAAGAAAGTATTCTCTGTTAAACATAATTCAAGGCAAAGTATAAGTAAAGTACTGTTTGGTGGTGAGTATGGCCACTTCCCATGCTGTGATGTAACAATGTACTAGTTTTGCATGAAATTGTTAAATTTCATGTTAAAAGGAGTTTGTCTTGGATCAACATGGACTCGGCTTGGATGCAAGTATGTGGAGATAATATATTGACAGCATTATTTGGATATTTTCCTATAGTGAAATTACTCTAGCATGAGAAATGTGTTATTTGAAAGTAATCATATCATTCATATAATGCTACTGCTGCTTCCAGTAAAAAACAACAACATTCTGAATGTTTCAAAAGTTAGTAATAAAACAGTATCCTGCTGATTCGTGTTTTATTTCTCCCAAAAGACACTGAAGGCGAACAATGAAACAAAAATAAAAAGACTTGTGGGGTGTCCAAGAATGAGTTAAGACTGTCAATTATTTTTTAGGAAATCATATAAAATTTTTATCCTATAAAAAAACAACTGTTCCAAATTGTAAAGAGTTCATTTTCATAAATAAAGATAGGTTGTATGCCACATCTAAGTGTATGGGATTACTGAGCAATGTGCAGAGATAATTTTTGTGTTCAGGATAAAACCAGATCAATAAATTGTGTACCTTATTTGCTGTAACATGGTGCCATTTAGTTAAAGACATTTAGAGGTAGTCCTTGACCACCATTCATGACTGTTCAAAGATATGATGGCGCTAAATAAAGAGACTTACAACCCATGCCTGAATTACAGCTGTTGCAGCACCCCTATGGTTGCCTGATCAAATTTTGAGTGCTTGGCAGCCTGCCTACATTTATGACCCCAGGGGCACTTCAATTCCTCCCCACCTATGCCCCCATCTGTGCCTTTTTGGAACCCTGACACCCTGTAATCCACTGCCTCGGTTAACTTTCACTGTCTTCATCCTCCCAGTGCTGATGAGGTATGCCCAGCCTGGTTGGTAGACTTGGCTTCAGCTGTGGAAAAATAAAACCCGAAGCAGACCTTTTGTAACCAGCTTCTGAGTGGGGGTAAGCTTTCTGTTACTAAAAGTGGGGAGGAAACCCTCAAAGCAACCGCTTGTAAAGAGCTTCTGGAAGGGATTAGCTTACTGTTCCAATCCTCCCCTCCTTGAGACTGCTTTTAGTTTTTTTTATTTTGGGAACATAAAGCTCAGCTTTGCTGAGAAACTTTTTGCAAAGGAACTGCCTTGAACTCCTCCCCTCCCCCCCCAGCAGAAGTGCTGCCCAGCCTAAAAGCCAGATTAGGCATAGCTCATTGGCAGTGGAAGCAAGGAAATGGTGATGGGGGGGGGTGTTTGTAGAGCTCAGGGTGGCAGGGATCTCCTAGTGCAGGGTGGTAAGGTTAACTAGGACTAGGCTGAGCTTCCCATGCCGTGTCACACAGCCTCACAGTCATGCTGTTCTGGGGGTTGCTTGCTGTTCCACACGGCAGAATGCAGGGCGGTCAAAGAGCAGGGATTGGGTGTGAGATAGATGGGTGGGGGGAACTGGAGGCAGTCCCTTACATTATTGAGACTTTGGCTGGGAGGGACAAAGAATGAGGACTGCTGGGATTGCAGTCATTAAGCAATGTAGTCAATAACATCTTACTTTATGACTACATCACTTAGTGACCGAAATTCTGGTCCTAATTGTCTTAAATTGCTTTGGTATAATTCCTAGATATAATTTTATGTAAAGTTGGCAGTGCCACAATAGTTAAAATCTATTCACACCGTATCAGATTATAAGAATCTGAAATATAGAAATAAAATAATGGTTACATATAAATAGTTTGTAGAAGTTATGTAATCTTTAAAAAGGAGACAAATCATCAAGAATAATTCTTTCAGACTCACTTCCAGTTTTAAAAAAGCAGTTCTAGCACTATCAATATTATTGCTGCTGTCTTGCATTAATGTTTAAAAGCCATTTAAAAAAAAATTAGGCAAGATGGCTAGTGTAACTACCTTAATTCAAAAGTTTCTGGATTTTATCAATTAAATAACGTTCTTTAATGAGCATAATTAGTTTTAAAAATAATGCGACTGGAAGAAAATATTAATTAAAAGCATAATTTGGATTTGAATTAAAATTTAAAATTGAATTTATTCGTATAATACAATAGAAAGGTAAGTATTCTGTGTACCATACTTATTCTGAAGATTTTGATGCACCAAAATTAACAGCCAATTTTCTGGATTTTCGTTTGGTAGAAACATTTGGTGTTGACTTTTTACGAGGTACCCTTGAATTTGGAGATGCCATTTTTTCTTGAAAAGATGCTGCAGATTGAACAGTGTGAGAAGGTCTTAAAGGATCTGAGGAAGTATCTGGTGAATTCAGTTTTGTGGTGTCAGATATTGATTGATTGTTCTTTAACTGTGCATCCTGAAGAGAAGCTTGGAACTCCTTAGACTCAAAATTTATTTTGTTTGCAGCTGTTTTTTTAGTTACCTAAAAACAAAACAATAAACTGAATTACTTTTCTAAAATTAGATAATGTACTTATATATACATTCTATCTGCTGTCAAACTTACCTGCAAAGGTATAAATTGGTTATGTGTGCCAACTGGTATAGTTGCAGGATATGCAGTTCCAGGATATGAACCTGTATAATAAGATTTGCTGTGAACTGGCATTGGTGCTCCCCACTGCACTGAACCAAAGGCAGGAAATGATGAAGGAAATATATTAGCTGTGGAAAGAATTGAATATAGATATATTAAATAAAAACTGTTTTTTTATTTAAACTGTTTTAGTAGGTCGGTTTTCAATAATACCCACTAAATAAATTTGGAAACTGCAAGGTCTAAACTGATGTTACTGCAGCAGAGCCCCTATAGTCTCTTCTGTTACTCTATAAAATTAGAGAGCAAGAGGCACAATTCAAGGAACATAGTGAGTTTTTTAATATAGTAATCAATTGATTACTTTTTATTATACAATTTGTCTCCCTACAATTAACTTTTTTCAAGCAATACACCTATTTCATCAATATTTTCACTTGTTCTTATTAAAAAGAGTGCAAAATAACTGTTTTTCTTATCAAGGGCTCCATTCAATTAAGTATAACCAGTTAATGGCATGAGGAGAGCTACTACTGCTTTTCTCCTTTTCTCCCGTCTTAAATAAAAGGTATAAATAAATTCTTGCCAGAGCACTTGCAAAAGGCTAGACTATGTGATACTTGAATAATTTGGAGAGCAAGTGTCTAGAGAAGGAAATAGATTCTATATTTAACTTTTTTGTATGGAAAAGATTTCACATCCTGAACATTTCTGAAGAAATAAAAGATAACATTTAGCAAATTTACCAGTCTGCTGTTGACTGAAAACCGGAGGGATAGCTCTAGGTGCCATAAGATTTCCCAGTGGCTGATAATTTGGAAATATTGGTGGGGGTGGCAATGGTTGCTGCGGTGGCAGGGGAAAATTCATCCCAATAGAGCTCTGTATGAAAAAGATAATGTTTTCAGCATTAGAAAATAGAAGCATTATATGTTAAAAATCCAATGCAACGCAATAGTTTTAGAACATGGTCTCACCAACTGTTGTAAAGCAAAAAATGCTGCTTTCTCCTTGGCCTCATTTTGAGAATGGCACTGAGGTCCATGCACTAATAAGCCATTGGATAACTTCACTTGACAAACTGTCATTGTCTATGGAATAGAAGCAGATAATGTGAATAAATACCTTTTTTTTGCAAACAAAAATAGTAAAGAGCTTATATTTTAGTCTTGCGATAGGCTCCTAAATTCTCCTAAATAAAAGCAGGATGCAATATACCATTAGATCTAGCAAAGAAGGCATGTACCATCTGCTAGGGACTTACATTTTAGTGGATCCCAGGAGGCAAGCCTTTTCTGCTGTGATGCTGCCTTAGGGAACATTCTCCCTTACCCCATCCCACCCTCCAGTCATGTTAGTTCCATCCCTATTAATGTTATGTCACCAGGCCTTTGGGAGTGGCGGTGTGTGTGTGTGTGTCCAGAAATGAGATATGCTCCTATGGCTCCACTATTGTGATTATTATAGTCATTCTCTACATGCCTTAAGATTTCTATAGTTTTAATTTAATAATATTTTAATTTTAACAATGATTTTTATGTTTTTATGATTGTTTTTATATATTTGTTGTTTTATAACAGAATAACAGAGTTGGAAGGGACCTTGGAGGTCATCTAGTCCAACTCCCTACATGAGCAAAGCCTCCCTTCATTTGCATTCCCTCCTACATAATCTAAATTTTATCTTGTAAACCTTCTGAATTCACTGACAGTGAGTTCGGCAGCCATATATGTTTTCTTAAATAAATAAATAAATAAAATCTAAATTTGCTTTGGAGAAATTTCTAGCAAATTATTTAGGTTCCTGCTTGTGCCTCCAGAACTGTTTACCATTATATCCACTGCTATTTGTTCATTAATTACATGATTTAGATTTTTCCTGATGGAAGAGAGTGAATAAAGGAATGTCTTTATTTATGCTTTTTTATACTATGCCATGCTTTTATTGTAAACTGACCAAAGTCACTTAAGTGAGGATTGGAGGGAGGGGGGGGGGGTGTAGAAATGTGATGATAGATAGACAGACAGACATAGACAGACAGATCCACTCCCTCTATGATTAAGCACCACTGAAAACAATTTTGATATTAGAAGAAACTTTTTGCTGAGTATATATGAAGTTTACCAGATGCCCACACAATCCAAATGCAATGGCAAATCCTTGATTTATGCAAGTAGAAAGAGGATGTTAAAAAGCAGTATTTCCTTCAATTTTAAATATGTAATAATTAACTTACTCAGCCAATTTATTTAATTCCAAGGTTACCTGTGGGGTTCTAAGGAATGAGAAATCTGGTTGCAACATTCCAACAAGGGAACAGATACGAGAAAGTTCAGACACAGCAGTAGATACTGTATTTGGTGTTCCAAGAGGAGGATGGCTTCCTTTTCCCATGGCTTGAATGTTCTGTGACCCTCCAATATTAGATTTATTCATGAAGTCCACTATCAATGAAACATAATATAAAAATGAATATGTAACACCAATGTTTTGAATAAGTCAAAATATTTAGCTTTACTTGCTTCAATGTAACATATTCACAACTGATCTGTTACAAGCAGACACTCATCCTCCCTCTATTTTAGATGTCCCCTTCAAAAGGTACATAGATGGCTAGAAATGTATTTGAACAGACCAGCTTCTGCAGCAAGAGAATAACAGATCCTAGAGCAGTGATGGCTAACCCTTTTGCCATCGCGTGCCAGGAAGGGGGGTGGGGGGTGGGAGGTTCGTGAGACTCCTGGAGCGGCTCTAGAGGCTGGGGACAACAAAAAATGTCACTTTCTGTCCAGCCAGGAATTGGGAAATGGGCCATTTCAGGCCTCTGAGAGGTGGGGGGGAGGGAGGCTGTTTTCGCCCTCCCCAGATGCATAGAGAGGATCTGGAGCCAGGTTTGAAAGAAAAATGGGCATTCCCGACCCCCCCAGGCCCTCCGGAGGCAGGAAACAGCCTGTTTTCCTACTTCTGGTGGTCCCAGAAGGCCCGAAAAGCAGCTGGCTGGTGTGTGCATGCGCGCCAGAGCTAAACTGGCATACCCACTGATATGACTACATGTGCCACCTGTGGCACGCATGCCATATATTCACCATCATGGTCCTAGAGTATCAAAAAGTCTGCACATAATAATGGTTCCATGTTCTTTTGAAGGTGTATTTCTTTACAAGCAAACCAGTAAAAACAAATTTCCCCATCCTCCCTACTCTTAATAGTATTTTTAATATGTTAAAGAGTTTATTCTAGGTAAAGAAGAAAATTCTAATTTGAAGTGCTCATAAGTAATTATAATTATTAATTTTATAATGTGCTACAACTATTCAAATTACTAAAATAAACCAGACATACCTATCTTTTGGGGGTGTCTACATTGTGATGCAGGTTCAAAAGAGTCCTGTTTACAAGTGGAAGGTGAAATTTCATTAATCTTTCCTTCTGGAGTGGCAGAAGCATCTATCTTCAAAATTTCTTTGAGCATCTGTGTTCCTTTCTTTAAAAAATGAAGTTAAATAGCAATATATTATAAACATATATATGTGTATATATGTATGTATATAAATATAGAATAACTTGAAATTTTAGCATACATTCTGCATCTTCATTTAAAAAACAGAATTCCAAATGAAATTCCAATTTGACAAGTAACACAATCCAATATACAAACCATGGCAAACGACTGGGGAGATAAATGATCTTCATTTGTTGGCTCCTTGGAATCAGGTGATTTTTCCCTTTCCTTGAAAATTTTTAAAGATGCCAAAATATCTCCAAGTTCAGACCCATTCTAAGTAGACAAAGAAATAGTTAAAAGCATACAGTGTGTAAAAATAACGAGATTTAAATATTACGTAGAAGGTTCTTACTAAGTATGTTCAAACACTTAGAATGTGTTTTAAAAATAATATTTTACCAATTTTTCTGCCATGTTACCAACTTATACAACTTAGTATAGTTACTACCCACTCTGCTATTACAGATTTATAGTGAAAAAGAAGAGAATAAATGGCTTATTCTGGACTCTGACAAAACTCAGCTAATTTGAAACAGGATTTTTCTTCAAATTAAAAACTAAACACATTTTGATTCTGAGATACCTGTTGTTTGTACTATTCAGTACAATTTTGTCATCTCCTTCAATAGAATAATGAAGAAAGATGCTGTACTTGGAAGGATGACAACAAATATGCATTTTCAACAAGGTTAAGTGTTTTTAGTAAACCATATTAGGGACAATTTAACAACAATCCATCATAGAACTTCTAATATGCTAATCTTATTCATTGTTTTAAACATGTGACCTAGTTTACTGTAGACACTATAAAAATCTCCCTTTTTACAACCCTGTAGTCCATTAATTAGGAGTAGAATTGGGACAACTGGATGGAGCTGACGGTTTATTAGCCTGATGCCCTTCCTGATGCCTATATGGAGTTCACAGCAGATATTGTTTCTGCCACTACGTGGATCGAGTCTCAAACTTCCAAATGTGTCAAAAGTAGAACCATTTTATACATATAAGGCACTGGTATCAAACTCGCGGCGTCACATTGCTGTCACGTGATGTACCGCAATGTTTTCCCCCTTTATGGAGCTGGGTTGGGCGTGGCCTACACATGACACATCCGGTCTGTGAGCCACTAGTTTGATACCCCTGATATAAAGCATCCTGAGTGTGTTAGTATAGAGATCATTCTTACTTTTACATTTTCGAAAACTAGGGTCCCTTCTGAGATGTTTTCTGTTCCCCCACTCCTCCTTCAGACTCAGATTTTGTTTATCAGACAATTGTCTAGGCCAGGGATGTCAAACTTGATTTCATTGAGGGCCGCATCAGGGTTGTGTTTGACCTGAGAGGGCTGGGAGTGGGGGTGGCCGGGAGTGGGTGTGATCGTGGTAGGCATGGCCAGCTCAACAACACTCATGTTGGGGGCACCTATGGTGGCCAAGTGCTAAGGCAGGACTTCCCTGAGACCCTCACTCACTCTCATTATAATCTCCTTCCTTCCTTCCTTCTTTTTCCTTCCTTGATTCTCCTTTCCTCTTCCTTCCCCCTTTCTTATTTTTCCTTCCTTGCTCTCTTCCCAAATTTCCTTATTTTTCTTTGTCTTTCCCTTTCTCCTTTCCTGTCCCTTCTTGCATGCTCAAATGCAAAAGGGAAACATTTCTCCTTTTGTTTTATATTTAGTTTGTTTTGATAACTCTCTGCCAGTGAAAACTGAGCTCGGGGCCCCCTCCATTTTCTCTGGCAGAGGGCTGGAGGCCATTGCGGCTGAAAACAGAGCACGGAGTGGTGGTGTGGGCGGGCCCCCAAGCTCTGTTTTTGCTGGCAGAGGCACCCTGGGTTGGTCCTTTGCTGTGGGCCAGAAGTAGTTTAATAAAAATGCAGTTAAAAACGCTATACAAGCCATCATTGAGTGTGTGTGTGTGTGTGTGTGTGTGTGTGTGTGTGTGTGTGTATATATATTGTTCTTTTTTCGTATGTCTATATGTGTATTATTGTTTTACACAGAAGCAGTTACAGGTAAATCCTAGACAGGCAAGAAACGCATCACAAAACAATGGAGATGAATGCTAGAGAGGAATAAAGCTGCATACAAGGCAGACATGACATCTGTAACATCTTCCCCTTTTCATATTAACACAAATAACATTGTAAGACTATATATATAACTGGAATAGGAAGTGCCTCATAGGAACAGATAGAGGTAAATCTTAGAGTGGCAGGAAATGCATCACAGAACAATGGAGATGAATGCTAGAGAGGAATAAAGCTGCCTACAAGGCAGACATAACACCTGTAACAGCCTGTGGGCTGGATTCGGTGAGTTTGACACCCCTGGTCTGGTCTGTCTCTCTTATTATCTCCCAAAGTTAATCCACATACCATTACAATCTGTGTATTTTGAATAGTGCAGCTAGTTAATATTCCAGGGAAGCAATAAGAATAGAAAAATAATTTTGCCACTCTTATGGCCATAGAATAGGCATCTGAGCTCTTATATGTGGGGTTACATTTGCTTATTTCTGCCAATGTCATTTTAAATATCTCTTCACACATTTCATTTCCTGGAGTTCCTTAGTGAAAGAAGAAATGCCAGAGGATTAGTGAACAAGGCCTACAGGCACCCAGGTTTCTTTATATTCCAGAGACTAGTAAGATTTCTCCAGATCCTCAAGTGTGGTCAGAAAGCCTGCTGAATCCATCAAACTTGTGGGGCATCTCAATAACTCCCTCTTTCTTTCAAAGGTTGGCAGTTCCTGTTAACTTCACTGTCAGGAAAAATTGATTTGCCTATGGCCAACAGATTGATGGAAAAGTCTTATAGAATCAGATCATGACTGGTTCAAGATGAACACCATACCTAAGCCCTGACCAGACACATGAGTTGGGACAGTGATGACCTGGGACAAGTTCATATTTGTCATAGCAGCTATAAACTTCCAAGAAGTCTTGAGAGGTGAGGTTGAACTCATCCAGCACTAGCAGCATGAGTGAATCCACAACCACTCTACACTAATAGCAGTTTGGTAAAGTTTACAATCAATCATCAGATGTCTGATCATAAGGAGAAAATGAATAAAAATCAAATAACAAAGCAAATGAATAGTGAATGGGTTGAGGGAAAGTAGAAGGCCATTAAAGTCAGGTTTGAATGGAGCTGATGAGAATAGCAGAAAGTGGTAAGGCTTTTACAAAACAAAAGCAATGTAAGAACTGGTATAATAAATAGCATTCTCCCTGAGATTTGGCTGGCTCCAACCCTGCCTGCTTTTCAAAAGGCAGTTAACACTTGGTTTACGGTATGACCCGTAAGTTTTCTTGGCACTTTATGTGTTTTTGTTTTGGAGTTACAGGGTTTTTTTTATGATTGTTTCATTGTGTTCTATTAATTATCCAATTCAGAATCCTGTGTAAAGTGGGAAGTTACAATATATAAATCAATTAATATAACATAATAAGTATATAATGCTCATGTAAGCAGTTTCTAAATTTTGTGTCATTTATTAACTCAACAATCTTGCCAAATTAATATTCCAATGGGCCACTGAGATTAAAGGCATCCATCTCATGGGTAATCAAGTCATATTCTGATTTATATTTGAGAAAGGGCCAATATCACTTCATGTTCAGAGCTTTACATTATCAGCATAAATGTAATTCTATAGAGAAACACAGCCACAAACAAAATTAAATGCAGTATTTAACTACTTTGGCAAGAGCAGTAATCTGTGGTTCCCAGATGTTGATCCACTTACATTCCCATCAATCCCAGTTAATCATGGCCAATTGTAAAAGTAGATTACCATTGTTGTCCAATAACAAATGCGGGGGGGGGGGGGGTGTGTGTGTGGCAGAATTTCCCAGCTTTCTGTTATGGGTTAATAAAACTGTTTCTTTCCAGAGTACAGTGAAATATATATTTCTATTTAGTCAGCCATTTCCTACCTTTGCAGTTATACTGGAATCATGAATTACAGATTTTTGTTCTATTTGTGTACTTGAGCCTTCATTTCTCTTCAGAAGCTTTACATTACTCTTACTTACACCTGCAAAATTCTGCAATTTAATAAAAGTTTTTTCATTAAATTGGTTCTTATATATGAAAATATTGCAAAATAATTCTTCAAAAAACAACTACCAATATTTTAAAATAAAGCATAAGCAGTAGAATTCTATAATGACTCATCTACAAGTTATACATACAAGGTGGTTTTCCAAATTCACTGCATGAAATTTTCATACAAGTATCTTTTAGTTATGCACATACAAACTGAAATGACATGGGAAGGTCTCAGAGTAGCCTCAGTGAGCTCAGTGAGAGGACATAGCACTTCAAAACTTTAGCAGCAGGCTTAGAGGGATATTTCACTTGCTTCCTGCTCTCATATTAAAGGTTCCTTGATTTTGCAGTCTTACTATATAGTGATTGGGATCCCTCTTCATATTTCTATGAGCCCCGGTAGTCAAATTGAAGACAAATGGTTCTTAACCTGTAACCTGGATATTACTATTGGTCTTGGAATAAATGACAAAGTAATTTCTAAATTATTAAGAATAACTATAATTTCAAAAGATGTTGACATTCTGTTGCAAAAGTGTGTGTGGGTGTGGGTGTACTATTAAAATCCTGTGAAATTGTAATCTTTTCATATTCCAATAATTTTATGAAAAAAAAATCATCCAGGAGTCCTCCAGATGCCATTTTGGGGAACAGAAATTCCTAGCTTATGTTACAGTGTGCATGAAAGAAAATACTGGAATAACTATTGTAAGTCATTCAAAAGCAATACTATATTGTTCATCATAAATCTGCTTAATAAAATTCTGAACTGACTTCTATAAAAGACCTCTAACAAAAGTAAAATAAATAAATAAATAAATAAAGAAAGAAAGAAAGAAAGAAAGAAAGAAAGAAAAAAGAAAGAAAGAAAGTACAATTACGAATAGTCTTATGCAAGCAGAAAGATAACAATTACCAGTTTGTTTGATATTTTTTGTGTTTGACCTTCATTTCTTGGCTCTTTAGAATCTTCTTTGGCTGGAATTAAAAAATCCATACAACCAGTTTAAAGAGTAAAATACAATGAAAAATAAAATTTCTGTTTGTGTCTACTAAAACAAAAATCCATTAATTGTAGTAGGATTTATTATTAAGTAGAACAGTGAGCTTTTTTCACACAACTCAATATATTTTTCCTCGCTTCCTTCATGGTTTATCTATTCAGATATTGTACTATCATAAAATAGATAGAATCAAGATGTAAAGTCGCAGTGGAAAACTTCAAAAGTGCTGTGTTTATGAGAGAATTTTGAAGAATTAAGATCCACAGCCATGGACTATGGACTTAAACTTCTTTTAGCACAGGATTCAGTGATACTCATTGAAGTCAGCTGTTTTCAAAACAGGATTCTTATATTTAAAGTAAGTTAAAAAAATATTTAAAGTAAGTTAAAGAACTTACACTCTACAGTACTTACATTTCCTAAATGAGTCCTGGGCTTTATGCTGGCTTTCAAAGCTATTTTCATTGAAGCCTGGTTTGCAGGACCTATTACTGGCACCGAAGTTTACATATTGAGGTAAAAAATCTTCAACCTAGAAAATTAAGTTTTGCAAGAGTAACATTTTGCATAGACCACATACTTTAGAATACATAAAACGTGAGAGGGTAATCCAGTGTTGGTGAACCTTTTTGGCACCGAGTGCTGAAACGGGAGCACGTGCACTTGAAAACGGAAGAGCAGCCACCCAGTGCACATGCACACAATGGGAAGATGATCTTCCGGTTCACAGCATGTGTATGCGCACTGGCCAGCTGATATTCGCGCGCACATGCATGCCAGAAACCGGAAGAGCAGCCGCCCGGTGCACATGCCTGCACCGGGAAGATGATCTTCCGGTTTCCGGTGCGCACCGGGCACCTGGTCTTCCAGTTTCTGTCATGCATGCACATGCGAAGATCAGTTGGCCGATGCGCATGTGTGCACCGGAAACAGAAGATCATTTTCCTGGCAAGCGCATGCACTCTGGGTGGCTGGTCTTCCTGTTTCTGGCGTGTGAAGACCAGCTGGCCGGTGTGCCGAAACCCGGAAGAGCAACGGGAGACGGCTCTGCGTGCCACTCCCGGCACGCCTGCCATCTCAGCTATATAGTGATTGGGATCCCTCTTCATATTTCTATAAGGCCCAGTAGTCAAATTGAAGACAAATGGTTCTTAATCTGTAACCTGGAGATTAGTATTGGTCTTGGAATAAATGACAAAGTAATTTCTAAATTATTAGGAATAACTATAATTTCAAAAGATGTTGACATTCTCTTGCAAAAGTGTATGTGTGTGTGGGTATAATATTAAAATCCTGTGAAATTATAATTTTTTCATATTCCAATCATTTTATGAAAAAAAATCATTCAGGAGTCTTCCAGATGCCATTTTGAAATTCCTAGCTTATGTTACAGTGTGCATGAAGGAAAATACTAGAATAACTTTTGTAAGCCATTTAAAAGCAATACTATGGTATATTGCTCATCAGAAATCTGTTTAATAAAATTCTGAACTGACTTCCATAAAAGACCTAAATAAATAAATAACAAAAGTACTATTATGAGTAGTCATATGCAAACAGAAAGATAACAATTACCAGTTTGTTTGATATTTTTTGTTTTTGACCTTCATTTCTTGGCTCTTTAGAATCTTCTTTGGCTGGAATTAAAAAATTCATACAACCAGTTTAAAGAGTAAAATACAATGAAAAATAAAATTTCTGTATGTGTCTACTAAAAAAATGGACTATGGACTTAAACTTCGCTTAGCACAGGATTCAGTGATACTCACTGAAGTCACCTGTTTTCAAAACAGGATTCTTATATTTAAAGTTAAATGTTAAAAAAATATTTAAAGTAAATTAAAGAACTTATACTCTACAGTACTTACATTTCCTAAATGAGTCCTGGGCTTTTTGCTGACTTTTAAAGCTATTCTCATTGAAACCTGGTTTGCAGGACTTATTACTGGCACCGAAGTTTAAATATTGAGGTAAAAAATCTTCAACCTAGAAAATTAAGTTTTGCAAAAGTAACATTTTGCATACACCACATACTTTAGAATACATAAAATGTGAGAGGGTAATCCAGTGTTGGCGCACCGGGCAGCTGGTCTTTGCACGCACATGCACACCAGAAACTGGAAGAGCAGCCATCCACGGCGCATGCCAGCACCAGGAAGATGATCTTCTGGTTTCCAGCGTGCGTATGGGCACTGGCCACCTGGTTGTCTGGTTTCTGGTGTGCATGCGTGTGCAAAAACCAGCTGCCCAGTGCGCATGGGTGCACCGGAAACCGGAAGAGCAGCCACCAGTTGCGCATGCGCACTGCGTGGCTGCTCTTCCGGTTTCCAGTGTTCCCGTGTGGGTGAAGACCAGCTGGCCGGTGCGCCGGAACCTGGAAGAGCAACGGGCGACGTTGTATGCCCGGAGAGATGGCTCTGCATGCCACTTCTGGCATGCATGCCATAGGTTCACCATCAAGCGGGTAATCTATGGTCTGCAGAAGAATCCAACCCCCAATTTCCTAAATTCAGTGCAAAGCACTCTGTCAAATTGGAGACAGCTTCTCTCTATGAAAGAAATAAAGACCAGAAAAAAGTTGAAAAATAAATATTTAGGAAATACGTATTAGGTGTATATGGCAAGACTTTCAGAAATATTCAGTCTTTGAACTGTATTTTTTAGATGTGAACAAATTATCATACAACGTATTTAATTTTACATCCTAGCAAGTTGTTTAGGATTATCAACATAAATTAGAATTTCCATGGCAAGTGAAATATTCAAGCTGGCCATAGAAATGGATGAAGATCATGAGATGCTGTTGCTGCACAACTGAGACAGCCAAAAAACCCTTAATATTTACTTTGTTGATTATAGAAAGGCTTTTGATTTTGTTGTTCGTATGAAGCTTTTAGACCAGTGTTGGCAAATGTTTTTGGCACTGAGTGCTGAAATAGGAGCGCGTGCACCGGAAACTGGAAAAGTAGCCACCCAGCGTGCATGTGCATGCCGGGAAGATGATGTTCCGGTTTCCAGTGCGCGTATGCACACCGGCCACCTGGTCTTCTGCTTTCTGGCGTGCATGCGTTTGCGAAAACCAACTGCCCGAAGATCATCTTCCCAACGCGCACATGCATGCCGGGTGGCTGCTCTTCCAGTTTCTGGCCCTCCTGTGGGAAGACCAGCTAGGGGGCGTGCAGGAATCCAGAAAAGCAACAGGCAATGGCTTGCGTGCCCAGAGAGATGGCTCTGCGTGCCACTTCCGGCACACGTGCCACAGGTTCACCATCACGGTTTTAGACTGTGCTTATAAAGGTGGAAATCCCAGAACATTTCATTGTCCTCAGTGTAAAACGAATACACAGATTTGGAAGCCACTACCCAGATGGAATATGGTGAAACTGATTTGACTTCAATTTGGCAAAGGAATGAGACAAAGGTAGACCTTGACTTAAGACAAATTGCTTAATGACCTTCCCTCAAAATATTTACAATCTGGGTTTGATCATCAATGTGCCATATAAGATGGATACAAATGAGCTTGCCCCTTTTTGGCATATACTAACCATTTCATCCTTATTTTGTAGGGAAGGCTGAGACTTTCCAGGGTTCTGCAATGATTGCCAAATGTTGCAAAATTCATCATCTTTTTTATTGTGAGCTTGCTAGGAAAGAAAACAAAACAATGGAAACTCTGCCATGAAAACTCATTGCAGAACAAAAATCTGGAATCTATTATTTTTTTCCATTATGTTTCCACTATCACAAGAACTAGCCATGTCTTAAGTTTCAATAAAGTATCAATTTAAATTGCAGGCATATATCTTAGTTACTTCAGTGAATAAAGTAGCCATTTACATTTAAAAGGATAGAAGTGAAGACATGTTCTCATCTTTTCATGAACAATTTCCCTATAATGGAGTATTATTATATTGTATTGCAGAGACAGTATTTCTAAATTCTACACCAAGAGGTTTTTTTACCTTTTTTTCCCCATTTCCAACACATAGTCATGTCCCATGGCCTCGATCCACAAAATCAATCCTCTCCTCTTTCATACAGAAACTCTCAGAAGCTTTCATTAATTTCTCATTTGTGCTTTTCAACTCTGTTCAATACCATATAGTACAATCTTCCAATTGTTTTCCATTTCCCATTATTTCTAAAAGAAAACTGGCTCACAGTAGCTATTACTACCACTGTTGCTATTTAATCCTAGACTTTTGGGAATGGGAAGGATCTTTTTTTTAAAAAAAAAAATCAAAAAGCAAAACTCTCTTCTGATTCTGAGCTGCCATGACATTATCAACTAGTCAATGGGTGATAAATTGGAAATTTTTTAGTCCACCCTATTCCATTTTTAAGAATATATAGCAATTCAATTGAGCTATAAAGCAGACTCACTGAAATAAATAGAAGAAAAATTAAATTTGATCTATCCTCTTTTAGGATCCTCTTAGTGTCAAAATGTCACTTACTACAGCAGTTCAGTGCAGACAAGAAACAAGTTATATTGTAGAATTGATTTTATGGGGATACCATAAAAATTGGGTTTAATTCAACTGATTAATAAATAAAATAAGATTAAGTTTTCATTAATTTTGGAATATTATCAAAATTTAGATAATTTGATGTATAACTCACAGACCAATTCAGTACTTGCAAACATAAAAAGTGTGCCTTGGGGAGATAGGTAGCATTATTTGTAAACAAACAAAAATATTTATATAAACACATTTCTGCACATGTGTTGTGAAGAAATGTGTTTATGTGAAATATTTTGTGCTTTTCTTGAATTTATTGCAACTTGATACATTTTGGAATATGTGTCCAATTTATTGTCTTTGCTTGGTGTTATTTATTGTTTCATTTGCATTACTTTATTCATTTATTTATTTATTAGTCGCATTTTTATGCTGCCCAACTCCTGAGGGACTCTGGGCGGCTAACAACAGAGAATAAAACAATGTGAACAATATCCCATACAAAAGTTTAAAAAAAAACATTAAAACTCATACTCTCCAGTTTTGTGGCCAGGTCTCACAAGATCACCGTAGCGAGATCAATGGCCCCAGGCCTGCCGAAAGAGCCAGGTCTTCACCACTTTCTGGAAGGCCAGTAGGGTGGGGGCAGTCCGGACCTCAGGAGGTAATTGGTTCCAGAGAGCCGGGGCAGCCAGAGAGAAGGCCCTCCCCCGCGGGCCCGCCAGCCGACATTGTTTAGCTGACGGGACCCGGAGGAGACTGACTCTGTGGGATCTTACCGGTCGCTGGGAGCTATGCGGTAGAAGGTGGCCTCGAAGATAGCCTGGCCCTGAGCCATTTAGGGCTTTAAAGGTAATAACCAACACCTTGAATTGCGCCCGGAGACCGGTAGGGAGCCAGTGCAGCTTGCGGAGAATTGGTATAATGTGGGTGTATCTAGGTGCACCCACAATACTCAAGCGGCTGCGTTCTGGACCAACTGTAGTCTCTGAACACTTTTCAAGGGTAGCCCCATGTAGAGCGCACTTTAGCTTATGTTTATATTATTTAGAAACAGATTTTTAATGTATTATGTTATTATGTATCTTAAGAGTATTGAAAAATACAAATGTACCAAATAATATATAATCTTTTTTCACTTTATTACTTATTTTAACAAAAGCCAACTGACAAACAAACCCTAATCCGACTTCCTACAGAACCCAAAACCATTTACCCTAAGGTAGCAGGTAAAACAACTTACTTTACATTTCTGATGGATACTTGTATAGGTTACTTTCTGCTGAGAACTGGAATTGCCCTGCTTTTCTGTTTTGATACTATTATGCTGTCTTCCATTCAATTGCTGGATAATAAAGAAAAAAATTACTTTCCAATTTTTCTATATATTTAAAATATTATACACTCAGCTATTTTTTCATACACAATATTACAAATTAACAGGCCCACAATATATACTCAACAATTTTAACAATAATTGTTATGGGACATTATCTACTTTCTTTCTTTATATATTATGGAACAGAATCTCAAACAAATGTAAAAATAAACTTCTCTGATATACACACAATAACTGAAGTGCTCAAGGCACAATTGAGAACTATCATTTCCTTCTTTGTGCATATACTAGACTTGCTACAGTTATCATATCATCATCATTTTAGCCAGTCTATCCATTGCAGGATGAAGGCCTTCTTCACGTTTCCAACCAATATGGACCTGCAATACTTGCTGATGTCGTCAATCCATCTTGTTTTAGGTCTCTTTCATGGACGCTTTTTATCAAGTGGGATCCATTCTATGAGTGCCTTGGTCCAGCTGCCATCAGTTTTTCTTGCTGTGTGACCAGCCCATTGTAATGCTGAGCATGTATCTTTCCATGGCTCTTTGCGCCACTCATAGTATTTGTATCAATTGTGAGGTTAGTGTCTTATGTTTCACTGGCATATGTTAGAGCAGGTAGCACACACTAATCAAAAACATTTCAGGCATAGGGGAGGTTGTTCTTGAAAATTATGCTTAGCTTGCTAAATGCCTGCCAACCACATTTAACATGTTCACTTTCCTTTATTGTATCACCTTCCATTGAGATCTGTTGGCCAAGGTATACGTAGTGGTCTACTACATCTAGTTCTTCTCCAGATATGTTTTTTCTTTCTTTGGTGAATTTATTAAACATCTGGCTCTTTTTCATGTTTATTTTTAAGCCAAATGTTTCTCCTGCTTTGTGCAGCTCTTGTATGTATCTTTGTAGCTCTTCTGGGTCTTGTGAGAATAATATCATCTGCAAATCTTAAGAAATTTAAACAGGCACCATTGATTTTTATTCCATCTTTTCCCGAGTTTGTGAAATACTTCAAGGCAGGCTGAGAAAAGGATAGGTGATATGGTATTGTCTTGTTGTACATCTCGTTCTATGTTGATTTCCACTTTAAAATCATTAAGGTAAATTGTTGCCAGTGCTTTTTCATATATTGATTGTAATAGGTTTATGTAAGCAATGTCTACGCCTTGGTTGAGCAATGCATTAATTGCTTAATGTAATACTGATTTAAATGCCTTCTCATAGTCAATGAAAGCCATGCACAGACGCATAGTGTACTCGCTGTGCCTTTCAATGACTTGCTGAACAACCTGGATTTTATCCATTGTGCTGTAGCCACTTCTGAACCCTACCTGCTCTTTTGGCTGTGCATCATTTAATGTTCTGAATATTCTTTTTGCTATTAACTTGGTGAAAACCTTGTAGATGGTTTTTTTTCCAGCAAGCGTAATTTTCAAGAACAACCTCCTTTTATGCCTGAGAGAAATTTTCAATCAGTGTGTGCTAACTGCTGTAACATATGCCGGTGAAACATAGACACTAACCTCACAATCAATACAAAAGCTAAGAGTGTTGCAAAGAGCCATGGAAAGATATATGCTCAGCATTACAAAACAAGATAGACCTGCACATAGATTAGAGAACAAGCAAAAGTATAAAATATCATCAAGAGAGTAAAATAATTGAAATGGAAATGGGCTGGTCACACAGCAAGAAGAACTAATGGCAAGTGGACCAAGGCACTCATAGAATGGATCCCACTTGATAAAAAGCATCCACAAAAGAGACCTAAAACAAGATGGATTGACCACATCAGCAAGTATTATGGACCCAGTTGGCAAAAGAAAGCTCAGGACCATGTTGGTTGGAAACATATGGAAGACGCCTTCATCCTGCAGTGGATAGACAATGGCTATAATGATGATGATGAATTGCTATAAAAGAAAATCAGAAATCATTTCATTACAATATTTTTTCTTTTCTTTGATTTTTGTCTTTGCTTCTTTATTCTTTCCTTTTTTCATTCTAAATATTTGGCAGTTTTAGTTTTTATTTTGTTTTCAAACTTCTAATAAACTTTATTAAAAAATAACAACTATCATTTCCTACTTTTATCATATGTAAGTCTGGTAAACCTGCACTAACTAATTATTATTTTCCGTGTGTGTGTGTGTGTGTGTGTGTGTGTGTGTGTGTGTGTGTGTGTGCGCGCGCGCGCGCACACACTCCTTTGGGTCAGGGTTGTTTGTTTTGTTCTTGACTCCTGGCAACTGCCTGGCAAAGTCCCTGCAGTTTTCTTGGCAAAATTTCAGAAGCATTTTGCCCTTGCCTGTTTCCAAGCTCTGAGAAACAGAGTAACTAGCACAAGCTGGCTTCAAGCCTAAGGCGAGACTAGAATTCATGACCTCCCAATTACTAGCCTGATGCCTTAACCACTACACCAAACCAGCTCCGCTAATTATTATGACAATTGTTAAACTTTATTTAAATTTGGCTATGCTTTTACTAGCATAAGAGAATAGCAATATATTTATTTTCATGATAGAACTGGGTAACTGAATTCACACTTACTTGAGTTGGAACAAAGAGTGAACGAGGAGAATGATTGAGGCCTCCTAGATGTGCTTTTTGGGAAGATACAGAAAATGATTCCGATGAATATGAGTTGTAGGAACTCACAGCTGGCTGTGGCTTAACTATGGCTGTTAACTTCTGATTTCCTGTTTCAGTTCGATAGCCATGAGATATGTTAATTAAGGCACAAGCTGGCATGCGGTATCCTCTGGAAGGTGAACTCCTAATGAAAGAAAGGCAATGAAAGCAACTTTGTCACAGTCGTTACTCATATAATTTCAAACTATATATTAAAAATATTTATAGAATATAATTTAATATTTTGGATGGAGCATAAATGAACTTGACTAACATACTTCAGATCCAGTTTTATGAGGCTGAGTGAATGGTTGGATGGAGGTGTTTTTGATCTCTATTTCTCATCAATAAAATGAAAGTTTATACATTTACAATGACAATAAAAGTAGATAATAAAGAACAGAACAGAAAAAAGCATTTTAGTGTCACCTTCTTACACAATTATTTTATGTTTCTGAGGTTTTGTTGAAACACTTAAGAAAAACAAGCAATTGTTTGCAACAAACCTTATTGTTAAACCTCCATGAAATTCTTCATCAAACAGTACTTCATACAGCACATCAGATTCTCTGCTGGCTAAAGAAAATACACATTGTAAGCAATAGCATCAAATGTGAAATTGTAAAGAAAAACATAATATTATCGCTTATTACTACAATGACAACAATTTCTATATTCAAAAAAACCATTATATTTATCTCCAGAACTATTTACAAAGATCGGAACTACCAATTAAGAATTTTCAATATTGTCCTCTATACTGGCTTCCATTCCTAAATAGCTGACTACTTAGACTATCTTCACCTACATGCAGGGTGGATAAAAATATATGATTAAAAAAAATTGGATGTTTTTTATTTAAATTGATTTTTTAAAATTTAAATCAGATTTTTAAAAAAATCAAATTTACTTTAATAAAATGCTTTCAGAGTAAAAATCTATCTAAAGATAGTTTTCTATTTAAGATACATTAATAATTTAGTTTTTTCAGCATGAGATGGAGCTTAGTTATGTAGCATAAGGCTGTATATTCTGCAATATTGGGACTGTTGTTGAGTCAACAGCGGTTAGAGAGCCGCTGCAGGACAGAGATGACAGTTGCTCTTTAAAAATTATGATTTAAATCGAGTTAATTTAAATGAAGTCTTTTTACTGTGATTTAAATCATGATTTAAACTTGATTTAAATCAAATCCAGCCTGCCTACATGATTCCCTCCTAATGGTGTGTATTATAAATTCCAGAATTCTCAAATATTATGACTAACAAAATGTTATAATCCAGAGGCAGAACTCTTGATTCATTTTTATAATTTCCGTATTATTGACTTTTATGTGCCTCAATGAGCTTTAAAGTAGTTTCAGTCTTACTAGAGAAACACCACCAGTCATGGTGTTTTTAAACTGAGAATATATACAAAGACATGTTATGTGAGTTAACACACATTCTCATCCTTCCAAAACATGAAAAAAAAAAGGATCAAAGAAGGCATCTGGTAGTAACGTTTTTTTCTTATATTTTAGGCAAATAATGAATTAATAACAGTTAGGGCTTTCCCACATGTTTCATTATACTGTATTGAAACATGTGTCCAAATATTCTTTAGATACAAGTGCTACAAAGTGCTCATACCTCCTTTAATTCCTATTATAGTACCACGAAGTCCAAGGGGAACAGAAAAGTTCTCTCTCACATTCACAACACGGTCAAACAATCGATATTCTGCATCTTGATCTGGTAAAATTCCATGTTGTTGTTCTAAAGGCTAATAAAACCAAAGATTTAAACTATAGCAAAAATATCTAATTATGAATATGATATAGAATAAAAGTAGTTATATATGCCTCTTGGGGTATTAATTTTGTGTGCAATTTTATTAAAATGAAAGGACTAAATAATCACGTAATGTCTGTTTACTATATTGAGCTTATGATGCAAGGATGCTTTCTCAGTAGAAAGCAAACAGACTCCAAATCCGGCCAGCAGAAAATATAGTAAGTTTCATCTACACAATCGAACCAGCATTGCCATTTTTTTACATACCTTGTTCATCAGTTTTACAATATGTAAAGAGGAAAAAAGAGGAAGCTGGTATGAAACATAAAGCCTTCCTTGAGTCAAGCTTAACTCTTGATACATGATACATTCATGTTGCTTTCTTGGCAACATGAAATTAGTTTGCTACTGCCTTTAACAAAAATTCTTATGCAACTATAGTTATATTAAACTTACTCTGTATAATAAGTGAGATTTCACTGTCACACGCACTTTCTTATTACTTTTTCTTTGCTAAAAAAAAGCAAAAATAATTGGATGAAATCATTTGTAATTATTGCTGCACAAAGTTAAAAGGACACATATTATAGCCCACATAAATTATAACACTGACAGTAAATCTATCTATATTCCTTAGCTTAATGTGTGTCACTCAACCTTATTTTAAAACCATTCTGTAAGATAAGTCCAGGAGTTATGTAACAGCTCTCTGACTCTTTATTGGTGCCTGCTGTTTGGAGGGTGGTTTAAGAAAAAACAATGTGCTATTAAGAGAAAACAGAATGTGAGAAAGGCAACTTTAGACTTTGGACACATCCACTGCTTGCTTATATTCTGACTTATAACACAGAATTTAATGGACAATCCATGAAAATAATATGACCTTGATGGAAAAAAATTGTTCATTCCTACTCCAAATATTGTATTGATACACAGTTACACTATATAATCAACGCTATGGGTATTTTAAACTATTCTGTTGTTTAGAGTTCTCCAACACCAAACATTGATCTAACTGAGTATAAAGAAACATAATCTAACAAGAGCAGGACAGAGAGGAACCTTATGAACAAAACCTTCAGTGTAACTCTAGATGTATGTGACTTCATGAACTGTAAACTCAATAAAGTTTATCTAAATCAAGGTGGGTGATACAGATTATATATAAACAATTAAATCATCAGGTAAACTGGTAAGATCTCCTGAATATTTTATCTTATTTTAAAATTAACTTTTTTACTGCTTTACAACCCAAAATTACACTCAAATATTCATAATGAACAACATTCTAATAGCAATTTAAATGATATTTGGAACCTAATTGCAATATATTGTGATAAAAATCAGATAATTTAGACAATAATTTATGTACCTTGCATTTGTCTATTTCTTCTTCAATCTTTTCAATGATAGCTGCATCCAGAATTTGCAAATCACAAGATGAACGTGAAAGTGTACTGACAGGATGACCCTTTAGCCATGACATGATTTCTTGAACTTTCTCAGCACTATGTTAAAAATTATTCCATATTAATAATCATCAAGATGTAAAATCTAGCATAGTCAACATGTAAATATTATAAAGTGGAAAATTATGATGTATTAAGATTTGTTTTTAATTTTTTAAAAAATACGTCCTAATATAAGAAAAATAGATATAAGCATTGTCCTAAAGCTTAAGTATTACATCAAAGCTATCAAAGCAAATTTGAAAATTATAATCCAATTATGGTAGTTTGGTCTATATAACTTTATTATTGGTATCCATGTGTTCTATGCCATATGCTAAATAAATAGGGAACAAGAAAAAAAATCTGTACAAAAGAAATGGGATTATTTTTATATCTCGACCCCTACAATTCCTTGGATCAAGATTATATATTTTCAAAATAAGAATTATGTTCTTAAGAGACAATACCTGGAAAATAGTATTTTGACTGCTTGATAGTAATTAGAGAGCTGCAACCATGAAAGAATATGACATGAAATTGTTCCTCCTTCAATCCAAGGATCCGTCTACTAAATTTGAACTAGCAATCTTCATGCTGATTGACTTTGCAAGATCAGAAAAATTATCTACTTATTTACTAATCTACCAAAAATATGAACTACATACCCATTCTCCTCTTCACCAGGCCAAATGTCATCTTCATAAAATATATCTTCTGGACTATTTTTGGCTAAGTAAGTAAAAAGTTCTGGTACCCTGTGAAATATATAAATATATTTGAGTAGATATTTCATATTTACACACATATATATCATAAAACCTCCATCATCATTTACTAGACTCCTGTTCACATTGCATATAATAGTGAAATATATTATGTAGAGCTCCAGAGTTATATCCAAAAAGATGCTTTGCACTGAGACATTAATGTAACACAGATCTGTAACTTTTTAAAACAGCTGAGGTGTTTTTCTAATACATTGCAGAAACAATCATGTAACTTTCATGAAAGATATGGATTCAGTTTTCCTCGCATAATGGTAGTACAATAACCAAGGAATAATCCACTATACTTACATATGGAAGGATTTAAAATTAATTAAAAGTATTTCTTCACCCAGTTAATATACTATTAAAACTTTTATTCCTCTTATAACAAAATGGTATATCATAGGGCAAAATGTTTGAACCAAAGTACAGTACCTCAAATGGGCTAATTTACAGAATACATTCCAAATTCAGGGCCAAAAAATGGAAATTTGACCAATTTTATAAAACCTTCTATGACATAAAATAATCATAAAGGTTTATGGCCTAATACAAATTATCATAAAACACTCCCTGTGCTGATGTTTGACTATGATATACATTTCAGTAGGAGTTACTTTCAAGGCAGGACATCTCTGAATATATCCCAGCTTTTCCAGTAAAGGCAGTTACATTAGAAGCTTTGTCAGGGTTGAAAACATTGAGGAATCTGATAAGGAAATGTCTCTGAAAATATGACAGTTACCATTTATCTGGTACATTATCAAACATTAAAATGTACTATCATCAAAATTGGTGAAGTCTGGGAATCAACATTGTTTTGAAAGAAGAATATCTAATTTTGGCACAATATGTCTTTTATTTGGTTATTTGCTTATTTTTGTTTTAACTGGCCATTAACTGCCTGGAGTCTAAGTGACTAAGTAGTCATACAAAGTGAAAAAATAAATATAAATATAGAATAAACCATAAATAGCTAAACCCAAAAATCAAAGCCAATATGATAAATAGGCCAGTTGCTAGAGAGAAACAATATTTAAGTTACTAAATAGATGAAATAAAGAGAATGCTTCAATAGACAGTTATCTGGATCCAACAAAGCTCTCTACAATAATGCTATACAACAACATTATCAATCACAAGGGTACACACACAAGTCCACAATAATTTTAAGCTTACCTTTCTAAATATTCAGCTAGAAGCTGTTCCACTGCAGAAGAGTACATCCATTCATTTCCAACCTTTTTAGTGTAGCCAGGGACTTCTTCATTCCTCTTATTGAATTTCAGATTTAAACCTACATTTGCTTTATGGTCTCCACGTGGACTGCAAAATAGATGTTGAATGTTAACTCTATATACTGCAATTTACTACAATTCTAATACTAATTTTGCTATATATTAATATTAATACTTAATATTCCGTCTTCAAATTTATTGGCTGAAAAAGTGCAAAGGATGAATATTAATAAAATCTAAACCAGGTTTGAATGATTTATTCAGCAAAAGATATGCTGAGTCACTCTTGGTTATTTCCATGCTAGATTGCTATAACATGATCGATAGTACATGAGTTTATCTTTGAAGATTACCCAGAAATTACAACTAGTCCAGAATTTAATGGCACACGTAGTTCTGGGTACTCTTGTGCTTTGCCCTTATTATATTGCTGCTGCCTGTGGTGCAATGACTCCTAGTTTCTTTCCTGGTGCAATTCAAAGTATTCGTGATCACTTTAAAAGTCCTGAATAGTGCAAGGCCAGGTTATTTGTGGGACCTCCTCTCCTTGAGGTATCTATCAGTCCTAACAGGTCAAATAAGGAGGGTGTGCTCCAGGTCCACTCCTTAAATTCTATAATTTGGCAAAACCTAGGAGGCACACCTTCTGTGAAGTTGCACCTACCTGGCAGGACTGAAGGTATCAGAAACTGATGCTAAGGCATTCGGTATCCTCAGAGGTCTTGCCATAGGTTGCCTCTGGAAGTGAGTACTTTGATTCCTTACAGTTCCAAATGAAGCACTGTCTGTATATTTACTTGGAGACAACCTAGGAAGGCCCTGAAGAAGTTATGCTGAGCCTTCAAAAAGTCATAACAGCCTAAACGTTTCCAGGGGACACATCAATATTATTGGTATCACTGATCAGCTTCAACATGTAAAGTATGTTCTGCATTCATATCTCTAACTGCTTCTCTTCTTCCTGTTTCTATTCCTTTTTCCTGATAAATTATGCCAACAAGTATCCCATGTTTTGGAATACTTTTTTTAAAATGTACATACAATAATAATTCCACATGGGGAAAAGAAAGACAGAAAATTGAACAAAGCACTTTATAAAAGAAGTACTGTTGGAAAAATAACTTTAACAATGCTTTACAGTGCTTTAAAAGGAATTTAAAAAACAACAATAAACATTCCTTTTTAGTAAAAAAAACCCAGATAATGGCATTTCAAACTCTTCTGGGTCAATTGACCTTCTGATGAGCTTTAAAGAGCCAAAATACTCCCAATGAGTTCACTGGCTCACAAAAAGGGCAAAGAAAGATGTGTGATCACATTAGTGATGCAAAAGTGCAGTGAGTTATGTTTTTGAAAAATAGTATTTGCGCACTTACGGTATTTCCTTATCATACTTCATAAAGGTATTCTTTCCTAATTTTAAACTAAAAACTGGGAACAACTAACCTAAAATACACTGATACACTGATACACTGATATAATTTTAAATCGTTTTAATTGGGTTACTGATTTTAATTTGGTATTGTATTGTGATTTGTATTGAAGTTGTCTTTTTGTAAGCCGCCTTGAGTCCCTAGGGAGAAAGGCGGCATATAAATCACAATAAATAAATAAATAATAAATAAATAAATAAAATTGTCTATTTTGACCCTGTGCAATCTAGTCTTCTCTCTGTACTAAATGCACAAATAAAGGCAGAAGGTCTAGTTCCATTATTTTTTCTCTGTTAAAACTGATTTTCAAAGCAAATAGGAAGAATCAGATTAATAGCATTTTAACCTGGGTTTAATTCAAATGTAATTAGATGTTTCACTGCAAAATAGTATTGTATTCCAAACTTACTTTCTCCTGGCTCCTCTTCCAATAAAAATGCTTCCTGTAAATCTTGATACAAGATAGCTGCTCACTCCAAGGCGACTGGCCAATACATATGCAGGATTATATTTCACAGAATATTTCTAAAATATCAAATGTTTATTTTTAATATTTGAGAACTATATTAATACATAGGAAAAAAATATGAAGCCTTTGGGAGACTAGAGATTTGTTATGCAATACATCTCTATGGACAAGTCTTTACATAATCCATCATGAAGTGGATTTGTATCATCCTTCAATTCACAGGCATATAGCAAATCTATACATTAGGCTTCAAGTAAGTAATACATATGTTTTCTGACATGGTATATAATAGGATAAGAAACTACTGAGATTCACCGTGTACCATTTCTAATAGAAAAACAAAAAGAATAAAAATAATGAAATCAGCATTTGCTGAATAAAGAAAAGAGATACTATGAGAGTGATGGTGGGGTGTTAATATGTCAGGAAAAGTTGGCTGTTGGAAGAAAAGAAAAACAGGAAAAGGAAAAAAAATCTTTCTTTTTGATAGATTTACAAAGAAATAAAAAAGAAATGCACGTAGTCCTTGACTAACAGTGACCGTTCGAAGTTACAATGGACTGAAAAAAAGTGACTTACGACTGGTTTTCACACTTATGACGCATGGAAACATCCCATGGTCACATGATCAAAATTCAGAGGCTTGGCAACTGATTCATATTTTTGACGGTTGCAATATCCCAAGGTCATGTGATCACCTTTTGCTACCTTCTGACCAGGAAAGTTAATGGGGAAGCTTGATTCATTTAACAACCAGGTTACTAACTTAACAACTTCAGTTATTCACTTAACAACTGTGGCATGAAAAGTCGTAACATGGGACTTAACAACTTAGCAACAGAAATTTTGGAATGAATTGTGGTCACCAATTGAGGACTACTTCTAACATAAATGCATTATTATTAGATATTCCAAGGCAAGAAGAAGCATTTCTTTTCCAGCAGAAAGATTAGCATAAGTGACAGTTATTTTCCCAGTTCTCAGCTAGGGTGCAATGCAATTTGGTTGCCACTTCTGAATATTGTAGTTTACAAACAGCAAACAGATTTTTTATTTATCCCAAAGTCATCAGGACAACAAAGAGCTGTAACAATAATATAATTGCATGATAAACTCACAGCCAAGCTAAATCAAAAGCATTTTGTTTGGAGCAATGAAATGAATTATTGGAATCATTGTTGAAATAATTTCTGATTAACAGAATAACGCAAAGATATTTTAATGAAAGCAAATGTAAACCAATATAGTCATAGATTGGTCTTAAGGGCTGGAATGTTTCAGAAGTTTGATACTTTTCTCATCAGAATTCTTCTTTGTCAATAATATATACATATATATATATACATACATATATATATAAAATTCTAAATCAATAACTGGCTGGTTGTTGAATATCGTATTCGCATAAGTAATTTTCTTTCTTTTTAAATAAAATATTATTAAACTTATCAGAGCATAAAATACAAATGAAAATCAAAACGAAAATAGTGGGAAAATGGGAAGAGAGAAGTGAAGGATGAAGGAGAAAAATAAATAATAAACATAATAATATGTATAGGTAATTTTCTAATCAAGTCAATGGAGGAAGCTTTTAATTCTAAAATTGCAAAATGTTTCTTTAAAGAATATTTAAATAAAAAAGTTGTAAAACCAGTTCAAAATACTTTAGAACCTTTTAGATTCTGGTCTATGTATTCAAAAATATAAATGGAAAAGATTAAAGTAAAAGAACGTAATTGTTAATTATTTGAAATTTTTTCCATAGTGTTCAATTACTTCCTGAAGGATTAAGATGAACTCTGCAAGGGTATTCCACTGCTAGAGAAATAACACTTACATGCTGATTCTGTATTAAGATATCCAGCTGAGGTTCAATTGGAATGTTGAAAACAACACGGATTCTGCCATCTGAGATTACATCAGAGGAATCCTGAACCTAAAAGAAATAATTGATACACTCAGGTTCACAATGGAAAAAAAGTTTTCCAAATATTTATAGTGATTACAGATAGCTTAACAACAATTCAAATTAACAGCCTCGGAAAGGATGTTTTATGGCCTGTAAAGCATTTCTGATCACTGAACGTACCCACCTCAGTCATGTGATTACATCTGCTTGTTTGACAACTTGTTTGCATTTACAACCAGTTGCAAGCACCTGTGATCATGTGACTGCCATTTGCAATCTTCTCTGCCAGTTTCCATAGAAAGTCGATGGGGTAGACAAAAGAAAAGATTGAAGATACTGCTGACTGACGAGAAGACCTTATCTTTGGGAACTGGATGAAAGAGCTTCCTACTGAAGGATTTTAGCTCCATGCCTGCTTGACACGGAGCTGCAATTCATAGTTCCTGCTTGCGTGGAACTGAAATCCTTTGGCACAGAGCTCTTTCAGCCAGTTCCAGAAATAACAGAGAGCCAAAATCAAGCAGGATTTTCAGCCCAAATGGAAAGGCAGAAGTGTGGATGTTTTGTGAGAGTGGGAAGGCTTAGTGCAGGCCACAGTCCCTTGCTGCTCAGGAGCTGAAAATCTTGGGATTTCAGCAGGGAGGATTTTCAGCTCCTGAGCAGAGACACTAGTGCATAGTCTGCACCAGGCGTCCCCCACCCTTACCCTCCTTATTTAAGACTCTATCTGCCTACTTAATGACCCACAAGATCACTTAACAAGTGCAACCAGGAGTGCCAATATTATAGACATTAAGCGAAGCAATCATGTGATATCTCACTTAACCGCTTCACTTAACATCTGAAATTCCAGTCCTAATTGTGGTTATTCAGCACCTTTTCTGTGAAGAAAATAAGAGGTGGGAATATTATGTACATTGCTTGGAATTCTACAAAATGAAGACAGGACAGAAATATAATAAATAAATACATATTAAAAAGAGATGAAGACAAGTACAAAGTTATATATTCAACAGGCAGACAAATGATAACCCAAAACAACCTAGATAATAATTTGATAGTTCTGATAGTTTAAATTTATGAAATGAATCTGATGGAAGATTATTTTGAAACTCACTTCTCCTGTGCAGCCATAGTAAGGTGTTCCTAGCATGAAAACTGTGCATCCAAGAGGGAATAGGTCATCCAAAGTTTTTAATTTGGAGAAGTGGCAATCAAAAGTTTTTATATCCTGCCAAAAAAACCCAGAAAGATACATCACAATAAGACAATTCACACTAACCACTGTAATAATGCTTGCCAATGATCTATTTTAAAAGTTTTTTTCTTCAGTGAAGATGAATAAATTTAGGACTTTCTGTTAAGCTACTAGCTTCAGATTTTATCACATTTCAGTTGGACTCAGGTAAGAAATCTGAATTGTCCATTCCCAAACACAGAATTTATTTTGCTTCAATCATTCCATCAAAAATTTCTATCTGGGTTTAGATCTAGTTGTGTTACATAACCCACATTTGGATATATTCAGGCCATGGATAGATATGACATGGAGAATATAGTGGTTCAATTCCAAACACATTGTTTCTTGAAAGACTGGAAGTTTTTTGTTCTTGAGATTTCAAAGTATTTCATAATTTCAAAAATTATGATATACTGTATTCCCTACATCATGCTTCATGGCTATAATATAGTTCTTTCTATCAGAATGAAGTGCTTCATATACTTAAAATTTTCTCATTAATGCCATGATAGTTCCAAAAATTTCAATGCAGGTGGCAATGTGCTTTCCAACCAGAGGTTCTTCCCACCACTATTTTTTTGTTCAGTCTTTCATTCTGTGGACATGAATACAAAGAATTCAAGAGTGGCATGCACATTCTTTACTGCCATCTTGGCGTTCTTTATAACCTGAAGTATTGTATGCCTTGCTCGTGAGATATTCTTTTATTAGATTGCTATTCTTGGGAATAATAACAATGGTGTTGCATTTTCTCTATTTGTAAACTATCTTCTGGAACATGGATTGATCACATAGGTAATTTACAGCTGGATTACAAAGAGTTATACAGGGTTCATATACCTTCTCTCCCTACAGTACTGAAGAACGTTGTTATCAGAGCATATTTCTCACAGGATACAGCACTCATACAGGATTGTAGAGCATAAATGAAGGCCTCTGCATCTAGATTTATGTATCTAGGTACATGTCTATGTAAATATAAGCATGCATACATTTCTAACAAATTAAGAATTTAAACATAAAAAATATTTTAAATTTCAAATGTGCTAATATGGATTTTTTGAATTAGTAGATATATAAATAAGTATAACAATAACAAATGTGAAAAGATTACCTTGACAATTGTCTGGTATGCAAAAGGTAGATTTTGCTTGGACCACTGCTTTTCAAAATACACTTCACCATTTTGATTTAACTGATATCTACTCCCAGTTAGTAATTGTGCATAGACAATTATAGATGTTTCGTTTATAATTACTCCTTTTCTTCTTTGGTAGCTAATTAAAAAAATCAAATTATATATAGTAAACCAGAATTTGCATTTTAAAGAAATTATACTTTAATAAGAAAAAAAGAAAAATTAATAATCATTTTGGGGATGGGAAAGTCAAACAAATAATAATAAAATCCATTAATTTAAACCTATCACTTTTTCCAAAAATTTGCAAGGGTATGCTGGATTCTTAAATTAGAAAAAAAGTAATAAGATTATTAGTAGCCACTTTTCTAATAAACATTAGTAGTTGTACATGTTATGGAAACTAGCAGAAAGATTCTGTAGAGATAATACCCATGAAGCCTTAAGGTCTGACAGCGACATAAGGAAACTTCACTCATCTTTTTCCAATCCAACTTCCCATAATATATATCCAGTATATAGTTTGACTAAATAAGGGGAGCGTATATAGCTATGTTTTTTGCCAATCTGAAGCCAGTCTGCTTCACCCAAACTGTGGCATCCTGATCTGTAAATAAGTTTTTCACGAGGACATTGAGATGTTCTGGAATTCTCATTTTTTTTAGCATAATCTACTGCTTGATATAATTGACATAACTGAAGCCCTTTCTATAATCAATGAATCATATATTGAGTTATATTTGGTGTTATTTTGGTTTCTGAATTATCCAGCATCAATCACCAATAATGTACCATGTTCTTTGGCCTTTTATAAAGGCATCTTGAACATTTGGCATCTTTTTCCAAATGTGTTGTGCTCTAATTTGCATTGGACGATCCTAAGCATTATTTTGCTAGCATGTAAAATTAAAGATACTGAACACTTTCTTATGTCTCCTCCCTCTCTCTCTCTCTATCTCTTTTGGTACTGGAATCTAAATTGATCTCTTCCAATCTATTGACCACCTTATAGTTCACCAGATTTGCTGGCACAGCGTGGTTAGAAAACATGAGTAATTCTTCTTTTGTTGCCATATTTCAGTGAAAATTCTGAGGAATTTTTGGAAACAAAATGATGCTGGAGATAAGGTTGTCTGCTTTATAATATGTCATCCTCCTAATTTAAATAAATTAATTCTAGTGCAATAGGATAGAATCGGGGCACACTGACCTCTATGGCCAGTAGGTGATACTAATCTGAGATCTTGTACTTCTAAAATTTTCTCCTTCCCCTCTCTAAAGTACTCATATAGTACACATAATTCTTTTCTTTACCCTTAGATTCTTCCACACAGTTAAATAGCTATAGCCCTATTTAAATGTTGCCTATATATGTATTTTTATTTTTTAATAAACTATAATTGAGTAAACTATAATTAAAATGCTATTACCTATTTTAAAGAAGTCAGCTTATCACTTAGCAATTCCAAAGATACGTTATGCTCATTTGTATGGATACTGTATCAGAAAATGACCTCTAAAATGTTTACTGTAATCACTGCCTTTAGTGGCATTTACTATATACCATATTCACCAAAGCTACTAAATGCCAAAAATATATCTGATCATGTCTAAGATATTGTTAATTATCCAGGTCATGAATGAGGTGCTTTCAAAAGGCAACTGGACTTTTTTTCTTTGAAAATGTTTTGCTTCTCATCCAAGCTTCTTAAGTTCTGATCTAGTGTATAGCTGACCATGCATTTCTAAATGAGTATTTCCACAAAGCAACCTGCACACTCTTAATTTTGCTATAAAGTCTCAAATCAAACTATAAATCAGGTACAAACTTACTGTTCTGAAATTCCCTGGATTTCTTTTATCCATACATTATTTTCCTTTTCTCCAACAAATGTTACTTTAGTTGGTGGCACAGCATTTCCCCTATAAACTTTTTGGGGTCCAGGACGCTCCTCCAAGTAAAACCTTAAATAAAAGCATGCAGTTATTTTAAAATAATACATTTTAAACTTTCATCTCAGTTTTAACATCATTACACAAGTTTAAGTATCTTGAATTCAGTCAATATTGATGGAATTGTTGTGTTCTTTACATTTGTTTTCCTGGAGAGCTTTCATTAGTAATATTATTAATGCATGGGAGAGTTGTTTATATATTGAAGCTTGCCTTTCTAGTCCTGACTGGGGTGTGAATTTTTTTCCTTGATAATTCCTTAATTAGGGTATTGGTTCTTCCCTAATTGTTTATCTGGTATGGTTTTCTTCTTATCTGAGCACTGCATACAAGGTAGGATCAGTTCTGCCTTTTTCCTTTCATTATTGGCATTTGGTTATGTCTTTTGAATTGTATATAGATGGAATTTATGCATCTGTTGATAGCTAATTTGTGTGATTGCTCCTGGTTGTTTTATGATGTTACAACTGCCCACAAAAGGAGTTACATAAGAACTTACATACTGCAAACAACACATTCAGTAAGCCAGAATTCCAGCAAGAGGAAAAAGACTACACGTACAATATCTTCCAATAAGTACACATACCATTTTGTTAAAAAGTTCCTAGATAATTATCTATCACATCACAACCTATCAAAAGGATAATTGCCATACACCAAATATTTCTGAGACACCCAATAGACCACCACAAATACTTGACATTCCTCCAAAACATAAACCAACAAAATATCTCCAAAATATCTTAAGCAAAGTCCCAGTAACCAAAGAAGAAAAAGGACTCATCAACATATGTTGTAAAGACTAAAACAGCAATTATATAATTATAAGGCAAACCGGAAGAGCCCTGGCCGAATACATTCTTAACATCACCTGGTAGTTAGAAAACATGATGAAAGTTTCTAAATCTGTCAACATTTAGATAAATTCAAAGACAATTTTAAGTTGGAAACTGTTGAAATTTTAGGTCAAGCCAAACCAAGAAAGCTAGGAAATTCCTGAAATCTTGGCATTCTAAAAAAATAAATAATCAGAAGTCAGAATGGAAAGAAACAGCTCATGGCACATTCCCTTTATAACCAGGACCCATATAAGCAGGAAATTGCCCTCAATAAACAATCAGGAAAGAAACAATATCCTAATCAAATAACTATTAAGTAAGAAACCACATCCCAACCAAGACAAGAACAAGCTACTATATATAAGAATCAGCAAACATCACTTTTCATACACTGATGATACCTAGTGTGTGGTAATGAAATGTCTGCAGGAAAGCAACCCAAGTTCAGAAAGCAACAAGAACCTAGCAGTTTAACCAACCCTATTACATATTTTATTAATTAATTAATTATATTTTTATCCCACCTTTATAAGTAACTCAAAGCAGTGAACATTCATAATACTCCTTCCCCTCTTTTCCCCCACTTTCTCCCTGTGAGAAGAGTTGGGCTGAGAGGAAGTTACTCAGCTGGCTTTCATGCGTAAAGTGGGATTAGAACCCAGTCTCTGGTTTCTAGGCCAGTATCTTAACAAATATATTATTTGTCAATGTCCTTAAGGTACTAGGTGAAACTGAAATTAATTTGCTAGTAACACAAATTGAAAGTAAAAACACATTCTTGGAGCTTCTTACAATTTTGTTTTAACATGGTTTTTTTTTAAAAAAAATTATAAACTTGTTTCAACATCTATCTTCTGAAGTTTAGCCTTAAAAGATACATATATAGACCTAAATAATAATTCTTCCAAATTAGTCTCTTACTTAGTGTCACCATCAGATACAGCAACAGCTCTGGCTTCCTCAAGATGTGGCCAGTTAACAAAGATTGATTTCCCAAGTATCAAACTGGCTACTTTTTCTATATCCTACAGGAGAAAAATAATTGTTTAGTGCAGCAAAAAAAAATTCCATCCCTACATTTGTATATTAGGTTACATAAACCTTTTTTAAAAAATAAAATGGCTACAAGTAGTCTTCACATAAGAACTTTCTTTTTAGCTCGTTTGATGTTATGATGATACTGAAAAAGCAATTTTACAATCAGCCCTCACTCTTATGAACATCACAGCATTACGTGATCAAAATTCATGTGTTTTTCAATTGGCAGGAATTTATGACCATGGCAGCAGCCCATATGTGATTGCCATTTACATGCTTCACAGCTGGCTTCCAACAAGCAGAGTTAAAGGAGAAGCCAGCAATAAAGTTGCAAGTTGTGGTTATATTATGTCTTGCTTAACAAGTGCAAAGGAAGTAGTGTCATAAGTCTGGTGCAGTCATATGATGTCTCACTTAATGACTATGTTGCTTAACAATGGAGTTTCCAATCACAGTTCTGGTTGTTAAGTAAGGACTACCTGTAATTAAATTTAATAATTAAAGCTACATTTTGTTCTAGTTGGATTCTGTTTATAATTATTTATGAATAACAATTCATAAATACATGTATTTAATATACTTGATGCATATTCTATTTTTATGATTTAGATTTGTCAGTGAAACTTTGGTGACATACCTTATTTTAAACATTCGTAGCAAGATTGTCACAACATTAGGCCCTTTTGAACTATTATGCAGATCAACAGGCAAACACACCAGATTTTAGATGTAGAAATAATAGCACTAACAACCTCAGATCTACAGGTGTGTTGGCTAATTTTATGACCACTTTCTTTCTTTTGTGAAGCTTATTCCCAGGTCTGCCAAGATGAACATAGCCTCTGCATTCTTTTCACATCAAATATAGATTTAAGTCAGCAAACTAGTGCTGCAAGTAAAAATGTGGACTTTCTTTTGGTGACAAGATGATGTCCAAAACTTAGCATTTCCTACACAATGGAATCATAGTTCAACATTTAGAGCAAGCATTAAAATAGCATATTACTATATCCTTTCAAGTTATCACCAGTACATGTAGTGGAAACACAAGAATTCTCTTCAAAAAAGAACAAACTAAGTTAAGACTAGTTTCTAAGATCAACTCAATTATAAATAAATCAACAGTCAAGGAAATCAATACTCAGATAAGTGTTTTTAATTATTTGTATTCTGTATTCCATATAGCTTCTAGCCAGATTCTTTTAGTCACAAACTTCTTCCCAAATTTTGCCCACAATATTATCACTATACTATTTTCAAAATGAAGTTATCAATCCCCAATGGCATATACTTTTGACTTAAATTCAATAATATGTCCATTAACCTCAGAACTTACTTTACATATGGTAGAACTGTGGACAGGTAATGATGATTTGTGTTCCTCAATTGAAGTATTATCATATCAGACTCTCAGAAAGGTTTTAATTACTATACTTTTCAAACCAGTTGTTTAAGTGATGCATTAATAATGTTTATTAAATTAAATTAATTTACTATTAATGTGGTTTAATACAGATAACATAAAACTCTCAGGCTGCACGCTGAAATCCAAACTACAAAGAGTATTATTTCTACAAAATAAGTTTGAGAAAACTAAATACTTACCAACTCCTCTGAGTCTTCTGCAGCTATAATTTCCAGCAACATATTTTCTCCATGACTGCTTTGCTGAAATACTTGCACTCCACTTTTTTTCAGACCAAACTAGGACAAAGGAAGAAAGACGTTATTTACCCAGAAAGAAGATAATAGGAACAAAAACAAAATCCTGGGAAATATCATAATAATGCTAGGGATCCCAACTCCTTAAAATTCCTCTGCTGCATGTGACATGCTTATATATTCACATATATGCATGTGCATATTACACAAATACACAAAATATAGGTTATGCTCACAAACACAAAGAATATATAGTTCTGATGTATATATTCATATGTACCAAAACTACACCTCAGTCAGTCTCTCACTAATAGTAAGGGCCATGACTAAAATAATTAAAATGAAGTTATACCTAGTTCAAGCTACCAGTAAGTAAACAAGCCAACTGAACCCCATATATCCGTTTCAAATCCATTCAAGCTACCCTCACACCCAGAAACATAGTACACCTATATACATTCTCTTTTTCTTTTCAGCAGAAATAGCAAAAAAAGAAGAATTAAGATGGGCTTGTGAGAAAAGAAAAAACAAATTTGGATGGAGAGGAAGTAAGAGGAAATAGAAATGGGCAGAGCTAGAGAGAAGAGAGCCACTCGATTTGACATTAGAAAAAGGATACATATCACCAAACAAGTAGCTTTACAAAGTTAAAACTAAGCTTCAAAAGCATATCTTTTTTGCAACAGCACTATTAGTCCTTCGTAATAATCGATCACTAAAGAGTTTCTGCTATTCATAACCCTCCCTCCCATTCATAAATGTAATCAAACAGAGCAAAAATAGTATTCTTGCATATACAATTAATGTCAGCCATTAGGTTTCCTACATTAAAAAACAAACTACAACGAAAACTTGCATTTTACCTTGTGATTAATGTGTTTTAGAGTAGGAAAGCCACAAAAATATAACTTCTCAGTATCTAATTGAGTTATTTTATTATCAGCTATATCCACATGCCAAGCATCCATAGACACAGCTTCACACCTACATAAAAGAAAGAAAGAAAATAAATTAAACCATTAATCAGCATTAAAGGCAGATCATGAAGACATTGATGTTTTGGGGGTGGGGGGTAACAACTTTGAACACAAGTATGCAAAATAATAATGCTGAAGCCAAATACTTTCTATACAGCTATGGGTAGTTCTCAATTTATAACTATGATTGAGCCCAAAATTTCAGTTGCTAAGAAAAAGTAGCAATGTAAAAAAAGAGCAATACTTCATTTATATAATTTCTTAGATTAATATTCTGTGTTTCCTTCAGAAGTTCAGGGTGGTGCATTTATCCCTCCACTTTTAATTTATTCTTTTCATTGATAACAAAATTCTATAGACTTACCTCGTATGACACTTTTCTATGGAAAGGAACTTTTCTGGCCATGGTGATAAATACCGGAATTCTTTCTCTCTATCATATAAGCACATTAGGCATTCACTGTGTCTATTTCTTTGCTTTTCTTCTGCTTTCAATAATTTGTTGCCTGGTGCCATGGCTTCTAATAATCGTTTCTAAAAATAAAAGACATAATTTTGTAGTCATGTAGAAATCATATACTTTTAGAATCTTATGAAAACATGTTAAAAATACTGGATTGAGTCAGGTTTGCTTATAAATCAATGGAACAAGTTACTACAAGGTCACATGCCAGGTATCTACTAACTATGCTAATTTAAATTTATGCTAATTTGACCTGCTGAAATGTATGACTATTAAATTAAAATAATTGTCCCTTGTGCTATTAGTGACATTCATTCTGGTACAGACTGCCTATTCCATACACTGTTGAGTTAAATTGGTATTGAACAGGAAAATACCAAATAAGAATCATACTTAGGAGATGTATAGGAACAAACAGGACACATGTTTTTATTATCTTTTAAATTGGTCAAATATATGATAAATACTGTAATAATACTAATAATAAAAATGATAAAGGTCTCACCTCATCAATAAATGGGATTAAAACTACAGCTTCCCACTCTTGTTGCTTTCCATTTAAATCAGTTTTAAATTCTGTTGGATAATATTCAATAATGGGAGACTCTTCACTAGTCATTAAATGCTGAGAGGAAAGAAAAATTCATATTATTTAAACATTATATTAAACAGGATGACTAATATAAAAATTAAATGTATATGGCAGAAATGCCAAACAAATCAAAGTATGGATCAATTATGTATTAATATAATATATATAATATAATAGTACTGAACTAATATATCTATATACAATAATATGAAAAAGTAAGTATATCTCATTGAAACTTTTTACTTTTTCAACATGTTTCAATATGTAGATATTAGATCTTCATTTCATCAATATTATATTTCATCATTTATTATATTTATAATATAATAAATATCACACATCATTTATATTTTGTACTTCATTCGGTAATTTAAATAAACTTAAATGCAAATTTTGCATGTGGATAAAGCAAAAATACCTCTACATTTATCACAATGCCAAATACAATGCAAATTAATTAGATCAGATGCAAATGAATAGAATCTCAGTAAAGAGGATCTGGGAAGAACATGTCTTATTTAAACATCAGACATTTAGTTTGATTTGCTCTTTTTCGAAGTGTGTGGTATCACCATGCTTATATCAAAAGAAATCTCTGAGATCTTGAAAAAGGTTACAGATACCTATGAATCTGGAAGGGCATTTTAAAAGACTGCCAAACAAGTAAACATTAACCATTCCACTGTCTAGAATGGTTCCACTTGTTTCATCTACAAGTGAAAAGATTTCAAACAAATGCCAACTTGCCCAGACTGTCCCAGACAAAAAATAGAATGCAACATGCTGAAACAAGATGCTAATAATTCCAGAAATTGATTCATGACCTACAGGTAGCTCTCATCACCACTGATGTCAAACGTTATGAGTCTACCACTAGAAAGAAGCTAGATAAATTAAATCTACATGGGAGGTGTGCCAGAAGGAAATCTTTGCTGACCTGAAAGAAAATCAGGGCAAGACTAAAATCTGCTCATGAACATTTAGGGAAAAAGTGGGATTTCTGGAACAATGTGCCCTGGACAAACAAAGCAGAAATGGAATTATTTGCCCATAGTACCCACTTTATACAGCAGTCAAACTCAAGGTTGGATCCGGCCTGCGGGGTGCTTAGATCCAGCCCTCGGGGCTGCCCTGGAAACATGGTGCCTCTGCCACAGAAATCAGAGCTTGGGAGGGCCATGTGCAGCCCTCCCAGGCTCCGTTTTTGGCTGCTTTCAGCTCCCTCATGAGATCCATTTTTGCTGGCAGAGCGCTGCAGGAGGCTGTCGTGCTAGCAAAAGAAACTACTAGTAAAAGTGGCATTTGATCACACGAGTGACATCGAGCTGCCCTCCCCCAAGGTCAAACACAACCCTGATGTGGCCTTCAATGAAATTGAATTTGATACCCCTGAAATACAGTACTTCACCAGAAGAACATAATTGAGGTGGAAATATTATGGTTTGGGGCCGTTTTGTTACATCAGACGAGTTTACCGTAATAAAATCCACTATGAATTCTTCATTGTATTGGAGCGTGCTTGAGGAGAATATGAAATCATCTATTAGAAAACCAAGGCTCAACTGAAAAGGAACCTTGCAAAATCACATTGATCTTAAACATTTGAGTAAATCCACCAAGGAAAGTTTGGAAAACAAAGAGAAATGGGCTGTAGGGGGGAGGTGTACTTGCTTATTCCAGATGCAAAATTTGTATTTATGCTTTTTTAAATTACACAACGAAATACAAATATAAATGTTACACGGTATTTGTTATATAACTTTTTATCCATCAATATTGTTAGAATAAAGTTCAAATAACTGCATGTTGAAATATTCCAAACAAAGTCAAACATTTCAAAAGGATATTTACTTTTCATATGAGCATAATGTGAATGAATTAAAATTCTCCTTATACATACCAATACAAATGCACACTTTATCAAAATATTGCAACCTACCTGGTAACATTTCGGTAATAAATCCTTGCTAGCTGCAGGAAGTACTGCAAGAAGTTGTTCAAATGGCATAAATGGTTTTCCTAAATCTAAATGAATCTTCAGTTCACCGATATTGCAAATATCTGAGAGATAAGGTGCATAATGGAAAGGGTAGTACCTAGAAGGAAGTAATGTATTATTTCAGTTCTTTAAAGTGCATAGATGTATGAAAATCAGTATCTTGAGCTTATTCAATTAAAGAGCTGAAGGTAGGAAAAAGACATCTGAAATAACATGTCATTTGAGTGATAATTCAAGTAACATAATACTGAGAGTAAGATACAGGTTGAGAAAGAACTAGAAGGGGTTGGCTTTCTAAAGTCTTTTACTGTAAAAAAATTAACCTAAAATATGTAAGTATATGATATATAATTTATTTTGTAATAATTAGCTTACCAGCTCCATGATTGAACCCCATGGTAGTAATAATGCAATATCCACTGTATTGCCTGGACATAACATTTTGCCTGGTCAGCCAGAAAGTCACTAAAAAAAAGCCACAAACACATACATGATGGACAGAAATAAGAAGTTATGCATTTAAAAATAACTAAGCAACTGTGTCCATCAAGCAGCTGAGATATTTTGGAAAGTTTTTCATAGCAAAAGTTTACAATACTTTAATGCTAACACTTACTCTGAAACAACTTCTACACCCATCTTTGTCATATAATATGTTCGTTTGTATTGTCTAAATTCTGCTTCAAACAAACCCTCATCTTCCAGTTCATCTTCTACTGCTGCTAAAAGAGACACAAAATTGAACAATACTTGTTATTTAACTATTAACACTATCCTGCAGAAAATACTAGTTTTTAAAATTGACATGGTATACATTAAATGTGTTAAGATATAAACAGCTCTGAAAGGTCTTTGAATATTAGTAGCTCAGGTTGGTAGTTATGTTATTGGTTTAAGCTCCAAGCTTGGCGATTTGGTTGCAAATGTTTCGTCCCGATTTGAGGAGACATGATCTTCAGTGCGCTTTGGATTGTGTTTGTCTGGGGGAGCATTTGGGGATGAAATGTTTGCAACCAAATGGCCAAGCTCAGAGCTCAAACCAACAACATAAACAGCTCTGTTAATTCAGGCTATATAAAATCCATATTCAGCAGTATCATGTTTACCACAGTAATTAATCAGCTATCTCAGAAATATACATAAGCAATACATAATGCAGTAATACTATTGTACCAAATGCGAATTTTCTAATTCTGAATTGGAAAAATAATTTTCTTCAGTCAACTGAGCTGCAAATCTCACTTCCATTTAATTGATAAGAGCATGATACATTCACTATGTAAAGTATCTGAAAAGTCTTCCAATAGCTAAAGTATTTGATTGGGGTGTGATGTCAATAAAGTAAAATGTCTAATATGATATTACGGATAAAATAAAAGCGCAGAAAAGAGTTTATATAATTTTAGTGTTCTTAAAGTATACTAAATCCTAATGTTGTGTGAAATGACTGGAAGATGCCTAATATAAGGAAATTTTTTTCACTGATAGCAGGTTGTTAATATAATTACTTATACTTATATTTATGTCCACATATAAAATACGGTATTTTTTTCAACTGTAAGACACACGAGACCATGAGACACACGTTAGTTTAGAGGAGGAAAACAAGAAAAACAAATCTGCCTCTGCCTCCCAGTATCCATCTGGTATTCATCTAGCTAGTGTCCTTGCAGCAAACAGCAAATAGCCTGGTCAGCTTCAACACGTTATCACAGCCCCAGCACGTAGCTCGTCAGGGCTCAGCTCTGTTGCACTCACCACTGGTCAACTGAGCTGAGCTGCTACTGCCACCAGGGAACACTGAAGCCTTCACTGTTGAGCATCAGCGGTTAGATTGGTATCTTGGAATACCGCTAATCAGCTGTTTTAGGCGGTGGGGATCATTGCTGATTGCTGCCGTTCACTGCCTATCGCCGCCATTCGGCGATCGGCAGTGGCAAATGGCAGCAGCAGCAACAGTGATTGGTGGTAGTCAACAGTGGTGATAGGCAGCAGCGATCCCCACCGCCTAGAACAACTGATCAGTGGTATTCTGGGAGATTGATCCAACTGCCAATCAGCTGCTTGGCAGAGAAGGCTCCAGCATTCCCCGCCGGCGGCGAACAGCAGCAGCGGTGACAGGTGGCAGCGGGACACACAATGGCAGTGGTGACAGGCACCAAACCCCCTCCCCCCCCCAACATTTGCTCTATAAAACACACAGACATTTCCACTCACTTTTTTGGGGTGGGAAAGTGCATCTTATAGTGCGAAAAATACAGTACCTAACTGGCAGCAAAACATAGGCAAATATAAGGGTTTTATTTAACTTATATATATATTAGAAGTTAATATAAACTACGTAGCTCTGTTTGCCATGTGAGAATAATCTTTTATATTAAATTATAATTATATTATATTAAGTTTCAAGTTTCAAGTTTATTAGATTTCTATACTGCCCTTCTCCCGAAGGACTCAGGGCGGTGTACAGCCATATTAAAACACATAGATTTATAAAATTTAAAACCAATTAAAATTGAATATAAAAATTTGGCCCGCAAATTAAAACACACATACACCCATTTTAAAATTCGTACTAAGCCAGTCCAGCTTGCTGAAACGGAAGGGTCTTAAGGGCGTGGCGAAAAGTGCGCAGATTGGGGCTAAGACGAAGCTCTAGGGGCAGCTCATTCCAGAGGGCTGGTGCCCCCACAGAGAAGGCTATCCCCCTGGGTGTCGCCAGTTGGCATTGTTTGGCCAACGGCACCCTGAGGAGCCCCTCTCTGTGGGAGCATATTAGCCGGTGGGAGGTTGTTGATGGCAGAAGGCAGTCTCGTATATACCCCGGTCCTAAGCCATGGAGCACTTTAAAGGTGGTAACCAAAACCTTGAAACACACCCGGAAGACCACTGGGAGCCAGTGCAGCTCGCGCAGGAGGGGTGTTACGTGGGTGTGCTGAGTCGTACCCATAACCACCCGCACGGCCGCATTCTGGACCAGTTGGAGCCTCTGAGTGCTCTTCAAGGGGAGCCCCATGTAGAGAGCGTTGCAGTAGTCTAGACGTGACGTGACGAGGGCATGAGTGACCGTGCGCAGGGCATCCCGGTCCAGAAAGGGACGCAACTGGTGCATCAGGCGAACCCGATAGAAAGCTCCCCTGGCCACGGCCGTCATGTGATCTTCCAAAGACAGCCGTGCATCCAGGAGAACACCCAAGTTGCCAGCCCTCTCTATAATATAATATATTATTTTTTATATAAGTTTTGCAGAAGCACAAGAAGCAAAAGTATAAAAATTCGTATCATCCAATACATTCAAAATAATTGTACTCTCTTGTGGGTAGACTATAGTCAAAATATGAACAGAACAGTATTTCTGAACTTACTTTTTGAAGCCTCTACATGTCCATTGTCAGTTTTCTCTAAAGCATCCAAGCATATAACATTTTCCTGAGCCTGTTGACATTATAATTCATACTTTTGAATTAACAAAGTAGTATTAATACCACAATACTATAGAAAGGAAAAGTCTAAATAACGGCACTTTCATTACATCCTTGGACATCTCACAAATTGCTTCTGATGGTTAGGGTTACCTGCAGAGCCAATTTGGAGGTCTTGAAGAAAAATAGAAGAAGAAAAAATTATCTTCTCCTATAATATTGGATTTAGCCCAAAATTAAGAATGACACTTTAATAATGAAGAAAACAAAAACAAATCAAAGCTCCAAATCTGTTCATTTTTAGCATTATTTCAACAAACACTCAGAAAGTGCAATAAGGTCCAAACACACCAACTTGGAAATGAATATTTAATTAATCAATTAAATTTATTAGATTTATAAGTTTCTTAGCAATTTATTAAAAAAAACCTCCAAAAATTCAGTAAAAATTATTAAAACTGTTCAAACTCACATAAACAGACAGCGAAAACTAAAATAAACAATATAGAAATAAAAGACCTCACTAATATGTACCAATGAAATTCAACACTTCTCTAATTACATTTAAGGGGGGGAAAAAGCAAAATCCAGTATCACATGTGTAAACTTCAGCTTTTAATTTTCTCCTAGTAGTTACTAGGTACCCTAAAACTATATTTAAATGTGTTTCTCAGGACCAAATGCTAAAGAATAGGTGAGAATGAAAACTGCTTACTCTACTGATAGAAACCACTCTGTCATCTTGCCAAAATTGTTATCTAAACAATTGCAGTCCATCAGAAAACAACTTGACAAGCCTGATATGTAAACTTTAAAGAGTTTAGTAAGTACCACTTTCTATTTAATGAGAATAAATTACAGAACCAAAGAGTTGGAAGTGATCTCAGAAGTCATTTAATCCAACCCCTTGCCCAGTGCAGGGATACTCATACCATCTTGAACAAATAGCTCCCTAGACTTTTGTTGAAAACCTTTAGTGATGGAGCATTCACAAATTTAGAAGGCAGGCTGTTTCACTGCACAATAGCTCTTGCAATCAGGAAATTCGTTCTTATTTCAATCTTTCCCTGCTAAGCTTTCATGAACTGTTTTAGTCTTACCCATGGATGCTATGGAGAATAAATCCATACGTACAACATCCTTCATGTATTAAAGCTATTATCATATCTCCTCAGTCTTCTCTTCTTTAGGCCAAACATAACAAGTTCCTTTAAGCATAGGATTGAGCCTCCAAGCCCTTTACCATCCATGTCACTTTTTTTTGCACCTATTCCAGTGTCACAGCATCTTTTTGCATGGTTGAGACCAGAACTGGAAACAGTATTCCAGTAATGATCTGATCGGGAGTGGTAGTACTTCCTGTGATCTTAATACTATATCTGCCGATACAGTCCAAAACTGAATTGGCTCTTTTGGCAGCTGCCGCACATTACTAGCTCATGTTTAATCTATGGTCGCCAAGATTCCCAGATGCTCCTCACACTTCTACTATGCCAGATACTTGTTTTTTATCTGTACATCTGTTTTTTCCTAAGTTCAGAATCTCACATTTCTCATCACAGAGAACCATTTAACAATGAAATTTGCTTCATTGGTTAATTCAATCCTTTGATCATGATGCATAATCTCTTCCTTAATTCCTAAGGATGTATTTCCAGCAAATTTGCTCAAGGCATTTCTCTTGCTGTCGTAAGGGCCACATATATATTTAGGAATAAATACAGTAAACATCTTTACATGTAGTAAGCACTAAACATTAATTTCTCATTCAAAAAACAAGAGTTCTATAGTTTATCTCAAAATACCAACCTTGAGGTTTTTTTGTTTTTTTGACTCTTCAGCTGCAATACCAGCTGCTTCATTTAAATATTTATTACCAACTTTGCTTTCAAACCATTTTAGATCTACAAAGATTTCACTGAAGTGTTCACGATCAAACTATTAACATAAAGGGAAGGAAAAACAAGCCATCAGTCATTCCATAACCTGTTTTACAGACAAAGTTTAAAAACAAAAAGGACCACATACAGTTAACCAAATACTGTATGCAAAAATAGTATAGTAACAAATTCATAAGGCTGAAGCAAACAAAATAGTTATACTATTAAGTATTGAAAGGTAATCAAAAGAATTATGGTAATCTTTATGGAAATCTCAAATTACCTGTCAGCTCAAAAGAGTATTTTCTTCTAAGATAGGGGTTTCTAACCTTTTCTAATACCCCGCATCCCTAGAACGCTTCTGATATATTCTCACACCCCTTACAAAAGTAAATAATTATATGCATATAATTATGAATATACACTATAATTTTGAAACTTTTAAATCCAAGTTTCTGCACTCCCTGGAATATTGTCTGTTCTAAACTAACAAGGTTATATCTTAAAAGAAGGATTATTAGCACACCAATTCTTAAAAAAAAAGAAATGCAGGCATATTCTGTTTATCCAGATAGTCAGTTGCTGTTTCACTGGGGAATTATGGAATTTTCCTACCAGCAATGTGGATGACAAATATTAAATCAAGCAAATATAAGCATTGTCCTTTGATCTGAACATAGATTATTGGGTAAGTAATTAACATAGAAGAAAAATCTTGCAAACAGGTCTGTCTCATACAAGGGAAGGATACTTCAAACTTCCTAGATACTGTTGTCAAGAGACTAACATTTCAGTTCAGTCCAGTTTCTATAAGGGCAGTTGTGATCAAATGTTTATTTATTTATTCTGAAATTTATCATATTGATTATGTCACTTCAGAAGCACAAAAAGTACAGTAGCCATTATGAAATTCACTTGGACAAAAGATAGAGATTGCATACCAGCAGCTCTGAAACTGTGTTGCCATGACTCAAATATTCTATGGTGCTCAAGTGGTGCCATTTCCACATTATAGGCTATTAGAGATTTAATAAACAGTTCTTGAAAATATTGTTTCAGGCACCCAGAGGTACAGTTAATGCATCCCTCCAGGTAAAAGCAGAGTAACCAAAAGTCGAGCTGAGGGCCTGGCTACTAATTTACTCCACTGGCTTAAATACTATTTTCCATCAAGACTGATCCCCTGAATACTTGCAAATCACTCACCTAACACAAGGTGTCATTTGGACTCCTCTTTCTGGATTACACTCAAGCTAAAAGAGAGAGGGTTCTAGACTTGAAATATCAGAATGAGTTCAGCCAGATTCTAGCGTACATTGAAAATGTATAAAGCACCATAGATAGCAATTAGGCAGATATTTACAAAAATACTGAACAAAAACTTTTTCAAGAGCTAGGCTTGAGAAGTTCCTTTCTTAATTAATTCTAATGCTATTTCTTTAATTTTATATAATACAAAGAATACATACTTACATCTGACAATTTTATAAGGTATTTCTCAAAGCGGGGCAAGTTGAGGTGCCCACTTTCATTTATATAACCTAAGAAACAGAAGAATTAATATTTACAACAATGAGCTGTGTTTCCAGCCCTGATACTGTTTTAAAAAATGATCTATACTTATTTCTTCTGTTCAATAAAGGAATTGTGGGGGCTTCCCATTGAAGAATGGGGATAGCATACTAATAAACACAGATGCCTTTTTTCCCTGCAGCTCTCCACTGTTATTTAGATCAGATTGGAAAAGCACGGGAGGCTGCTAAACGGGGCACAATATCACTTTTTCCTCCAATGCCAGTGGAACACAAATGCATGCAAATCAGGATCTATTGGGTAGATCAGGTCAAAAAAATCAGCTCCACAAATAACAAGAGAATCACTGATTTTTGCATTCTCTTTAGTTAAGTGAATTAGGGAAGTGCCTATTTGAGCTGCTTCCAGTGTTTTGAACTCAGACAATGTTTTATTCTTTTCCTTTTGCCTTGGCAACATGCTTGCATAAGTTCCTTAAGGTCATCTTCTTTACAGGTAACCCATGTCTGGTACCACTGACTTTCAGGCACTTTTCTACTCTTGTTGAAAGGCCGATAAGACCTATCCAAAACAGTTCTTGGTCATGCCAAATCTTCTTTACCAAAGCTGCCACAGAGCCAGTTCTTTATTTTAGGGCTATGCCCAGCACTAGTTATGTGTTGTGAGCAGCCTGTGCGAATTGTAGCTGATTCTGACAGCGAGGAGGCTGGTGTGGTGCTGCGCCAGCAGCCTGGGCAGCTGGCACTCGAGTCAGACAATGAGGAGGCTGGAGAAGATGTGGTGCCAGAGGCAGGGATTCAGCCAGGGCTTTCAGAACCTCCAGAAGCTCCTTTAAGTGAAGAGAACGAAGAAGAGGAGCCTCTTCTCAATGCACAGGCGCGCAGAGCTGCCAAAAGGCAGGAGTGGCTCCTCAGGAGGAGGTCTCGTCAAAAGTAAGGCTTGGGACTCCCTTAGCCTATTTAAGGAGGAACGCCAACTGAAGCAATTTGTAGGGAACAACTTTAGTTCATTCTCCTTCGGGTTTGGATACTCTGCAAATTGCTTCTGGGATTTCTGCCAACCTTAGTAAGATTGTGATTACTTTATCTTTGGTTTCTTGTAGGCTGTTAAGAAAGTTCTGTTTCTGAAACAGTAGTAGCCTTTCAGATTCTCTACGGAAAGAAAAACAAGAATGTATATACTCAGAACATTTGTTCTGCTATCTAAAAACAGAAAGTTTTAAGAAAGTTTCTTAACAGCCTTTGTTTGGAAAATACAAAGTTATTTTAGTAAATTTAAGTTTTGTACAGACTTTGTGTGTGCTGTGTTTCTTTGGGGTCCGTAGCTGGGGCAGAACATTATGTGCCACTCTGCAGGGTGCCTAGATCAGAGGGAAAATAGGTGTAGGGAATTGAATGATTTTCCTCAGTGGCTCTAGATCTGATGGCTAGAGAAGTGGCAGCTGGCCAAAACTGCTTTAGCCTTTATTTTAGGCCCAAGCCAGGAGGACCAGGATCCATTATCCATGTGCTTTTTGCTGTACATTAAAAAAATAAATGCAGAACCTGGGTGGGGCAACCACAGCTTTGAGCCACCATCCTAGCTCATGTGTGGTCTGTGCCAAACCTACCAGAGTCTCCTTTAACCCTTGAGACACTTGCTTAATGACAACTGGGATTATAGTTGTTGAGTGAAGGGGTCACATTGGCATCTCACTTAATGACCCTTTGCTTGACAACCAAGATTTCAGAGCCAACTATGATAGTCAGTAAATGGCTACCAGTATTGTCTACAGAATCCAATCCACGAAATGGAAAGAAAAAATGTAACTTCCAGCATGATACAGACCACGATATCAAGATTAAAATAATTATTTTCTTTCCCATTCTACCTCTGTAGCAGGGCCTACTATAAGATCATCTTGCAGTAACTATGTGAGATAGCTTACCTCCAAGTTCAGGCAATGTAGTCATGTATGTTCTATAAAGCAGCGGCAATGCATCATGGTTAATATGAAAATGAGGTAGATGAGGAATAAAATCATTTCCAACAAGAAAGCCCATTAAAATCCAATCATCTATTATTCTTTCAATTTCATATGGAAATGAAATCTTGTCCTGATAAATAAATGTTGATACAAAAAATTAATTAATTAAACATGTAAACCTTTAGCAACTTTCAACAACTTTTTAGCAAATCCACTCATACTTACTTTAACTGGTGAAAATTCATAGTCAATATATTCTCTCATTAATGATAAGTGCAAAAGATGAAAAGTGGTTTCTTCTGGGGCACTTGCTCTGTAAATTAATACAGTTCAGTAAGCTAATTAAAATGTTACATTTCGTAGATTAAAATGTGAATGTTTACTACTGAAGAATTATAGTATTCTTGGTTATTTAGCAGTTTTGCATAACTTCCTTTGCCACCGTTTAACAATTTTTTCAGCAGATTACCTTTGTGATTTTTTGCCACCAAACCGGACCTCTTCTCTTAAAAGGGAGAAGTGTGGGTCATGACTTGTCAGCCCAAGCATTATCTATTAAAAGAAGTAATTTAATAGAACCAATCATTTAAAAATTGATCAATAATGAATAAGTTATTCTAGCAGTTTATTGTACCCTGATATCAAAAGATCTCATTGACATCCATGAGAATAACATTGCCCCTTTCCACAACGGATAGCATACTATAAAACAAACTGCTTGCATAATGCATACAACCCTACAAAATATCAGGCAAACCTGATCCAGTGTGTAAAATAAATCCTTGCAACCTAAAGAGACTCTTTTTACCACAATTATTGGCATTTATAATCAAGAATCTTATTTCTTATTTTTTTTCAAATAAATCATGTTTACATGTAAACATACCAAGTCAGCATCTAAACCATAGAGACAGTGTCTTGTGTTTGGATCATGGTCAGGCTTTGTTTTTTCTGATCTAATAAATTCCATAATTTTATGTTCTCCTTCTCCTGGTGTCTGAATGAAAAGAAAAAACAAATTAATAAATGTTGAATTAATAACAATTAATTTAAGAAGTCTTATAAAAGTAAATAGTAACCTCATGGCCTGATAAGTAGACAGTTATGCCTTGCCAAGATTTGTCTGTGGAAATCTTCATATTTACAAAATACTTCAGGTGTTCGTGCAACCTGGCCATAAATTCAGTCCCTAATAACAGAAATCTAAAAGTTACATTTTCATTCACTAAAATCTAAAAAATATTTTTTCAAATATCATGGAAACATATTTCTTTAAAAAAGATTTCACAATTTTTAACAGTACTAATATTTGAAATTATGTTAAATGTACACAATTATAATACAAATAAATGTTGAAGTTAAACATAAACATAAACATCTCTATTACATTACTTCAAATATTTTCTGATTTCAGAAAATACAACCTCCTTGGGACTGCATCGCCTCCATTAGAAATCTTCTTAATCAGAAAAAATAGTTTAGTTTGACAAACGTAATGGGAGTGTATCAAACAAGATTATTCAGGCACACAGAATCCATATATGTGTAAAATTGAGAAATTGCTTATTAATTGATTTTAGTATATAATGGAAGTAGTTAATTGAAAAGAACAGTAAATATTGAACCACAGTAAAATGTAGCTTGCAATTCTCATGAAAATAAATAAAAAATGAAGAAATTCGGAATAATGTAGCAAAATAACAGAATTCCCTACCTGGTGTAATGCAATTGGAATCAAATCTGGATTCAGTTGGAAGAATTTCTCCTTTTTCTAATGCCTTCTTAATTTTGTCTTCTGCTTCCCTTGCTGACCTATAACAACACTTTGTAGTTTAGTGCTGCAAGAATCTGATGGCTACATAACAGTTCTGTAGAGAGTATGGTAGAAATATCTTCGGATTACAGATATACTTTGCAGGAGAATACCCATGCCAGCACTTGCTCACACATAATTTTCATTTTATTTCATTTTATTGAATTTGTATACCGCCCTACTCCCGAAGGACTCAAGGCAGTGAACAGCCATAGAATAAAACATATAAAAACAAAACTTAAAATAGAATAAAACAAATTAAATAATTTGGCTGAACAAATTTAAAACCCTAATAATTTAAAACCAAAACCGTATCTCCGGGGGGAGCTGGTTCCAGATAGTAGGTGCCCCCACAGAGAAGGCTCTCCCCCTGGGGGCCGCCAGTCGACATTGTTTGGCCGATGGCACCCGGAGGAGCCCCTCTCTATGGGAGCGTACTGGTCAGTGGGAGGCTATTGGTGGTAGCAGGTGGTCCCGTAAATAACCAGGTCCTAAGCCATGGAGCGCTCTAAAGGTGATAACCAAAACATTGAAGCGCACCCGGAAGACCACCGGGAGCCAGTGCAGCTCGCGCAGGAGAGGCGTTACATGGGAGCGCCACGTCGCTCCCATCACCACCCGCGCGGCCGCACTCTGCGCCAGTTGGAGCCTCCGAGTGCTCCTCAAGGGGAGCCCCATGTAGAGAGCGTTACAATAGTCCAGACGGGAGGTGACAAGGGCATGAGTGACCATGCGTAAGGAGTCCCGATCTAGAAAGGGACGCAACTGGCGGATCATGTGAACCTGATGAAAAATCCTCCCGGTCATGGCCGTCAAGTGCTCTTCTAAAGACAGACGTGAATCCAGGAGGACACCCAAGTTGCGAGCCCTTTCCGTGGGGGCCAATGATTCGCCCCCAATAGTCAGTGATGGCACCAGCTGACTATATCGGGACGTCGGAAACCCCAGCCACTCGATCTTGGATGGGTTGAGCCTGAGCCTGTTTCTCCCCATCCAGATCCGTACGGCTCCAGGCAGCGGGACATCACTTCAAGGGCATCGTTGGGGTGGTCTCGGGTGGAAATGTACAGCTGGGTGTTGTCAGCGTACTGGTGGTACTCCACCCCGAAACCACAGATGATCTTGCCCAGCGGCTTTACATAAATGTTGAACAAAAGGGGCGAGAGGACCAATCCTTGTGGCACCCCACATATAAGGGGCCTCGGGGTCGACCTCTGCCCCCCTGTCAACACAGACTGCGACCGGTCGGAGAGAAAGGAGGAGAACCACCGTAGTACGGTGCCTCCCACCCCCAATTCTTCCAACCGGTGCAGCATGATACCATGGTCGATGGTATCAAAAGCCATGAGAGATCTAACAGGACTAGGACAGAGGAGCACGCCCTGTCTCGAGCCCTCCAGAGATCATCCACCAACGTGACCAATGCCGTTTCCATGCTGTACCCAGGCCTGAAGCCCGACAGGAACGGATCTAGATACGTCGTTTCATCCAGGTACTGGGGGAGCTGTCTCGCAACCACACTCTCAACAACCTTCACCACAAAGCGAAGGTTGGAGACTGGACGATAGTTAGCCAATACTGCCGGGTCCAGGGAAGGCTTCTTGAGGAGAGGTCTCACCACCGCCTCTTTCAAGGTGGCGGGAAAGACACCCTCGCCCAATGAAGCATTTATAATCCCCTGGAGCCAGCCTCGCGTCACCTCCCGGGAAACCAGCACTAACCAGGAGGGGCACGGGTCCAACAAACATGTGGTCACGTTCAGTCTACCCAGAATCCTGTCCACGTCCTCAGGGGTCACAGGATCAAACTCATCCCAGATAACATTCTCAGGACCTGCCTCCGTCATCCCCACTGGATCTACCCAGTCGGAGTCCAGATCTTCCCAAATCTGAGTGATTTTGTCATACAGATACTGAACAAAATCCTCGGCTCTTCCCTCCAAGGGGTCCTCCCTCGCTTCCTGGTGGAGCAGGGAGCGGGTCACCTTAAACAGGGCGGCCGGGTGATTATCTGATGACGCAATAAGAGCAGCGAAATGGGTGCATTTTGCTGCTTTTATCGCCACTAGGTAATTCTTAATATGAAATCTTACCAGTGTCCGGTCAGATTCAGCACGACTGGCCCTCCAACTACTCTCTAGGCATCTTTTCCAGCGCTTCATCTCCCTCAGCTCCTCGGTGAACCAAGGAGCCAGGTGAGATCGGCGCCGGGTCAGAGGCCGCAAAGGCACAACTCGATCCAGAGCTCCAATGGCCGCCCTATCCCAGGCGGGCACTAGGTCTCCAGTCGAGGCGTGAGCCAGAACCTCGGGGATTGGCCCAAGCTCCATCTGGAACCTATCAGGTTCCATCAGGCGCCTGGGGCGGTACCATCTTATCGGTTCCACCTCCCTGCAGCGGGGTGCAGCAGTTTGAAGGTCAAGGTGAAGGAGAGAGTGATCCGACCATGACAAGGGCTTGATGACTATATCCCCTATCTCGAGATCACTCAGCCACTGTCCAGAGACAAAAACCAAGTCCAGTGTGTTTTCCCCCATGTGCGTAGGACCATGAATTAGCTGGGTCAGGTCCATAGCCGTCATGAAAGCCATGAACTCCCGAGCCACCTCAGATGCCTCACCCACGGATGGCAGGTTAAAATCCCCCATGATCACAAGTCTGGGGGTATCAACTGCCACCGCGGCGATAACGTTGAGTAGCTCGGGCAGGGCTGCTGCCACGTGGCAGGGAGCCAGGTACGTGATCAGCAAACCCATCTGAACCCCATGATTCCACTTCACAAGGAGGGTCTCACAGCCGGCCGTCTGAGGAACAGTGGCCTCCCTCGGCCTAAGGCCTTCTCTAATAATAACCGCTACTCCCCCGCCCCTCCCCTGTGACCTCGGCTGATGGAATGCCTGGAAGCCTGGTAGGCACATTTCTACCAGAGGGACCCCCCCTCCGGGCCCAACCAGGTCTCCATAATACCCGCCAGGTCCGCTCCCCCCTCCTGAACAAGATCACAGATGAACTGTACATAATGTACAGTTTCCTTAGCAAAATAAATTTAATAAAAGTTTTATATTATTTAACTTTCATTACTGTATAGCTGTAAAGTTGCATGAAACAGAACAGCTGGCAACATTGTTAACATTGAATCTATATAGATAAAACCATCCAAGGAGTTGTGAAACAAGTCCAACATCTCCCTCTGAATAGAGAGTAAGCCTGGGGATTGCTTGGCAGCTCTTTGATGAAAACACTTAAAGAATCTTACTGACAAAGACCAAATAGAAAATCTATATTATTTCCTATATTAGATTAAGAAAGGCATACCACAGTTTACAAAGGCACCACCATTTTGAGGAACCATATTACACCATATTATTCATTAAAAAATGAAACTGGTTTTAGTCAGTCATCAGCATAAATTAAACTATATCAGGTCTCCATTTTGTTAACCTGCATTTTGGAAAGTAGGCCATGAAATGTTAAAAAGGTGCATACTCTAAGACAATAAAATATGAAAAATGACTGGATGAAAATACTTGATGATTCAAGTGTAGTTGTAAAGTGAAATGTCACATGCCCAAGCAGACTTATGACATCAATTCTGGCTGCAGTCATTAAGTGAATCACTGCAGGTCATTAAATATGATGTCATATGACCACAACTTGCAACTTACTGCTGGCTTCCCCATTTAGTTCACTTGTCAAAATTTGATGGTGAAGTTTGCAAATGGGGACTGTGCAACTGTTGTAAATGCACACCAGATACCAAGCAATTGCATTATGATCACGTGACTATGGGGACACTGCAAAGGTAGCAACTTCGAGGACCAGTTGTAAGTCTACTTTTTCAGCACCGCTGTAACTTTGAACATCCCTGAATGAGTTCAATGGCCAGTAAGCAAGGACCACCTGTACTATCTCTCCCTACATGGCTTCCCTTCAGAAAGGAATGATTGGGTTGAAATCAGCACCAGTTCTTCTCCCTTAGGTTTCCCTTTGGGACCAATGGCCAGGGAAGTCAGTTTGTTACCAAGAGCAGGAAACATTTCTAAAGCTCCATAGTTTTTCCAGAGAAAAAAAAGGATAGCATTGAATGAGCAATCCTATATTCACTCCTATAAATAATCATAAGACTATGAAGAAACAAGCATATTGCATCAAAGTCTGCAGGAAATACAAAGAGACCAGTGAAAACAATAAATGAAAAACCCATTTTATGTACATACCTAAAACGTCTACCACGTTGCTGGTTCATTTTTGCTCTTGGAGCTACTCCATCAACTGCCATAAAAAAAACTTTTCTTGGTTTAATAATGCGAAATAAAACTTCTAAATAGTGAAATATATCAGCAAAGATCTTATCTTCAGAGATTCGGAAATGAACATCATCATCATTAGGATGTGAACATTGATGAATAATGCCATTCATGTCCAAATATAAGTTGTCAAATTCTGGAATCTAGAAAACACATTAAATAAAGAAGTTGTTCTATAAATACAAGTTTTGATTCAGTTAAATTTCTTCTATGAAAATTGTACTTTGAATTATCTTATTTCATTTTATATCTCTATTTGGAAAACACATATGCTAATATTAATATATTCTGCTTATAAGAAGCCAACTAAGTTTCATAGAGACATATATCCTGTCTTCCATGAAAGTTTTGATTAAAAATAAAATTCAGAAACTGCTAAAAATAAGCTTTTTACTGTTAATAATTATTAATGTATATAATAATGTAATGTAATAATTATTATTCTGTAGTGATTACATTAACTTTAATTCTAAACTCTTTCATTTTTTAATAGTGCCAGAACATTTCAAAAAGCACATTACATAGATCCATATTTATTTATTTAGAGAATTTATATGGCCATCCACTCACTTTCAGTGACTCTAGGCATCTTACAAACAATAAAAAAACTAATATAAAAAGAGTACCACACCCCCCCCTTTGAAAAAGTGTCAAAGTAGGAGCCAGTCTAATCTCCATGGAGATGATGTAAAGGAAGGGAGCCACCACGGAGAAGGGTCTTCTGGATCCCACATCTATCTCCTTAGAAGTGGGAACCTGCAACAACATTCCCTGCCTCCCCACTCTAGTGAGTCAGATGGATGTAACTGGAAAGAGACGGTCCTTCAGATAACCTGGTCTCAAGACATATAGGGCTTTAAAGGTGACAACCAGCACTTTGAATTGCACACAGAAGCTGCATCGGGAACCAATGCAGCTCCTGCAGGAGAGGTGATACCTCAGTCTGCACAAAACCATATAGGTCTTTGCATTTTGAACCAAGTGGAGCTTCCAGATGCTTTTCAAGGGCAGCCCATGTAGACCACATTGCAATAGTTAAGACTATTGCTACTTAATTTGAAATAGTCCAATTCAAAACATTTTGCATACTATTAACTTGTAAAACCTTACAATGTAAAATCTTAACAAATGGCACAGAAGTTCCAGTTTTAAATATTTCAGAACTTCAAAAGCATATCTGACTGAAGCATATCTCTTACCAGAATAGCCAATGTCCTATAAGAGTATTGAAACAGGTTTCAATTGTGCTTTGCTGATTTAAGATGCAAGAAACACAACCCAATGATAGTTACACCTATTAATTTTGTCATTACAAAACTTACTGGAGATGCTGAACTTCATAATATGTTCCAAATATTTGCATATGTAATACAATTAAGGGGCAGTGCTAAATTTTAATAATACTAACCCATGCTGAAATCTATGCTCTGCTATAAAATGATTGGGTTATCATTCAATCTAACCTTGTGCTCCTAAACACACAGGTACTCACCAAGCTTTTGACATATTCTTGTTATATCTTTGCCCACCTAATTTGGTCAGCTTTCACTTACTTTTACTTTCATTTATGGTGAGGATGACTTTGAATTACTGTGCTACTTCATGTATTGGCAGTGAACAGAGTAATATTGAAAGTTCATCCCTTTTCTTGTGGAAATGGGCTTCGGAATTATTATTGCACCAAGAAGGGCAATATAGCAGCTCTCTCTATAGGCTTCAAGTATATATGAACTCATCATACTTTGCTTTACCATTTTAATATCAAAGTATGTAAATACTTTAATCCATACAAAAAGTATTAAAATAAAGCAAAATAACAAAATAAGGAGAAGTTATTAAAAAATTATTACCTTTGATCATGAGAATAACACATAACACAACATAACACAAAAGGCACTTAAAATATGTAATAGTGTGAAACAGTGATCTGTGTTTATTTAAAAATTATTTGAGGATCTACATTTTGAAGTGATTACAGAAAAAGGCAATAGGCATACATTTTCAGGCCAAAAATGTTCTATACAGATAGTCCACAACTTATGACCACAATGGAGCCCAAAGTTAATGTTGTTAAGTGAGAAATTTGTGAGATAAATAAGTGAGAAAGAGCAGAGGTGGCATAGTGGTTAGAATGCAGTACTGCAGGCTAGCTCACTATCACTCCAGTTCAATTCTGAGCGACTCAAGGTTGACTCAGCCTTCCATCCTTCTAAGGTCGGTAAAATGGGGACCTGAATTGTTGGGGGCAATATGCTGACTCTGTAAACCACTTAGGGAGGACTATAAAGCACTGTGAAACCGTATATAAGTCTAAGTGCTATTGCTATTTGCTGAGTTTTGTCCCATTTTATGACTTTTCTTGCCACATTTGTTAAGTGAATCACTGCACTTAAATTAGTAACATGATTGTTAAGTGAATTTAGTTTCCTCATTGACTTTGCTTGTCAGAAGTTCACAAAAGGTGATCGCATGACCCCAGGACACTGCAGCCATCATAAATATGAGTCAATTGTCAAGCATCCAAATGTAAATCATGTGACCATGGGGATGCTATAATGGTTGTAACTATGAAAAAAGGCCAAAATGGATAAAAATTGGGTGGGTGATGCAGAACATTTTGAAAAAAAGGTTGAAATTTACTCAATTGTTTTTATTGGGTATAATGACGGATTGTACAGTATTAGAGACTAAATTGATCTTGAACTTAATATCAGCAGCTAGATTGTTGGTAGCGCAATATTGGAAGAAGGACTCTTTACATATCGGAATGGAGAAGATGGATTGATTATATTCAAAATAAGTATCAGACAAGAAAATATCAAATAGCTTATGAATGAATGTTAAACTTTAGAAGTATTGTGTTATCCATAGTGGAGTTAAGGTTTCAGGGGGGGAATAGGTAGTTTAAGAATAGTTAGGCTAATTTAGCTTATGATTGTTAATTGAAATACCCTGTATTTTGCTCTGGGAAGTCTGGGCGGGAGGGTGGGAAAAGGGTGGGGGAATATGGAGGGAGGAAAAATTTCTTTGTAAAACTTTTCAATAAAAAACAAAATGGCCACAAGTCACTTTTTTCAGTGCCGTTGTAACTTTAAATGGTCATTAAATGACCATTGTAAGTTGAATGAGAATCAATAGGAAAAAAACAAAATAAGTCTGCGCAATATTTCCATTTAGAACTGTGCTTTTAAAAAGAATTTTTATCCAGAAATTCAATTTTGGATTCTATCTAAATTTTATCCATTATTTTTATTCTGTATTGTCATAATAAAACAACTGACAAAAATGAAGAAGCTATATATGTAAACTAATTTATCTTGAATTAAACCATATCTACCAACACTAGGGTTGTATAAAACCGTATTACAAACTACAATGGCTTTTAGAAACAATATTTCTCTGAAACAAAGTGCACTGTCTTTAATCTAGTATTTTATTTTACATTGGTTTAAAGCAGGACTGTTTAACTGAGATGCCCTCAGGAAAAGAATGTCAAGCTAGGAAGCATAATAATAAATAATAAACTGATAATATTGCAACCGTATGACACTGCACTTAGCTAAATTCATACAGCACTCATATGCCAAAATCAATTAATAGTATTATGCCTTAGCACAATTAATTATATCCTATGCAAACTATTCCTAAACTGTGATTCAATAGGAATTTTATATGATTACTTGTGTTAATTCTGCTAGTTAGGACTACAGCATAACCACTTGTATTATTGTTCTTCATTCTTTGTTTTGAATTCTTTATATGCCTTTCAATTGTTGGCCAGTACAAAAGAAAATGGACTGAATTTTTAATGTAACAGACATGAGGAATGCTACATTTTCCCAACAGGTCGCACTTTTTCAGCAATCTACTCCTTTTCTTCCCCAAGTCTGTTAAAAAGATTAAGTATACTAGGATGTGAATCCGATTTAAATTTTAAAACAATACTGATAAGAGATGTAATCTCCTTAAACACGCTGTTGGGCTAAATAGGAAACGAAAATATTTCTAATGACGTGGAGTGTTTTTCCATGAAGCAGAACTGAAAATAAATTGGCAGGCTCCAGACACCTACAAATAAGAGCCCGCCACTCTCTTCTGCGGGGCTTCCCACACGAAATGAAAACTACCAGGTCCCTCGGAGTTTCACAAAACTCTTTCCAGACCCGCGTTTCTTCCTAAACGAGAAACCGCCTCTGACATTCGCGGTGAGGGGTCAAAGACACCCGGACAGAAAAGAAAAGTTGAAATGGGTTTGAATAGGAGCAAGTTGTAGCCCTTCTCTCGGGCTCGCTCCTGTTTTCCACCAATTTCTCCTCTCCTGAAAAAAGAGAAAGCGGCCTAAAACTCTTAGCCCGGGCAAATAATAATAATAAAAAAAGAAAAGAAAAGAAAGAAAAAATGAAAGGACGGCCAGCAAGTCAGGAATCCAAAATGGTATCTCCGCCACGGCGCTTTCCAGGTGGGGATCCACGCAACAATTCCAGAGGCAGGCGCGGCTTTATTGCCAGACCTGCCCATCACACTAGAGGCCCCTCACGAAGAAGAAGAGAATCGCCCCGGGTGCGACGGCTAGGCAGCCTCTCAGCTTCCCCCTCCAGAGCAGGGAAGCGCAAACCGCAGCTGCTCACCTGATGCTCCTTCACCACCTGACTGAGGCAAGGATACCGCTCCGAGACCCACCGATAAAACTTCGGCACCCCCATAGCGGCCGGCTTCTGCCCTTCCTCTGAAACTACCTCCCGCAGTGCACTCGGACCCAAACAACCGCCTTTGCCACCTTTCCTCTCAGGCAAAGCGCTTCCTTCCGCCAAGGCCCCAAATCATAGAGCGGGCCTCAGCAGAGCGGACGACTCAGCGTCGGAAATTAAAGGCAGGCGGCGGCGGCTGCGCACGCTTCTTATTGGGCGTCGTGAGAATTGCAGGTTTGCAAACATCCTGGATCGTCCAAAGTTTCCCCTTGTTTACAGTATCGGCAGATGATGGAGGAGAAAAAGTGGGCAAAGTAACTTTTTCAGTCCCTAGATTGCCATCAGACAATAGGACAGAGGATTTTTAAAATAGTATCTCCTTGGAAAGATCCATAATGGGACTGGGGGGAAAGGTGGAATAAGAGGACGACCAGCAGCAAGGAAGTGAATAAGTAAATTCAAACTAAATAGGAAAAGGATTTGTGATAAAACATTTAAGCTTCTCTTAATATCCTAGGAAATCGGCACCTAGCTAGCAGCAATCAATATACAATATATTAGAGATGAAGTTGGGAAGCAGAAGAAGGTAGAAATGGGAAGGTTCATCTGGCCCTAGCTGGGGAGGGATTGGTAGAGGTGAAGCAGGAGAGGTGAGGCCAGTTGCTATACTATTGAAATAGTGGGAAAATGAGTATTATTCACAACCTTCTAACTCCAATTCGATGTTGAGTGCCACATATAACCAGTTATTGGGTGCCTGGAAGAGTGGGTTATGAGGTAGCTGAAAGAGCATGGAGAAGTTTAGTAGGAAAGTGCCTGGGCCATTCTAGGGGAAGCAAATTTGTTAATTTGGTTTGCATTTAGTTCCAACCCCTTAGCAATCTTAACCCAAATTAGGCAACCTAATTGCTGGACATGCCAGACTTAAATTGGTGTTTTTTGAATAGTAGGTTGGTAATAAATCCAGCATTTACTGATGACTCCACTGTGGATGAGAAGGCATTGTTTATATGTGCTGCTAAGAGCTGGCTAGATAATGAGCCCCTCTTACTGAGATGGGTCCAGGAGTTTCATGTCTTGCTTTATTCCTGTCCCAAGCAAGAAAGGTACTATGGCAGTTGTGTGCTGGGAGATTAATCCTGGCTATTGTGAACACTGTTTGGCATGTGAGGTTAACCTAAAGGAATAAAATGGAGTTGCTGCTTTTGTGCTGTCCTCACAGAGGTATGCAGTGGTGGGATTCAGCCAGTTCACACCACTTAGGGAGAACCGGTTATTAAATTTCTGAGCAGTTTAGTGAACTGGTTGTTGGAAGAAATGGCAGAGAACCGGTTGTTAAATTAGTTGGATCCCACCACTGGAGGTATGGCAATATCCCTCCCTGAACTGCTTGATTTTACGGATATTGATTTGCTCAGACTATTGGTACTGGCTAATTTTAACCTTTTCTCACTGAGATAGGAGGAAATTTGAGTTTATTTTTGCAGTGGCACTACAGACCTATCAGCCGCTCAACCTTTATATTGCTGCCATACATTAGACCCAGTCCTAACTTTGGAAATGTGAAATGGGAGAACATCTCCACCATATCTATGCATCCGTAATGATGGAGATAACCAACACTACAACTATTGCAAAGAGAGCTGGCCAATTAAAATAGCTCACTCAGAGTATCTGATGAATCAGAAAGATTTCCAGAGATCGTTTGGATACGATGAATACAAATGAATCCTTTAGGAATGCTATGGGGCATGAGAGAATTTACTTCCTTTTCCCTTTCACTGATTCTATTGGGGTATTATACAGAGTCTTATTTAAGTGGAAAAACACCAGTTAGAAACACAGCTGTGGATTTTAATGTACCTTAAGTGCAATAACGTGATTAAAAAGGAAATTATTCTGGAGGAAATTAGTTTAACTGGAAGTGAAGCCAATTCTTATTTTAATACAGTTGTGCAATGCTTCAGACTTATTCTCTCAAAAGTGCTTTGGGGCACATGGGAACACAAACATTGCACCTACAATACCTGAAAAAGATGCTTATTGTCCACTTCTTCCTAACCCTGACTCTATAATTTCTTCTAATGATGATATTATTAAAAGTTGAATGGATATGACTATTATAATATAGCTAGCTTCAGTGTTCACTATATCTTATCTAAAGCATTATTTCTAACTTTGGTTAACACTTTTAAGGATTCAAACAAATTAATTTGGGGCATGGCAGTGAGAATATTAGGGACACAAAAATCTACAAATCTTATGAACAGACTGAAGAAGTAGGCATGTTTAGCCTTGAGAACGCAAGGCTTTAGTAGAGATTGACAGTAATCTTCAGATATCTGAAAGAATGTCATAGAGGACTATTATCAATTGTGATGAAATACAGGACACAGAATATTTATTTAAGTTCTGGAAGTCAGATTCCAAATGAATGCCAAAAAACTTGGCTAACAGCAACAATGATTTGATAGTGGAACGAAAGACGTGATGTTTTCATTCAAATAATTTATTCTACTGAAAAGTAGGATCCTACCCATGGAATATAGTGAGATAGATGCAAATAAGCAAATACACACATTCTTAAAGGATCATTACTGAAAATAATAATGGAGGTTCGTCTGCATATAGCTATCATAAAATCAGTATGATCAATGTTTTGGGTAAAGTACAACTATCTTTAATAACAATAATAGACATATTCTTTAGGTGAAAATTATTCTAAGAATAATTCTCAGTGAAGTATTTCTTTTCTCATTCATTATTGTTACTGTTGAAAGATTTAATATTTAACCCACTGAAATCCAGTCTTTCTCCTTTCTTAAGTATGTAGACCAGCTACAATTTTTCTCCTTTAATAAGAATCTGAGGCCCCTGTATTCCTGATTTCGTACTCAAATCATCTTAAATGCATTCACTTTCTGTAACACACACACACACACAATCACACATACATGAATTAGGACTATGAACAACACAGCTCAAACCCTATTTTACTGTATGATTTGCAATATAATGTTGAAGTGGTTTGGTTAAGTAAGAAACTTAAATGGGTTGAAGCCAAAACAGCTTTGTGATGGAAGAGTAAAGGAGATGAAAGGAACTTGAAGAATGAGAATTTTATGTGAGTAGAGTTAATGAAATCCTCAAAGAGAGGCGAGATGTTTAAAGAAGAAAAAACTCTATACAAAGTGGTATATGGACACAGTAAGAACAAGAATGCTCTGCAAGAACAAAAAGAAATGGGAATGTACTGTGTAATTATGTTCTGTTTTAAAACTGTATTTATTCTCATCTGGCTTACCCTATTATACCTCTAGTATCTTTAACATTCCTAGCTCAAAGACCTACTATTGTATTATTAAGCTTCTGGAAACAGCATTGTAATAAACAGAATAACATGCATTTTGTAATCATTTTTTTTACTGGAATAAGTTCTATAAATAGAATTTCCACTGTATCAGTGGAAACAGTATTTATATACAATATAAACACTTAAACACTGATCTGCATTAGCAGAATTTACTAAAGTTTTTTTAAAAAAAAAACTAACAACGTTGTCTGCAAATGACAACATATCACATATATGGTGCCCAGCCAAGATACATCTGACACAGCAAGTTTTCATCAGTTGAATCTTGAATAAGATGGTGAACATGTCCTTCAATTGACAATGGTAGGCCCTTTACCCTGTTCCTATTTTTTATTACACCCTGCAGCCGCTGCTCTATATCTTGCACATGAGTCTTGGCCTGAAAAACAAAAAATAATCTACATAAGAAAAAGATGTCATTAGTATACTAGAAGCTAAATTTTTAGTGATAAGTATTCTGTCTTTCTGCCTCCAACATAAAAGATTGAGTTCCACTGAAGGTTTATTTAATTATATAAAACTGATTACTATGTACTATACCAGGGGTGTCAAACTGGTGGCCCGGGGGGGGGGCAGATGCATCATGCACAGACCACGCCCACCCCGGCTCCGCAAAGGCAAACAACGTTGCAATATGTCACGTGACACAATCAAATTTGACACCCGTGTCTATATACTAAGCCATAAATTACAATTTACAGTACATATTATATAATGTATACTTATTACATTAAACCAATCCAACTATTTTATGGTTTAGCATAGTGAACAAACTCTATAGCTAAACACTTATGAATGTCCCAGTCAGACTTGGAGCATATACTATTTATAGATTCCTAACCATCTTAAATGTTGCTAGGAGACTGGCACTTCCTGAAATATATATTTTTTATTTACGTTAACTTACATTTACATTAATTTACATATATTTAAAAAAATTAAAATCAACAGCAGATTAATTATAGTTAGCACCATTGCAGACAGGACCTAAGAGGCTTACATGCATCCCTATCTTCCTATGTAGAGGTGAAAAGAAAAATGGGGGGGGGCTCTTGGAGCAGCAGTTTTTGCCAGTCTTCTCTAGGATTTTATTCCCATCCCAGCAGTCAAAAAGCTGATTAAACTTCTGTTAGTCATTTTCCTATCAGAAAATAGGGCTGTCTGGAAGACATTAGATTAGCCATAAAGAACCCAAGAGTTGTTTTCAGGCTATAATTTGTCTAATTTCAGTGTTAACTGAAAAATGATATTCATCATAGCATGCTCAATGTGTTTGTAATGTAATCTCAGCCACTGCATATATTATGATAAGAGCTTACTATATTAATAATAGGATATACTTCCATAAATTATTAATTTAGTTTTCATTGATACACATTAGAGAAAGTGGTAAATTGCAAAACAAAAGTTTCGAGCTTAATTTTGAATTCTTCAATTTTTTAAATTCTTCATTAAAACCAATAAGAATCAGTGGATTCAATATGCATATATTTATCGGAGACAATTTGGAGTAGTGGCTAAGATATTGGGCTAGAAACTGGGAGATCATATGTTTTAGTCCCACCTTAGACATAAAGCTAGCTGGCCCAGTAACTGTGTCTCTGCCCTAGGAAGCAGGCAATGGCAAACTTCCAAAATTTTACCAGAAATTAAAAAAAATGACTTGAAGGCATGGGGAAAAGGTAACTGAATGTATATTTTGATAATAAAACATTAAAAGCACAATCTATAAAGTTTAAATG